GGTTGCAATTCCGAAATTATTGCAGAGTGAACAGGCCATATCTTGTGACCACAATAGTTCGTGTACCTCTCTCCAGATGGCAGGAGGCATGAGGCCCTTTGACAGTTTCCAATGGCCTGCTCTGTGCCTCTGATCCCAAGGGCCATTTTTGATTGAATCCAAGAGTTCCCTGTGAATGTTCTTCAGTTGTCCACGAGGACTGTGAAGGCCACATCTTTAGCATTTTGCCATATGGAGGACAAAAGTTTTTCTTGGCATAAGTATGTACTCTCCCCCTCCCAGCTGATGATAATTGTAAATACTTTAAACATCTGGACATTAAGGGTTCAGAAAAATCTTTTGGTTTGGGCTGTTCCCTTCAATGGGTGGTTACTATATAAATTCATTCATTTAGAAAGGTTGTCTGTTCTGGCAGAACACAAGTCCGCCATAAATGTTATTACCTGCTATGAAAAGTTACACAAGGCATCTATCTCAGTGGTAGTCACTTGTGCTGGAGGAAGGTTTCCCTAGGAAATGATAGGCAGCTGCAGTCTCCCATGATATTCATCTCCTAGCTGGAGGACTCCCCTTTTGTCTAAGGGCAAATATCTGGGTTCCTAGAAGCTCACCAAGGGAGATTATTTTTCAGTATACGGACCTTCTATAGCAATGTCAAGCATGGGCCCTTTTAAAACTTTTTTTTATTTTACCTGGGGTTTCTTTGAGGGACCTGCTTGTTTGCCTGGGTAAACGCATTTATCCCAGGGGCAGGGCTATCACCATTCAGACTTATTCTTGTGTCTGTGACCATTTTCCCTGGCACTTTGCCTATGCTTTATCAACATTGCTGATACCCCAGAAACCAAATTTAAATGACATAGGTGTAGCCAGACACCATAGTGTCTCCTTTTGAAACTCCTTCCTAATGTCTAAAGAATATTGGCTGATAAAACAAGTACTAGCTGATTTGTTTGTGTTTTGTTTTGTTTTTTTCAGATAGTAAGTTCCCCTATAGATACAGTAAGTTCCCCTATAGATTCAGTAAGTTCCCCTATAGATAGAGTAAGCTGGATCAAGCCAAATGGCAGGTATAATAATGGGTTTACTGAGAAGAAAGCAACTCCTTGGCAGGTTCACTGGCCTCAGAGAATGAGGTCAGAGAAGTGATACCCTCAAGCTAAGGCAAGGAGGTTTTATAGATCTTAGGTAGGAAGAGGTGATGATGAGCCAGCCAGTAGCTGGGACTGTTCTCAAGTATGGTCAAAGGCTAAGTCCCTGGGCAGGTACTTGGGTGGGCTGGTCGTATCAGGAAGGTGGGTTGAACCAGCTAGCAGAAATGCAGAACTAGGCTTTGGGTGCCACTTTTTGTTCAGAGATTTTTAATGTGGGCATGGGAGTGGGAAGTAGGCAGTTGGGGTTTTCCAGCTTGTGCATGGGCAAACTGGAAGGTCCAACCAAACATAAACATTATTTAAGCTTAGAACAATTTAAACAATAATTTTGAAATATATCCAGTTTAAGCATGCATACATATTTTTTAACTTTTGTTTTATTTATTCCTTGTGTCTTTTGATCTTGATCCCCTCATTTTCCTGTCCCTTCATATCTACCCTCTATCCTTGCATCTCGCTCCCATACAAATGTAAAGTAATATTTAAGAGAAAAAAGAAAAGAGAAAAGAAAAAAGGAAAATTCCCATTGTGGGAGCTGCAGTGTGGCACAGTGAGTCACCCAGCAAACCCCTTTGTTCATATATTTTCACTTGCAAGTGTTCATTGCAAAGAATCATTGTCTGGTTTGAGGCCCCTGAAATTTGCTACGCTATTGACACTGGATCCTAAATGGGACTCCTCTTGGATATCCTGTTGGTACCCTGAGTTGCGGAGATCCTGCAGCTTTGGGTCTATGGGACTAGCCTTTTCACAAGTTTCTGCAGATCACAGATAGGGTGGATGCTGAGGTAGGCCAACTCATAACCCCAGTTCTGGGCCTGGGTAGTCTCAGGGTTGGTCATTTCACTGGCTCCTCCATCCTCACTACCAGGGTGAGCTTTCCAGCATTGCCCTAGCTAATTTCCTCCTAGGGACAGGGCCAATTCTTCTGCTTTCACACCCTCAGGGTGAGCAGTTCCACAGCTACCCATCCAGGCCAGCTCCACTGTGTTGCCAGGGGAGGTGGAGGACCTACTCTCTGGAGGACTGCAGCAGGTGAGGGGCAGGGGCAGCTTTCCCCCATCCGCTCTGTTTTTTTTCCCTTATATGCCCATTTCTGTTTCAAAACAATCTCTTACTTTAAAAATAAAATGTTTTACATCCCCTGCCTTAACATAGATTTAAATCACTTGTTCACCTACTTTTTCTTCAATGGTTTTCAAAAATATGTTTCTATACCTAAAAGTAAACATTTCTATATTCTCTTATTGGCAAGTTTATTTTTACATATATATATGTAAAATTTATATTTTGTAAAATATATATTTTGAGGTAGAATTTTATTATGTAGCCTTAGCTGACCTGACACTTGATACATAACCTCAGACTGACCTTCATTGCTCGGTACTTATCTTTGTTCAGCTTCTTGAGTGATTAAATCACAAATGAGTATCACCACACTTGTCATTAATAAGATTATCATTTGCTAAAATATTTTGTCTTTTTTTTAATGGTGGGAACTATTATTAAGAATTGAATTCAGGACTTCATGCCTACTAGGCAAATGCTTTACAGCTAAGCCACATTTCATTCCAGTAGTTTTAAATTAACTTATTTGTTAGATGTTTTCAAGTTCCATGCCTTAATAAGGATTTGAATTAACTCTGTATTTACAAGCTGATCTGGAACCCTGCAAATACTGTATATGCCAAAACACACCTTCAGATAATGCAGGGTAATCACTAAAATCACTATGTCAAAATATTGGTAGTTTTCATTACCTGTCATCTCTAATTCCAAATCTGTGCTTTCAAATGTATTACTCTTAGCGAAAACAAGGTAGAAGATTCTCATACAAAAGACATCACACTTAACTCATCATTGATAAGTCTTAACAGAAAAAGAAAACTGATCAAAAGTGAAGCTCGTGATGAAGACTCAAGCCAAATCTTTTCCTTTGTGAGGAACTATTCAGCAAGAGGGAGACACCCTAACAACTGGAGTGAGGTGGGAAACTAGAAAATAAATTCCTCTGTCTGGTGCTGGTGGTATTCATTAAATAGTAAGCAGGTCCCTAGGTCCCTGACCAGAAAACGCAAAAAGATGTAGGAGAGAGAGAGAGAGAGAGAGAGAGAGAGAGAGAGAGAGAGAGAGAGAGAAAGTTGTGATTTATGATTTATGGCAGCGTAACCCCGGCAGGTTCCCCTGCTGGTGTCGGGGACCATGGCATGTGGGAGACAGACAGATACACCATGCAGAGAGAGCTTGGATATAGAGTTTATTTAATAAGTATTGGGAGGGTATAAGAATAAAGGGTAAGGGGGTTATGGAGGAGACAGAAAGAAAGAGGAGAGAGAGAGAGAGAGAGAGAGAGAGAAAGGAACACAGAGAGAGAGGAACTGAGAGAGGAAGAGGAAGAGAAGGAAGGATAAAGAAGAAAAACCATTTGCAATAGAAGCTTAACAATAAAACTGACAATATTGAAGAACAGTTTAATATATTTTAAAATAGAGTTGGATTACATATATAGTATTTTACAACATATTTAAAAGTAAATACCAATTTAAAATATTTGAGACTTATTGTTCTCTTAGTCTGGAATGAGCTACAATGAATAAAGCTCATCAAGACTGCCAAAACAATTTTTAACAATACCATACATGTACAAACATATGCAGTTGAATTTAAGTTTCATATACATAAACAACACAGACTCAAAGCTAACTTATGTTCATAAAAAGTTAAATCAAAAGTCTCTCTCTCTCTCTCTCTCACACACACACACACACACACACACAGGAATTGGATGAAGAGGATACTCTGGTGGGCCCTACCAAAAGCATGCCACTGCACAAACATGCATGTAACAGAGTCAGCAAGAGAAATTCAGAGACAAAATGTAAGTAAATGGCAAGATGAGGTGAAGAGTACCTTAATAAAGATGGCGACTAGGTTATCTGACCTTCTTTTAGTCAAGATGGCGGTGGTCATGTGGTCACTCATAGCGAAGATGACTGTGAGGTCACCTGCTCTGCCCTCCTTGCCCTTAGTCAAGAGGGTGGTGGTCACATGGTGCATAGAGGAAACCACATGCTTTTATTAGAGTCACAGTGTGAATTGTAAACAGATACAAATAACAAGAGAGGCATGTAGAATGTATAGAACATATATTTAAAACAGAATCACATTCATGTGGTCATACCATTCATACATTCTTTCATGCATGAAGTAGATAGGAAACTTTTAAGCGCCATTAGCCACAGTGGACTGGGAACAGAGTCCCACTCTCTGGGCTAGATGGTGCAGTAGCAGCGGTCTCAGAGACATGATAGGAGAAGGAAAAGGAGTGTTTACAGGTGGGAGGGGGGATCCCCTGCCCCAGACAGGCTTAGCTGTGGTGGAAGGTACTCCAGCAGAGGGAAAAGCAGACGGAAGTGAGATGCGGGTGGAACAGAGTTTAGCATGGCTGGATAGAAACTTTTCCATCTGCCTGTTAGCTGATAGAAATTAGAAAGCCTCAGTGTTGGAGTCAGCTGGTAGGTAACCACTCTGGGTTGATATTTAAGGGGTACATAGGCCATTTCTCCGAGCTCAGGGGGGAACGAGAGATGACATCCAGTAACAAAATATTCTAGGCATCCCTAGAATAATGCAAAGATTGAGTAGATAGTCCATGCCATCATAAGCCTCATCAGCATAAAGGGTGGGGACCAGGACCTGAGGGACAACTGTCTGAGAAAAAAAGTGAGATTCCAGTCCACAGCCATGGGGAATTACCAGAAATAAATGTCAGTGAAAGCTGACTTTGAGAAGGGGACCAAACCATTTAGTTGGTGTTGTTTGCAGCGATGGTGGGGATACAGGAAAATGGAAAGTGGCCCAGGTCCAGGATCCCCGTGTGCCTCAGACTGTCCACCCACGGGTGGGAAGGAACATGAAGAGAGCCTGGCCGAGTCAGGTACCAATGTTACGATTTATGATTTATGGCAGCATGACCCTGGCAGGTGGGAGACAGACAGATACACCATGGGGAGAGAGCTTGGGTATAGAATTTATTTAGTGAGAATTGGGAGGATACAAGGTACAAGGGTAAGGGGGTTATGGAGGGGAAAGAAAAAGAAAGAGAAAGATAGAGAGACAGAGATAGAGAGGAAAGAGGAAGAGGGAGGGAAAGGCAGAGACTACCTCTTCAGAAAAAGGATGGACAGAGAGAGAATGAAGAAGAGAGGAGTCACAAGATCTGCTTGCCTGCTTGGGAAGGGGAGGATTGAGAGTGGGCAGGGCTTGTCTCTTAATTGGACAAGGTACCCAGTCACAGAACAGGCCAGCAGTACTATAATTATAATAAAAGTAGCATGTAAATCAAAATAATCTTACCAAGGAACTTAATAACTGTTAAGCCCAGATCATGGAGTACCGTGCAAAGCCAACTAGAAGACAAAGTCCTGTACATAAAAGCAAAGAGCTGATTGGCTGACATCTGTCTAGAGGTATCCTGGTGAAAAGCAGGTGCTAGCAGGTGTCCTATCTACAATGGTTGGAACATTAGGAATTCCCTTTGTATGGTCTGTTCCTGGGTGGTATCTGGGCAGTCTCAGTTTGTGGTTCTTCCTGTAGTCAGGTATTGCCTCAGGATAAACTCCTGAGAGTCAGGCCTTTATTACACTTACCATGCTGGGGAGGTAATCCTATCTACAATGGTTGGAATGTTAAGAACTTCCTTTGAATGGTCCGTTCCTATTAAGCTTATCATGGTTGGGTCCTACACTTTGCCCTTCACAAGTATCAATGACAGGACCCAATCATGGGTCATGTTTGCCCATGGGTACAAGGAGGTATTATTGTGACCTAAGAACTATTTTAGTTAATAAATTAGTTAATAAGTAATTAGTTAATAAATCCATTAACTGAGAGCTCTGGGCCTATTTTTCTGGTATATCAATGGGCATTATAACTAGTCATTTTGTCCCCTATGCCAGGGAGTTTCCCCTTGTCTCAGCACTTCAGTTTTTTCTGAGCAAGGGCACGGGACAACAACATGTTCCTTTCTGCAACTACTTCAAGCTGACATTGAGGTATTGTCATTAGGACCCAAGTAGATTGAAAGGCAGTGGGGCACTTCTCAGAAGCATCTGGTGCACACACTCCATTGAAGGAACAGGGAGCAGTCACATCAGCTGGGTTAGTCCACATCAGCCCTCAGGAAGTCCAGGGCTCACAGTCATTTGGAACAGGTTGTACGCAGCAAATGATGCTTAAATGTATCTGCCATCCAAGTGGAAACCCATTGGCCCAAGTTTAAATTTGGAACAGAAGTTAGAATTGTTGTACTTAAAAGAAAATAATATATTTAAAACTTTATTGAAATTCATATTGTAGGGAAAAAAGAAAAATATAGGAACATGCATATCTGTAAAACTGCAGGAATAAACTCATATCTTTGAGTTTTAGCAAAAACTACAGATTTTGACTGGAAGCTCTATCAGCTAATCAGAACTATACCATAGAAAGGAAAGAAATCAGAAACATTTTCTATATCTTAACCTGTATTTATATCTTAAATCACTTTTTAGATCCTCAAAGCTTATGAAATTTTATATCCTCAGATCTTTATATATCTTAAAACAATTTTTAATCAAGAGACCTAAAGAGAAGCTTTAGAAAAAGCAAGACTTGATTTCTACATATACATAATGTGAGCTAACAAGTTGGCTATAGCTTTTTGGAAAGACCTAGATACTTTTTGCTGCTAAACTGCTGACAACATTATAGCTGGCCTAGCCATCAATGCTATCAGAGATCCCTGAAGGATAAATGAATTATACCCATACCCAAATTTCTGAATCTATTAAAAATGACAGGGAGCAGAGTCCATATACATTTAGCCATACCCAGGTATCCATAACATTGGAGGCATAAGTATCCACAACAGCAGTCTTAGTCAGGCACAAAAGGTGAATTTTTTTGTTGTTGTTCTGTGGAAGAGGGAAATGGAAAAGACCAACCTTATTTTGCCAAGGAAAAAAAGGTGCAGTCAATTCTCCAATGTCCTGCTATTTGTCCACAGTCTGAACCAGGTCCTGGCAGCAGGTGTTAACATAGGGCATCTTGGCCAGTGGTCAGCATCGTCGTAATCCAGGTGGAGGCATCATGGTGTCCCATAATCTTCTTTGGAGACCTTGGGTTTCTGCTACAATCTCAGCATCTCTGTCTAATACAATAGGCTTTTAATAATTATTTTAAATGCCATATTCTGCAGATTTCTGAAGTGTGAGAGCTGCCCAGTGCAATGATCTGTTCTGTCTCTTTAAGAGACAAGCCATGCCCTCTCCCTCCCCATCTGTTGAGGCAGGCTGATCTTCAGCTTCCAGCCTGAGTTCCTTCCTTTTTGGTCTCCCTCTAAAAGAGGCAGCTTCTACCTCTCCCCACTTCTCTCCCCCACTTCTACCTCTCTACTCTTCTCCCCTTCTCCCTTTCATCTCCATATCCCACTAAATAAATATCCAACCTCACTTTACATGGCATGCCTATCCATGTCTTGTTCCAAAGGTAAAAATGGAATAAGTTTTGATCCAGCTGTTAATGCTGTCTCCTGGGAAGGCAATGGAAACAGGACTGGAGGGAACCCCAAGGCTAGCATTGCCCTAGGGCAAACTGAGACTCATGCCTACCTTCTTGCTGATCTATGCTTTGATTTTTCCCCAGCAAGGAGATTTTTAGTAAACAGTGTAGTTGGTTTATTTGATATTGTTGTTGTTCTGTTTTTGTTTTTATAGTATACCAATGGCAGTAAATCTAATGACATTTTAACGTTTTGGATTCATTTTGTTGTTTTCTTCGAAGTTTAGTGATTTTTTATTTTATTAAAGATAGTTTTTTTTAGATAATATAATCTGATTACAGCTTCCCCTCCTCCATTCCTTCCAGTTCCTCCCCACCTTTCCTCTCAACCAGATCCATACCCTTTTTAAGTCTCTCGTTAGCAAACAATTAGATGTTTAAGGAATAATAATAATAGAAAATAATTAAAAAAAGAAACACATCATAATAGGACACAAGGCCGAAAGAAGAGAAACACATGAAATGCACATAGATGCAGAGGCACACACATTTGCACACACAGGCATCCCATAAAAACACAAATCTGGAAGCCATAACATATAAGCAAAGAATGCCCTGACTTCATACTATGAGACAAAGAACCTTCCAAGATATTTTGGGTTCATTTGGTGATGTCTGCCTACCCTTAAGAGTGGTTTGCTTCTCCACTGAGACTCTCTTGGAAAAACCTAATTCTTCATTTACAACTTATTACTAACTGGAAATAGCTTTTGGGTTAGGGATGAGGACATGTGTCCCCTTTTCCTTTTGGCTCTGGTCCTGTGTTTCTTGATATTCATAGTAAAGGCATTATTCATCTAGCTAATGCCTTTAATTTTTCCACTTCCTGTGAGCAAGAATCTTTTCTTCAGGATACCTGGATATCCCAATTGCAAAGCAGCATAGTTTTACTGAAACTGAAATAAGATTTTTTTTTTTTGTTATCCCAGTCTGTGATGACCCCAAAAGACCACCAGGAAGACCAGCTCACCAAAATGCAAAAGCAATGTTTATTGGGTGCACATTATAAGCCCGCAGGTACCTTGTCAGCACAGCAGCAAGAGGAGATACCCTGCCCTTCTAGAGGGCATTATTTAAAGGCAAACCCCAGAAAAGTTACATTAGCAGGATGTGAGGTGACAAGTTCCATCCTGATTGGCTGACAATTGTCTAGGGGTGTCCTGGTGAAAAGTGATGGGCGTGTGCTGGTAGGTGATCCTATCTACAAGGGTTGGGATGTTGGGAAGTTCCTTTGGATGATCTGTCCCTGTGTGGTGCCTGGGTAGTCTCAGTTTGTGGTCTTTCTTGGAACCAGGGGCTGTCTTAGGGTAAACTACTGAGACTCAAGCCTCTATTGAACTTGTCATGGCTGGGTCTTACCTTTTCATTCCTGTGTGCACAATTCTTTGTTGTTTCCTTTACTAGAATCACTAGATTCTAAGAGGATATATCTGAAATAAGGTAACGTTTTATCTGACATGTAATTATGATTTTACTTCAGTGGAAGTTGGGTTAATAATGTATTTTTTTTGTATACAGCTTCTCAAAGTCCAAGTATTCCACATTAAGATTGCTGAACTTGTATCCATGGTTCGTCCATCAGCTTTTTAAAACTGTATTTTACTTATATATATATATATATATAATTCTTTATTAAAACAGGTGCTGCAAGCTCATCGGAGTACACGACATCTGGATCATCCAGCATTCCAGGTAATTTGATTTGTGGTTTGGGGTGTTTAAAAAAAATAGACATATGCAAATGCTAATGTAAGTTTGAAAGGTTCTGTTGGCTACCGATTTACCGGGACCTAAAATCACAGTGTCACTGTCTTTACAAAATTGAACCTCTTAGTGTTTCCTGAGGAAAAGATTTAGGAGACCCATGAGGTGTTTAAAGATATTTTATGATTAAGAGAAAAATTTTGTTTTTGGGAAATTTTAATAAAGCCTTATATCACCTCTCCTTCATCAATTTAGGCATATTTATAAAACTGTTCTAAACAAGTTAGGAATATAATCTATGCCTTTGCAACTTGATTAAAGCTAAACTTTGGGAAAGAGAGTGGTTAAGCAATTCATAAACAGACAATCAAAGCATTGTGAAAAGTATTTAAAATTTTTCATGAAATACCTACTTTTGTTATCACTGTCATCCTGACTTTTAAGCCTGACCCTGAGGTTTCATATCAAATTATTTATCTAGATCAAAGGGTCATTAGAAATACACAGGCAGATTTGAAATTTCAATGTACTTACCATTCCCTTTTGATCTAGGGAAATTACATTTTCCGTGTACATACATAATTTCAGTATTCATATTAGATAATAGTTGTGGACTAAACTGTACCTTGGGCCTGCTCTTTTGTGATTTCTGACAAAGATTCGCTTGTGTTATTTTACTTTTCAAGCAGAGTAGACAATTGTCTAATAGATACAGTGTGTTAGTGATTGGGCAATGGTATGGTTTAGAAAAAGCGCTGTGGTTCCCCGAGGGGCTGCAGCAGCAGGCCAGAAGGGCAGCTGGGTCTCATTACCCGAGGCCTCTGTGGGTCCCAGGTGGGTGGAAAGGCAGTGGATGAGAGACCTCAGCAGGTAGGCAGCTGGGCAACTGGTTCCACAAGGAGCAGATAGAGAAAGATAGGCATGCTATGCAGAGAGAGGGTTTATTCAGTAAAGGGAAGGAAAGGGAAGGCGCGTGCGTGCGTGCGTGCGTGCATACGTGTGTGTGTGTGTGTGTGTGTGTGTGTGTGTGTGTGTGTGTGTGAAGAGAGAAACAGTGAAAGAGAGGGGGGAAGAGGAAAGGAGAGGAGGCATGGCAGCAGCCACCTCTCCTGAAAAGACAGCAGAGAGAGAACTCTCAGGCTGGAATAGGAAAGAAGATCCACTTGCATTGGTGGAAGGGAGGGGAGTGTGTGGGGCTTGTCTCTTAAAGGGATAGGGCAGACCATTACATTCCCATTTCTTTTTTATAATAAAGTCAGGAGGTTACTTTTATGTAAACCATTATAGGTATGATCCTAAATGAATTGTCCCTAAGGATTTTAGAACACACAATGGCTGGTTGGGCCCAGAAACAAAAGCGGATTTAGAGATAACCTTCCATATGAATTTGGCAAATTCCAGTGTTCAAGAACAATTTTATGTATTCAGGACAAAGAACTACAATCTTGACAACAACGACATTTAACTTTCCAATTAAAAGTACCATATCCTTTAAATCAATGTGTATTTAAATATTGTCTATACCTTGTGTTGAACAGAGAAAAGGTCTCATATTCCAGAAGCCACTCCCACATACTCAGAAGCAAAGGAAGTTACTGGTAAGTGAACATATCTCTAATGTACATTCTTGTTTTGATCTTACTGAAACAGGTCACCAAGTAAATAAAGTCTGAAGCTAATTGACAATAGCTACGCTTCCTTCACCTGTCTGTTTGACTCCTTCATGCTTTTATAATATCATATTCACACTATTTGCTTCTAGTGCCCAGGAATGCAGCATGTGAAATACTATGTGTACATTCACATACATGATTCTACTGAAAAATTGTAGTCTAATTTTTGCACTAATTCGTTATAAATGATACCACATTCACACAGGATAAAATCACTCTTTTAAGAGCAAAATGAATGAGCAAACATCAACTTCCTTTTCTTCATTCCTCATATTAGACACAATATCCTTTTTCTTTAGGAAAAAATAGATGTTTTGATTAGAGTTGTGTTTTAGCCAGACAGATCTCTTGAGGCATCTCATGGGACTTGTTTACAACAAAAATACTCAGTGACTGGCAACTTTAACCTTATTAATTTTTTTTGTACATAACTATTAAAAGCAGTAAGAAGGTATGCTTATTGTCTCCACAACTGAGACTGTGTTCTCTGACCATTGCATAGGTGAAACGTCTACGTGGGGCAATGGCAAGTACAAAGCTCTCAACGGCCGCATCTTCTCCTTTGAGTCCTCCTGCGCATACACTTTCTGCCGTGACTGTGCCGAATCCGGAGGAGACTTCAATATCGAGATCAAAAGGGACAAGAAGAATAAGATTGAAGAAATAAGAGCTCTGATTGATGATGTTGGCATCTCAGTTTTGAATAATAGTATTTTTGTTAACGACGAAAGGTAAATAGCAGAATGGAGAGCCTAACAATTAAAGGATAGTTTGGAGGATGAACCACAACCAACCAGACACAGAAGCCGAGTTACGTCAGGAATGTATGACAGGTCCCTCTTTCAATGCTTGTCTACAGCAAGTTAGAACACAGCCAAGGGCTCTGTTGGACAATGACTGTGCCTAGATTTAGTGTAAAATGTAGATTCCACAAAACAGATACCGGAACAGTGCCGTTTTCATTGATGGCACTAACTATATTAAATACAAAGATGACACTTCACAAATTAGAAACCGACAAGATCACAACTCCTAGATTAGTTTTCAGAAAGATCAACTCAGATCTCAAAGAAACAGACTGACAGCTTTCTGGGATTAAAAAATTAAGAGGTGATTGATAGTCTGCTTGTGCATAATCCAACCTATACTGTTTTTTTTCCACTGACACCCAACCAACATTCTATCTGTTTATTTTTCCAAAAGACTAAGTCTATAGTAGTTATTCCTTAACAGCCCTTGTTACTAGAGTACTTTTCTCACCACCTGCATACTTTTTAAATTCTTCTCAGGATACAAGTGCCGTACAGCAACAAGATGATTCACATTAAAAAACAAGGTGATCACTATGTTCTGAACAGCCGCAGACAAACACTTTCTCTAAGGTGGAACAAGAACAAGCTCTCAGTAAGTTGACCAGTGAATTTCTTTGAACTTTTTGGTTTTCGGTCTTTGGTCTTGGTCATAAAAATAGACACATAAGGCAAAGAATTTGCTGATAAATTTTGATATGCTCGCTGTGCTGAGCTTTATTTTGTCTGAGAGTTCAGGCACCTCAGTAAGCAGCCCTCTTAGATGGCCGATAATGGGGCAGAAGCAGGCAAAGGAAAGCAAACGTGTTTTTATGGGCTTCCTGAGAGTGCGCATGAGCAGATCTCTGCGTCTGTTAATGTCTTGTGCCTTTTGATGGGCTCTTTTTCTTCTGTTTGTTTGTTTTGTTCTATTTCAATGTGTTAGTTTTTGTTTTAGCATTATACTATATTATTTTATATTGTATTATTATATTATTTTCTCTTAGAAGTCTGTTTTCTAATGAGAGACACGAAACGTGTGAATCCAGATGGAAGGGGAGGTGGGGAGGAAATGGGAGGAATATAGAGGTAGGGAAAACTGTAATTAGAATATATTATATGAGGAAAAAAACACTATTTTCAATAAAAGGGAAAAATATGCCTGTTGGTGGTGGAGAATGCCTTTAACCCCAACACTTGGGAAGCAGAAGCAGATGAATCTCTGTGATTTTGAGGCTTGCCTGGTCAACAAAGTGAGGTCCAAGGAATTCTTGACTTGAAGTGTCCCCTCCCCGAAAAAAAAAATCTGCCTGAGGACACAAGAAGCATTGTGGTCAGACTTGTAGCAAGTTTGGATCACAGTTTCTTTAGAAAAGACACTTTTCTCCCTACTGACCAGTGTACGCAGGACTGCACAGGAAAGGATCCTGTCCTTTGGTTTGGTTAAAAATTGTCTTGATATATTTTCAATATTTTATGGAATAATATCAATATTGTTTGCTTTTGCAGCTCACTCTTTATAGCCAGTATACCACCTGTGGTCTCTGTGGCAACTTCAACAACACTCCAGGTGAGCTTTGACAGATTATTCCTAAGATAATTACTTTCTAAAAGAAATTTAAAACATTTCACAGTTAGAGAGATAAATTTACTAACAAGTTACATTTGTCTAAAGGATGATATACAGAAGCAAAATAGATTTATCTTGCCAATGCTATATGTAGCTTACAAATAAGGTACAAATGAGTATCTTGAAATCATGCTTTGATTTGCAGGCCAAGATATCGATGAGCACATTGCCAATAGTAAAATTTCCAGTGACTGCCCCAATGCTGTGAGTGAGAGCAGTGAAGTCTGCGAGGATGGAGTACAGGTACGCAATGTGGTTTAACCTTGCAACAACTTTAGCACTGTTTCCCCTGAATTATTAAAATAAAATTTGTTGTGTATTTTAAGGTATATAACATGATATTATGGGGTGTCTTAGTTAGGGTTTCGATTGCTGTGAAGAGGTACCATAACCACAGCAACTCTTATAAAGACAAATATTTAATTGAGGTGGCAACTGACAGTTTGGAGGGTCAGTCCATTATCATCATGGTGGGGAACATGGCTGCATGCAGGCAGACATAGAAAGTGCACTGTCTCACTGGGCGCATCTTGAGTATATATGAGCCCTCAACGCTGACCTCCACAGTGACAGACTTCCTCCAACTGGACCACACCTACTCCAACGGAGCCACATCACCTAATAGTGCCACTCCCGCAATTTTCTTTCAAACCATCACATGCAATACATAAAAAGAATAAAAAAGATTGCTGTAATGAAGAATGTAGTTATTCATTTTTTTTGAAGTTGTGCCAAAAAACCTGAACTCTACTCATTTATCATGAGTATCTTGCATGGTGTATTTGTTTTACTGAAGTCCTCACAATGGACACACGAGCTCAGAATTTGCTCATCCTATGTGTATGATAAAACTTTTGGCATATGCCTCCCTATTTCTTCTCCCCAACCCATACCTACTGCTTTCTTTTCTCCATATATATGATTGCCTTTAAGGATTCTTCATATAAACGAGATTATACAATTTAGAAAACTATTTCATATAGCAATTTAGCATAACATTCTCCAGGCTCGTCTGTTTTGTAGCAGTGCAATATCTTGTTCTTAATTTTAGAACTGAGTAATGTCTGACTGTATAACCACAGATTCTTTGTCCGTTTCTCTTGCTATAGATGTTTAGGTTGTTTCCATTTCTTGGCTTTTGAGAATGGTATTATATGAATGTGAAAGAGAGATAGCATTTTGACAGCTGATTTCACTGGACCAAAGCCATGTCTTTATGTACTTGAAACTTCTGTGCTGTTTTTTGACAATGACTGTAAAAGAGTTTCTTCTTCATACATGTGCTCACATTTGATCTTTTCTGAATTTATGTTGATAACCATTCCAGTGGGTTTGGTGTATATTTTCCTAATGATTTATGACAGTGAATACTTCCTCATACTCCTTTTGGTGCTCTTGGTTTTTCTTATGTGTGTGTGTGTTGGAAGGGGTGGGAATGTTTATTCAACTTATTGTCCTTGGTCTAATTGGGTTGTTCTTGCATTAATGAGTTATATGAGCTCTTAATCAACTTTGTAATCAGCCCTTTGTCAGATCATGATTTGCAAATATTTCCCCAATCTCTAGGTTCCCATTTAAAAATGTATTTCAGGAAATGCATTGTTCCCCTTGCTGTGCATAAAAAATAAATGCAGTGTAGTTTTTGCCTTGGTGGCCTGAACTTTTAGCATGACATCTAAAGGTCATGACAAGCCAGTGGCTAGGAGTGCTTTCTTTCTTGGATCTTACGTGTTTATATTTTCAAGTGGTACAGTTATCTTTTTCATACATTTGACTTGATTTCTGCTTCTGGTGTGAGAATAGGACTCAGTTCCTTTCTTTCGAGTGTGGCAATCTTGTTTTCTAAGCGCCCTTTCTTCACAGGACCACACTCTCCCTTCATGTTGTCTTGGTGCCTTGTCAGAAATCAGTCAGCCACGTGAAGTAGACTTAGCCCTGGGACCTCTCTTCTGTCCTGCTGATCAGTGTATTATGTTAATGTCACAGCAAGGGAACCTCCAGTTTCTATTTAGATGCGCCAATCCCTCCTAAGCCAATGCTCAAATGAATTCTCTTCCAGCTTTCTCTCAATGTCCTTGTTGTCCAACCTTCCATTCCAGTCCAGTTGTGACTGTTAAGATTTTTTTCCCAAAGCAACATTGTATGTACTCTGCTTTAGTGTAATAATTCGAATTTTCTTTGCATGATGTTCCAATTTTTCTGTGAAACATAATTCCTGTGCTTCGCAGTCTCGGTGATTCTGTAACTTCCGACCTAAGAATGCTGTTTGAAATGTCCCTGACCTTGATTCTTAAAAAGTTACACAGAATAACATTTTTCTTAACTTTTATTATTTCTGTGGATTTCACATTATGCATCCTGATCCCACAATTCCACTTTTTTCCCTGTCCCCTCACGTCCTTGCTTCTGTCCTCTGCCCATGCACTCTCCTTCACTAAAACAAAACAAAATTCAAAAACAACAACAACAACAAAAAAACCAAAAACAAAAATCAATCCAAAATAAAAAGAGAAGAAGCATCTTGTTGTGGAAGCTGTAGTGTGGCTCACTCAGTCTACCCTTTAGTTCATTTATCTTTACTTGTAAATGTTCCTTGCAGTGAGTCATTGGTTGGTTCTCGGTTAGAAGCCTCTGGCTTTGCTATCCTATAGATAATGGACTCTCTCTGGGTGATCCCTTTGGATATCCTGTTGCTGTCATGGAGGTCCTGCAGTTTTGGATTTCTAGGTTTATCCCCTTCAGAGGCTCCAACAGTTCATAGATGTGGTGGATGTTGGCGTGGGCTAACTCGTAGCCCTGGTTCTGGGCCTGGGTGGTAGCTAGGTTGGTCAGCCTTCCATTGTTCTTTCCCCATCATCACCACCTGGGGTAGCTAGCCAGCACTTAGATAGCTTATCCTATGCACCGGGCAGCAAGGGGGTGGGGCCAGCTCACACTCATGGAATCAGTAGGGCTGCTTCTACTCTTTAGCCCAGACAGATACAGGGCTTTCTTTTCTGACTGCTGCAAGAAGGGTATAAGGAGGAGTGGGGTCAGCTTTCCTGCTCTCAAGCCCTTGGGCTGTCTCACCTGCTCCCCAACAACTCTAGTGTACAATCCAGGCAGGAGCAGGGCCCACTCTCCTGTGGGTTGCAGCTGGTAAGGGACAGGGATAAATAATCTCCTCACTTTTGAGATCCCAGGCCAGCTCTTTTTCTTACCTGCTGCAGGTAGCATGGGACAAAGTGGGGATGTGTGGTTACATTTTCCCTTATGGAAGCTACCATGTGGTAGACGGGGACGGAGTCAGCTCTGCTGCCCTCATGCCACCATGTCCAGCTCACCTACATCTGGACAACAGGGTCCGCTTTAGTGTACTGCCGAGAAGGAATGCAGATCGCACTCTCCTGTGAGTAGCAGGTCTGTGAGGGGCAAGGCTAGTTTTACTTTCATGACACTGGGGCTAGTTCTCTCACCTGCCATGGGTGGCAATGGGTAAATGGAGGGGGGGGTGGCGTTGGCATCTTTCTCTCACTCACCACCACATGGCGGATAGAGGGGCGTGGCAAGATCAGATCTCCTCCTCTAATGCCCTGAATCCTCAACAATAGATTTAGGTCTAGTTGGAAGCCAGTGGTGAGGAGGTGGTGGGACTATCTTTCCTGAGTGTGTGTTTGTGTGTGGGGCAACTCTCCCCTGAGAGGAAGGGCAGGCTCTCCTGTAACAGAACCCAGCCAGGGAGGGACAGGGCCATCCATCCTAGGGCCAGCAAAGGGTGGGGCTGGCTCAAAACAGCCCACGGGTTTCCACATGGTGGCACCTATGACCTCAGGTGCTAACACTGGCCATGGACATCATCAGATACTCCAACTGCAGTAGGTCTACAGACCCAGACATGGCCCTAGGCAGTGGCCCTGGCCGGATGTTTCCATGGCCCCAGATGGCAGAGTTACTCAGATCGGTAATACCTCCACAAGGGCATGGCCCTTGGAAACTGAGGGTGTCTCAACAGAAGAATAACAATTCTTGTCTACACACTTCAAAAACTGCCATTGAGATTTAGGAGAAAATTCCTAAAAACAATTTATTAAAAACATTCTTCATAATTCCCTTTTCCTATTTTCAGCTTATTTGGGGGAATTTTATCAATCTTTCTTGACTGAAATTAGTACAAACTACACGGTTAACAGGAGCATATGTAATTTTCTAAAAACACTTTTGGTAACAGAAAATACCATGTGGTCATTGAAATATCTTGAAATTCAGTTTTCTTGTGGCACAGCAAAATAACATGTGTTTTTATATTGCGAACAATTTATTATTTATTATTAATTAGTTAATTTTTTATAATATTAAAGCAAATGCATATAATTTCCACTAGACAAGGACACTGTAGTGTATGCTGACCTGTCCACTTGTGCCCTGACAAGCTATAAACGCATCAACAGTTTCGGGCCAGCATCTCTTTTGTGTAACGTGTTGCCACCAGTTGCCAAGTATTGCCTCGTATCGACATGTTCTCATCCCATCCGCCCATTTTCTCCAGATCTAAGATTCCCTGCCGTATAGGAGACAGTTGGACAAACCTGGGTGATAAATCAAATCAATAAATTTGAAGCCATTCCAACTCTCTGAAATGTGAGAGGTCAATCTTTCTTGCCAACTATACTACCTGGCTTTAAAGTTTCAATATATTAATTCAATGCCCCCCCCACTCCACAAGAGTTACAGAATGATATATTATAGATTTCTGTATCTAGCTTTTCTTAGAAATTCAAGCTATTGACCTTTTCCCCCGTGTGTTTAAGTGAAATGTGCTTTGTTTTGCAGTATTGTGACAAGATCATTGGGGCTTACTTTGAGAACTGTGGGAAGGTTTCCCCTTTAGCCAGTGAGTACAGAAAGGTGTGTGTTGATGACTATTGTCGAACCGGAGGCGGCAAGGACTCGACCTGTGACACCTTCTCTGAGCTGGCCCGACTCTGTGCCTATGATGGACCTGGCGTCTTCGAGCACTGGCGAGATGATTCTGCCGTAGTTTGTGGTAGGTGATTTTTTTTCTTAACAATGGTAGGTTATGAAAGAATACCTTCTTAAAGAACTCACTTCATAGCTCAAGGCATATCTGATAACAGTTTTCTTGAATGATTCTAAGGACCAGCTAAGGAAGTCTTGTCGCTAAAGTGTGGATATGAAAAGATTGAGGCTCATTTTGTGATATGATTTGCCTTGTTGCAGAGTTTTGTGTTAAGATCTTAATTAATAAGATCATCAGCAACCATAAGGGGAGAAGTGTAAATCCTATAAAAAGTAGCTGATTATTTTTAATGTCTACTCACAAAGTATTATTTTATTTTAAAAGATTAGTAAAATGTAAATATGAGCTTTATACATGTATAAGTACAATTTATGCAATTTATGACGCTTGGGTTAATCTCTATAGAACTGCATATCAAGCTCAACATGGGATGAAATTAAATGATGCCATTTACCTTTTCTCTGAATTAAAGATTACTCAGTGAAGAAATGCTTGCGAAGTTGGCATCATTTAGTTCTATGGAGTGTCTTTAAAGATCGATTAGTATCTTGAAAAGCAGAATCAGCGAATCCCGTTTGAAAGGATCATTAGAGAACTGTATATTTAATCTGTTTTCCTTTCATTTATAAGCATATATATTTCTGTATATCTTCAGAAAAGCAACAATGTCCAGGAAAATATATCTACAAAGAATGTGGACCTTCAAATCCTCCGACTTGCTCTAACGTGGCTCCTTTTCAGGACAGTGAATGTGTGAGTGGCTGCACCTGCCCAGAAGGTAAGATCCCTGTGATCATATCCACACCAGGACAGCAAAACTAGACAAAGGGCGGCCATCCGCAGCTCCAAAAACGTGACTGCAACAGTGAATGATTCTTATGGATCCTCTGGTAACCCACTGAGAAATGTCAGATACTTTCAAAGCTAACGTGTGTTTTATCCCTGAGTACGGAGTGTCTCTGAAATCCACCAATTTACATAGGGCTTAGTAGGCCATGTCTCTGTGGGCCAGTAACTCAGGCTCTGAAGATTTTCATCCACATTCTTATCAATCTAAATGAAAAGCTATCACTTACGCAAGAGCTTAGCATTTCCGGGCACACTCACACTTGCTTTAGAAATAGTTCAGAAGTAGTGACAGTTGTTGGAGAATTTACTGATGTTCATATAATTATTGAGAGTACATCTCCATGTGTATTCTAGGTTATCTATTGGATGATATCGGAGAGAAAGGAAAGTGTGTATTAAGGGAAAAATGTCCTTGTGAATCTAATGGAAAAGTATATAAACCAGGAGACGTCCGAGAAGGCCCCTGTGGTTCTCAGTGGTATGTGTGTGCTTTTCAACTACATTTTATAGTCATTAAGATAACATCTAGGTTTTTATCCATGCTTAAAGTTATTAAATTTTATTCAGCAAAATGACACTTCTTAAACTATAACAGGGTCATGGGGATAAAGAAAAAGCAAGTAAACAAACAAACAAAGCAATTGTCAGTTCGATGTTTCTAATTCCTGGCGTGTTACTCTTACAGATTTGGGGCAATGAATCCATTTCCCAGGCATCCTCAGAAATTTTAAAATTATGATGATTTTGAACATGCGTCTACTAATCTTTACACTCTGCTGTTTAGATAACTAAACTTGTTTGTTGTAATTTTTTTTAAAAAAGAAAATGACACGAGAGAGAAAGGTGCCATGTAACAGAGTTCACATGGAGGGTATTTTATTAGGAGAAAGGGAACGTAAAAGAGGAGAAGAGGAGGGGAAGACTGGCCTCTGAGGACAGAGCAACAGAAGAGAAGAGAAAGGGGGAGAGAGAGAGAGAGAGAGAGAGAGAGAGAGAGAGAGAGAGAGAGAGCAGTAAGAGACAGAAAGATGGACAGAGAAGCAGAGAGACCAACAGACAGACAGAGACAGAGAAAGAGAGAGAGATGGGGGTGGGTTGGCAAGGCCCTTGTAAAAAAAAAGAACTTAGTGAGTGTACACAGGAGGTGTTAGTGACTGCAGCTGAGATGGTATCCTGTCAGGACCCCAAGGTCAGGCCAGTACAGATGCCTGAATACTAACCATGCTTAGAGCGTAAATACACTAAGTTTTGTAGTGTTAACAAAGAACTACAGGAATATTTAAACACTTAAAAAAACTTGATTTAAAGTTCAGGTCTCCAGTAATAGAACAGCCCCTCACAGAATCACACGGGCTCACTACTCACTAAAGGATCACTTTGTATTGAGAATACGTTAGATCTTGCAAGGTCATACAAAGGTCTTGCACAAAATACAGTATGTCTGAACTCATTAGCAAGTATTTTGATTTTTATTGCCTTTCTTGTTCTCCTTAGTGTTATACTTTGACCACATTACATTTATTGGCAGCTGTTCATGTATCCACGACAGGCTAAGATCTGAATGTGAGGGTGAATACGTGGGTATCTTTCTTTCTGAGATTTGTCAACCTCATTTGATATTATTAGACATTCTGAGTCCCTCATTCTCTTGAGAATGTTGTGAGTATACTTCTCCTTAGAGCTGAATCGTTTTCTGTTTATGCGCGAGACAGTTAATGATGGATAGCTCGCCTGGCTCCATGTCCCTGCTACAGCGAATAAAACAATGAACATGGTGGAGCAAATGTCGCTTTTGCCAGGGATGGAGTGCTCCAGGTCAATGCCCGGGAGAACAGCAGCTGTGTTGTATGGTAGTTCCGCTTCGGATGCTTTGAGAAGTAGCATCTTCATAAGGCTCACTGTCTCTGCGCCTCTGTCTGACTTTGCAAATTCGTGAACACTGTACTCAGTGCCATTCGCCTTCCTGATAATAATGCAGCACATGGACAAACTGCTAAAATTCAGTGTCCACGATTTTATAAATTCAATTCATGAAATTATTTATTTTTAGTCAAAGAAATTGTAGCTTAAAATATCATGATATTGCCAGGTGGTGGTGGCGCAGGCCTTTAATTCCAGCACTCGGGAGGCAGGCAGACCTTTATGAATTTGAGGTCTACACAGCAAGTTCCAGGACAGGCTCCAGAGCAACAAACAAACAAATAAATGAAATGTCACAATATCAACATGGATGAGGCACCTTATGGGGGCTGTTATTGGGTGGGAAATGACCTGATACTCCCGTGGCATCTTCGGATGTGATGTTCTAATGTTGTGGTGTTTGCTCAGCCTGCAGAAGGCTTGACCTTTGGCTCACCTTTACATTCCACAGCACATGCCAAGATGCTAAGTGGTCCTGTACCAAAGCTTTCTGTCCTGGGATATGTAAAGTGGAAGGCAGCTTAATTACTACTTTTGATGACAATGTATTTAACCACCCTGGAGACTGTTACTTCTTGGCCCTCTACGTAAGTACTTACCTATAACATCTCTGAAAACTGAGCAAATTTCCAATGAATTTAAAGCACAATTCATTTTATGTTCTTGATATTTGATAATTTCACACTTGTATAAAATGTATTTAGAGTGTATCTGTTTCCCACCTTCACCTCCAAATCAACTTCATTTCCTTCTTCTCCTTCTCCTTTCTCTTCTCCTCTTCTTCTTTATAACCAATTGCATCCAATTATTGCTGCCATGATTCACATGGGTATGGGTCATCCACTGGGACATGGGCAACCTACTAAGGACAACACTCATAAGGAAAACTGACTCCTTCTCTCTCAGCAGCCATCAACTTTCAATAGCTCCTCAGCCGAAAGTGAGCTCCTCCCCTGTCTTTGCTGGAATGCTATCAGCTTGCTGTCAAATGGCCCTGTACAGACAATTGCTCTGTGTTGTTCATCAGGGAAATGACTCTGTCATGTCCAGAAGACATTAGTTTGTACCAGTCCTTCACAGTTTCTGGATTTTACAACCTATTTCCTCCCCCACTTCTATGATGCTCCTTGAGACTTCTTGAAGAAGGATTGTGACATTAGGGATAATAATTCAGTAGTCAGTTTTTGTACTTTGGCCGGGTTGAATCTCTGAATTAACTACTGTGAAAATAGGCTTCTTTGATAAGAGGTGAAAGCTACTTTCATCGATGTGTATAAGGATAGATCCTTGGAAAGAAGTTTGAGGCAGTTTAATTTACAACAGTAGTAGGTTCTGCCCAAGGACGTATAATCTCCCCAGCACAGATTCTTGGTCAAGGGTAGAGTTCCAGGCATGAGTTCCTGCTCATGAAGCAAGCCAAGACTGAAAACCAATTAGAAATGTGTCAGCTGGCCCCATAACATCCGTGCCACTACGGCACCAGGAGGCATTTCTCGCTGAGTGGCTGTCTGTCACTCACAGGGCTCACAGCTATATAAGACTGCTGACACCACACTCCTCCAGGACCTTGCATAGTTCCTTCTGACCCTAGGAAAGCTAGCTGGCAGTGGGACAATCAGCTTTTATACCAAGTTCCTGTGTAAACAAAAGAGAAGCAAACAGCCTTCCGAATATTAGCTACACATTTCAGTGTCCCTTTTCTATCACAAATCGACATTGACATCATTGAATATTAATAGTATATCGTGTACACTCTGAAAATTTCTGGCTGAAACAAAATTCAGAAGGTAAAGTCTTAATTTGTGAACAAGCTGCTAAGTACTTAAGAACGTCATCACGCTCTTCTGCCTGTTTGTGGACACTCAACTGTGCTTCACATAATCTGATGCTGTCTTTCCTAGATGCATTTTCTTCATTCTTTCCAGAAATTTATTTTTACCCTTTTTTATACAATGTGGCCCCATTGTGGGATAACTGCTGGGTTTGCATTTAGACTCTTCTTAGTATTAAAATCTTAAGTAATCTGAAGTACAGTAACAGGGCAGTTCTGGTTTGCGGCTCCTACTTTCAGTGGACAGGAGAAAAATGATAGTGTTTCATCTTTCTGGGAAGAAATGAAGGTGAACTGAATTTGTGTACTGAAAATAGAGAGGAGTGGGTTAATATTAGAAAGTTCCACAAAATGTAATTTTGCTACTGAAGAGCTCTATTCCATTCATTATTCCCGTGTATGAAAAATTCTCTCTTTTCTTTCTCTTTATGCTCTCTTTCTTCACGCTGTGAGGACTAGGGATGGGGAAAGAGAAAGAGAAACCTACTAAAGAATACAGAATGTGTGCTACATCCAGATCAGTGGTTCAGAGACCTGCATGACAGAGCTAGAAATCTCATGGTATTTCACAGCAAAATTTACAGTTTTCCCAGCTAAAACCCTCTTGCATTGTATCTGTACAGAGGCTATAGACTACCCAGGGATTCAAAGGCCATTTTCCCTTTAATTCCTAATAACACCACACAGCACCACAATCATGCTGGATTCAAGAGTGAAGACAAAAGAAAAACATTTGTAGTGAAATGTCCATGTATAGAGCAGAGGTTCCCATGATGCCCAGACCATTTATAAAATGCTTATCTCTTCCTGGTGTCAGGGGCTGGATAAGATTTCTAGATTCTGAGTAGATTGTGTGGAGAAACTGCAGACTTAAGTTCGTTGTGAATAAATCATGTAGAGATAGCACATGAGAAAATTACTGAACATAATTGTTTTACAGAATGAAGATATTTCTATCAGTGTTGAGCTTCGTCCGTGTGATGATGGTCAGACAGGATCGTGCTTAAAGAGTGTTACGCTTCTCCGAAACTCTGTAAGTATTTACCTTCCTAAGGTTCAGCCACAGCAGCATCAGGTCAATGATTTCACAAAGTAAAATCTGGAGAGGGCTGAGGTGATGGCCTGGTGAGTAGGAGAGCTTGATACAAATGCATGGGGATCTGAGGTCCAATGGCAAGGACTTTGGAATAGCTGGGCATGACTACACATGCCCATAACCTCAGTCCTCTGTGTCAAAGAGAGAATGATCACGGGGGCTTGCTGACCATCTATCCTAGCCAAAACCCAGTGAGATCCAGGTCCAGCAAGAGACCCTATCTCATCAGGATAAGCCAAGGAGTGATAAAGTAAACACCCAATGCCTTGCTCTAGCTTCTGAAGAAAAGTACATTGGCACATGCACCCTCTCGCACACATGTACCCCACATACATGCGCACGCACACACACACACACACACACACACACACACAGGAGAGATGGTCAGCTGATACTTTTCATGAGCTTCATCCCTAGCACCATGTGAGAAAACAGAATACTCAACCTTCCTACGTTGTCTGTAACTCCAGGACAGGGGAAGGAAAGACAGAGCAGAGCTCTGGGACTGGCTGATAAGTCAGTCTTGACAAATTGATAAGCTTCAGATTCAGTGAGAGGCTATGTCTTGAAAGAACAAGGTGTGTGGAAATTTAGGAAGACACCTGGTACAGTCTGTGACCTACACCTTTCATCACCCCCCACACAAGTGGGCAAAATGAGTCTGAATTCGGAAGAACAATGACTTTGCTAAATGAATTAAGTCTATGAATAAGATGTCAGAAAAACAATAACATTTCTAGAAGAGTTGGAAAGAGCCAAGATCCTAAAAATATGCCCACAGTGAGCATAAATAATTGCATATGAACAACAGAATAACCATGGTTTTCCATTAGGTATTCACCAGGCCTTAAAAGGGTGTTGGTACTTACAAAGGATTACCATCTTCCTTTCAGTTTCCTTGTCTGTAAATTGATGACAAGCGTTCCTTTCCAGGGCTGATATGGGATACATGAAGCATAGTGAAAGAAAGGCTTCAAAGATATTCATTAATCTATGCTACAGAACTCAACATGTTTTAGTGGCATGAAAATTCAGCTTCATGTAGCATAATAAAACTATGCCGAGCTAACGAAGCGTTTTAAATATTAGTCTGTTTCAGGTGGCAGATTTGTGTTCAGTAGTGATGGGACAGTCACAAAGGATGGAGTTAGACTCCAAGGCTATTACTATTCAGGTAAGGTTAGCAAGAGCATCTGAAAACATGTTCCAGATGACTTTATTTACTCAGCTTCTGAAACTGACATGCTAATTTTGGTGATAAATTGTTATTCAACAGATGATATACAGATCTTCAATGCATCTTCTTTATACATGCAAGCAGAGGTGCTCTCTCTCCTAAAGATGCAGATACAAATTGCTCCTGCAATGCAGTTGTATTTGTCCATGCCTCCCGATGCATTCACAGACACTGTCGGTAAGTCCTCCAAATGGTATTATTTCCAAGGATTCGGCATTATGCACTTAATGTGGTAATATACTATTATGGAAATACCTCCTACATCCTAAGAGACTGGAACTTGTGATGGAATTCTCAGTCAAAGATAATAATGCACCTCGAGGTCACTTAGGACATAGGACTTCTTTCCTACTGTGTGCTCAGCCTGTTTATTTAACTTGCGTTTAGGAGAACAGTGTACCAGTCAACCTTTACTCGACACAGAATCAATAGCAAAGGATGTTCAACAATTCACACATTTCAAATTTTTGAATTAAGACTTTTATTTAGGGTCTATAGAAATGGCTCAGGGGTTTAGGGTAGAAGGTCCTCTGCAAGAGGACCTAGGTTCGATCCCTAGGACCCATATGATATCTCAAAGCCATCAGTCAGTAACTCCACTTCCAGGTGCTGTGATACTCTCTCTTCTGCCTCCCTGGGCACCAGGCATTCATGTGCTACACTTACACACATGCAGTCAATACACACATGTTTATTAAATGAAATCTAAAAATATTTAAGGACTGTTATTCAACTAACATTTTGAAAATATGTTTTATATGTCCTTTTACTAGTAGTGTAAATCAAATAAGACCTTGGCATGTAGCTGAATAAATAAAAATACAGTGTGTATAACTTTAAAACTCAGGGGCAAGGGACATTAATATTTGCCCTTAGGCTACACCACAAGCTCATTTATTTTCCTGAAGCTTCCCATCATGAAAATGAGCTCTTCTTCACAGTCATAAATGGTAAAAGAATAAATGACAAGTCCCATAAAAGGATTAATGTATACATGGTACAAGTTTTATGCTACATATTTTACTTGAAAGGTAATGTATTTTAATTTAGACAAAGAATGCAACTTGTGGATTGGACAACTCTAACAGGGAAGGAACATAGCCTTTTCGTGATTCATCTCTCTAAAGTTATCACGCCAAACACCAAGTACTATATATGGCACATGATCGTCTGTGCTCTGGACTTTTTGTGAAAGACTAATGAATTAAATCTGAAGTGATGTAAGATTTTACCTAATGTGTGCCAGTATTAACTAAACATATTTCAAGTAATTTTTTTTACAATGTTTTCAATAAAGTAACCGGAAGACTGCGTAGGTGGAAACGCTAACCTTTGCTCTGTGACTTCAACATCCTGCAGGTCTTTGTGGTTCCTACAACAACAAGGCAGAAGATGATTTCATGTCAAGTCAGAAAATTCTGGAGAGTACAGCTCAGGCGTTTGCTAATTCCTGGGAGATGATGTCTTGTTCTAAGGGGAGCCCTTCTTCCTGTGTCAGCATCGAAGCAGGTATCATCATGGAATCATCATGGAGATTCAAGCTGTGTTGTTTACAGTCGGTGCTGGCACTTGCAGACTTACACTGATAATCATATGTAGATATCAGATCACCTTGTCTCTAGTTAGCATTTCTTATATTATCCCAGGTTTAGATGAAATAGAGAATTAAAGAATTAGGAGATGACACAAAAGAGTAAATCTTTTATAAAGATCAAAGTTAATTTATGTTCACTGGAAAAGAGGCCAGCACTTTGTGGTAGTTTATAAAATAAATCTGATTTTCAGTGTATTATATTTAAATTAATAATAACATAAATTAGGCTGAACTTTGAGAACACGGTATTAATAGTAATAGTTTTGGGGAAAGCATAGTGACGGGTTGTTGCTAATTTGCCAGGTTATCAGCCATAGCTGCTTTTTGTGTCTCTCTCGGGGTTCAGACTCCTTTATGCCTAAAGTCATCATAGAAAGCATTGGCTATCACCTCCCTTTTTACAGATCTTCCTTTTGTGAATTTAGTATGGGGTATATATTTATAAATAAACAAATATCAGTTAAGCACTTCTCAACAAGTACATTTGATTTACTGATCCTGGTGATGCTGTGTCATGTGACGTGGGTGTAATGCAGAAGAGGTGGCAGGTGAGCCCTTGACATTGATACACAGCAAAGAGACACTTAAGATGCGGTGTACATCACCTGTTTTCATTTTCCTATCGAAACTGCGTTTCAGAGAAATGTTAAATAGGTTAATAGAAAACGCCAGTAGTAATGAAGACTCAACTTCTAGTGTGCTCTGTTTGCACTGTGATATTTCAAGCGGAGTTCCATGGAATTTCATCCACCACAGCAACTGCTTTGAGAGCAAAACTCTTCAAGGAGGCAGAACCCTGAGAGACACTCAGCTTTCCTGTAAATTAAAGAGACTTTGGTGCTACCGAGTCTAACTTTGGATGCTTTCACTTCCTTCCAGAGAAGTTTGCTGACAGCAACTGTGGCATTCTTCTCAATTCAAGCGGACCTTTTGCTGCCTGTCACCAAGCTGTGAGCCCCAAATTCTACTATGAGGTATGTGATGAGCTGCCACAAGCAGCCTTTGTGGGAAATATTTTGGTGATTTTGACAAAGTGCGCACATCTTAGTCATTTTCAAATTATTACTGTTGTCAATAGATTAAAGTGCATGCTTAAAATTAGAATTAGGGTCTAATAATTTACCTAAATAGTAGCTATATTAACTTTATAAATATAATGTTGGAAAATGATCAATCCCAAATGAGAAAAAGCTTGAATAACTTTTCCTTTTTACTTCTTTAAAGTAGATTAATAATTAATTAGCTATTTTAAACATTTAAAAATATTTCTGAATGTCTCAAAGTACAATTTAATTTTGGTGTCAGGAAAGCCTGGATATACATTAAGCTATTTTACTGGGGTTGCCTGTTCTTATGAATAACTTTAGTATGTGATATATATTTTTTTTCATTTAAAAGGAATGCAAAAAATACACGTGCTCTTGTGGAAACAGCCAAGATTGCCTGTGTACGGTTCTAGGGAACTACGTGAAAGCTTGTGCTGAGACAAAAACATACCTAATGGGCTGGAGAGATGGGCTATGTGGTAAGTAGGGGTGAAGCTCACCTAGTGGGCTGGGGAGCTGGGCTATGTGGTGAGTAGGGGTGAAGCCCACCTAGTGGGTTGGAGACCTGGGCTGCCCTGAGTACGGTTGAAGCCGATGTCTCTGCTTCCCTCTCAGCTTTCTGTGTGCACCTGTGCTGGGGTGGGGAGAGACACAGGCATTGACAAACTTGTATCTGATACTTTCAAAAGGGATGTTTTTCAAACAGTTGTGGGCTCTCCCTTTACCTCGTGGTCTGTTGGCCACCAGTCCGCGGGGACAGAGGGAGCAGAGGCAGTGTGCACGGCTTTGTACAGCCTATGAGTGCAATGGAAATAGCCTTCTTGGAGTCTGATTCGATGTCACAGCTCAATTTTACTTCAGAGTAAGGGGAATATGTAAGAGTGAGAGAGCAGCTGGGGAATCACCTAATTTGGCAGCTGGTCCTACCATACAGCGGGGGCACGCTATGTAATTATCATGTGCAGACAGCAGAGGGAACATTTGCCGGGAACTATGTCAAAGATCACACTTAAGTCAGGCATCCAGACTCAGGGACAGCTTCCAAATGAGGTCATTTGGGTCTAGAGACACTATCCAAATAGAGTGGGGACGGAGTCCTGCTGCAAAGTGAATCCTCCATACCATGTTGAGCTCAGAGAGCTATCCTAGCATGCTGAACTGCAACCTTAAGCAACAGAGCCCTCTGACAAACAATCATTGGCAAATCTTGAATTTTGGCATTTTCATTCCTTTATTTAATGTATTTATATTTTCAAGATGATAGGTATTTATAGGAATATGTTCAATTACTGTATACTGAAATTTACATAGTTTTTCATTTGTAAATTGGGAGCCCAAATATTATAGTTAAAAAATTTATCATATTCTTTGAATATGACTTCTTAACAATTTACCCTGAGAAAGAAGAACAGTAACCAAAAAATCTTGAACAAGTCATATCTGGAGGCTTTGCTGCATTTCCCAGGCAGGAGGATTTCTGTGAGTTTAAGGACAGCCTGGGCTATGTAATGTATTGTGGGTCAACCTGTACTATATAGCAAAATTCTGTCTCATGAAAGCTTGCAGATCTGTAGCAGCCTATATCATCTAGATTTCTCAACACTTCATGGTCCGTGTCCAACAGGCAGTAGGGCTGATCACGTTAAATTTTCTGTGTCATCAGTTTAGCACAGGGAAATGCCCTTTCTTTCTCTTCTTGTCTAATTGTAAAGACCCTCTTTGATATTTCCCTTCTGCTCCTTCTAATCTGTATTCTATGATCAAAACCAAATGAACCAAATAAAGTAAAACCACACAAAACTTGTCAGCTACAGTTATCCTTAAAATGGGCTCAGAAGCTACACATGAGCGGTGTGTATTGCCTAGCCTGCCAGTGGGCTTTGTCTGAAACATTGACTAAAAAAAATAAACCAATGAGCAAATAACTTTTTTCTATACTCACAACGTAAAATTTGAATAATCCACTATGTTCTTTCCAAGCATCAGTGTGAAGGAAGTCCTTTTCCAGAATTTGTACAGATTGTAACGACCATTCTTGTGTCTTCCCCACAGAGGTTTCTTGTCCAAGTGGCCTCGTGTTTGATTACAAAGTGAAAACCTGCAACAGCTCTTGTCGATCACTCTCACAACGAGACAGAAGCTGTGATATAGAAGATGTTCCAGTTGATGGATGCACTTGCCCTGAGGGAATGTACCAGAACAGTGAAGGGAACTGTGTTCAGCTATCTGAGTGTGACTGCTATGTTAATGATGAGATTGTGCAGCCCGGCAAATCCATCCTTATTGACGACAATAGCTGGTACGTAGTAGATTATATAGACACTCATTCTGATACCCACGGCAGATAACATAGACGCTTGCGATGACATTGATAAGGGAGTGTGTTCTCGCCAGAGGAATAGTCACTTGCCAGGATGAAGTCTCCCTCAGATCTACTATAGTTTTCATTTTCCATGTGTAAGTGCAGCTGGTTGGTACTTCTTTTATTCTGGAGGGTCCATCACAATCTATTGCACCATAGTGACCATACATGTGGTTTATTCCACTCTGTTTTAAAGATTAAGAGAAATGTGTTCTGGTAGCTTTTATAAATAGACAATGCAAAAATGAATTTACACACAAATAACGATCTACTGTTTTAGTCTGTAGCATTCTGCAAGTACTTGTTAAGCGCCCATATCTAGGGCTTGAATTTATTGCTAGAATTATAAAAGAACGTAGTCATGCCTTGTCTACACAAACTAAACAAGGCGTTTGTTACCGTGAGGTAGCAACCACTGCCTGAGGACTTGGGGAAGCTTCCGAAAGGAGGCTGAACTTTTAATTCTCCTAAACATGGTCTGTTTTTTCAGACAAAACTGACATGTGGAGAATGATTTCTGTGAAAAGAATGATATAGCACATGCTTAAAAATATTGGGCATGGAGGCTATTGTATAAGATTATGTTAGAGACATAGACAACGGTCAGGCTGAGGCTTAGATTCCAAGTTCACAGGCATATGGTTGGGGTTCGAGGATAAACTTTCCCCTCCCCACCCCGTAATTGCAGAATAAAGTGATTATGGACCACAAGCTATCTCTCTGCAGCTATGGTATCTCTCGGTACTATTGATTCAGAACACCATCTGCTCTTGCCAGCATCTCTGAGTATGTTAACTATCCTTTCCTTTCCTTTGACTTCCTCTATTCCTGTGTTACCTTCCTTGCTCTGTGACCAGAATGTCTATGGTAAAGCACAATTTGGTTGAACCACTAGCCTTCATAAATAAATGACAGTTGCCAAAAGAATAGAAAGATACTTGCATGTCATTTAAGGCCATACAAGATCTGGCCCTAACTTATTGCTATTGCTTTGTCCATTTGTATATTATCTTGCTTGCATCCACAGGAAATTTTGGGGAGCCTTTGAAACACACCTTATTCTTTTGGCCATCAGTTTTTCACATTTCTTGCTAGATTAAATCCTGTGGTCAAACTTTCCATGAGGTTTTCTTTGACATTCGTAGAACTTGCCCCTTCCTACAGTACTTGTAAGGTTACAGCTTAGAATTTGGCAAATCATACTCATGTGATTTGGCAAAAGATATATATTCTTGTAACTGGTTCACATTTGTCTAATTGCCCTTAAATGTGAATGTTTAAAGAGATAAAATATATGGTTTTCTTCTATTTCCAGTGTCTGCCAGGATGGAGAGCTTCTTTGCCAAACTCCCCTTAATTTGACCATACGTGAGTGGTTTTTATTGCTGTTGTAATACTTGCTTATTTGATTTCCCACCCTTGAACTTATTTCTTTCTCCTCTGATCATCTTCTTGCCTCACCTCTCCTTTACCTATCTATCTATCTATCTGTCTGTCTGTCTGTCTATCTATGTATCTATCTATCCATCCATCCATCCATCTATCTATCTATCTTTCTATCTGCCCCACCCCTATCTCTCTCTCCTCTCACAAAACATCCCACACTGGCCTTGAAAGGACAGCAATCCTTCTACTTCAGCATCCCAAATGCTGGAGTTAAGGACATGTGCCAGAACTCCCCCTTCTTACGTAAGTAACTGTTAATAAAGTGATCAAAAAAATAGACCAGGAACTCTGGCTTAACAATTATATCTTGCAGACAACTGCTCCAGGGGTGCTGAGTATGTGGACTGCAAAGATCCCAAGGCACAGAGAAGGACTGATAGGACATGTAGCACCCGGAACATACCTGATTTTCAGGTAAGTAACATTACATCAGAGTGGAGCCTTAGACACTTTAAAATTTTCATGATAAATAGAAGCTACAACTTATAAGAAAAATATTTCGATCATTGTGTGTATGCGTAACCTGTCCCACTGTCAAATGTGAGCTGCAGATGTACAGTGACTATAGCTACCCATTTAACTTGGTGCTGATGATGTGACGTGATGACATGCGTGTTTTCTTGCAGGGAGACTTACCATGCAAACGTGGGTGCTACTGCCCCGTAGGAATGGTCCGCAACTCTAAAGGGATATGTATACATCCTGACGATTGTCCCTGCTCTTTTGGCGACAGAGAATATGAGCAAGGAAGTGTTACTTCTGTTGGCTGCAATGAATGGTGTGTAATAAAGAATTCATAATTTATTAGTTTTAGATAATTAGAAATGGATAGTTTGCTGCTATTTTCCATGGGAATGAGAAAGTCGTGCCTAGGTCTGTTTGAAAGAATAATGTCCAATGTAAGTTAGCAAAGGATAATAGTTTTTGGCAAAATCACCATAAACATTAGATAATATAATCTAGACAGCTTCAATATTAAAGCCAAAAATATTATATGATTTTTATAAACCACTAAAATATATGAATCATGGCAAAAATAACGGTCACTCTTCAATTTTCTCCTTTCAGTACTTGCATAAAGGGATCTTGGAACTGTACCCAAAATGAATGTCAAAGTACTTGCCACATCTATGGGGAAGGACATGTTAGAACCTTTGATGGAGAAAGTTACAGCTTTGATGGGCTCTGTCAGTACACATTCCTTGAGGTAATTATGTGTATATGTTATCATCCTTTTTTCTGTCCTTTGTAATTATTCTTGAGTACAGGGAAATTTATTTTCAAGGTGTCATTTTATTTTATTTTATTTTTTTTACAACTTTTGCTATGTTTCTAGGAGGAAGTGTGTTTTCCAGTGTGAGGCTGGCTCTGGTGGCTCTGTTAACTCCTGGCTTGGCTTCTTTAGATGTATGACTGTGGCCATGTTCCTTTAGGTCTCAGATTCTGTATTGATAAAATGTTCATGAAGATAGCACCTTCTGGAAGCCACAAGGAAGCACTCATTGTGACCCATACTAAGTCCGTAGTGATGGTAGACCCTGTTATCCTAGCTGTAGCAGTAGAGATGGCAACTAGAAATTCTCAAGTGCTCTTTGCCAAAAAAAAAAAAAACGACACAATTCATTGTTGTTCATTGTAAACCTAGACAGCTTTTATTGCCCCTACAATGCAGATAGAGAAGGGAAGCTTTAAGTGAATTAAACATCTTAAACTGTTATAAGGAGCTGCTTGCTGGTTCCTGGCTGCTCAGCCCCAAAAATAATCACACTGAAACTATATTACTTAAATTACTGCTTGGCCCATTAGCTCTAGCTTCTGATTGGCTAACTCTTACATATAAATTTAACCATTCTCCATTAATCTGTGTATTGCCATGCGGCAGTGACTTAACGGGTAAAGTTCCGGCATCTGTGTCCTCCACGGCTACATGGCTTCTCTCTGCCTCTGCCTTCTTTTTCCCGCATTCAGTTTAGTTTTCCCCACCTACCTTTATTTCCTGTGCAGGCCTAAGACAGTTTCTTTATTAACCAATGGTATTCACAGCACACAGAGGGGAATCCCACATCATAAACTACTATCTAGAGACTGTCATCGTGAATGAATGAAATGTCTGATTTCAGAGCTTATGCTTTTAGAGGCAATTAAGGTCCCTGACAAGATAACATTTAAAGGGTAAAGTTTAGATTTGTTATTATTTGTAGATTGGCTGTGACTGACTATCAAATTTCATATAAATGACTGAAGCAAAAGAACCACCTTTAGCTATTTACAGAAACCCCAAACAAACCAATGATTCATATATATAATGCAAATACTTCTGCATCCATGGCAAAAATCTGGACTTGTGTGAAAGCAATGAAATTAACTTTGATCAGAACAGGCTGTTTAGAGTGAACTCTGCAAGCTGCCTGACCACAAATGGAGCCAACCACCTGCATTTTTAGGATTTCTTCATCACCACACCTTGTGACGTATTGAATTTAAGAAATCCTTTTAGATGTTGCAGTTGAAGTCTATGTTCCTGAAACTAATGAACTCTTATAATTGACTGTTAACAGGATTACTGTGGTCAAGAAAATGGCACATTCCGTGTTTTAACTGAGAGTGTCCCCTGCTGTGAAAATGGGCTTACCTGCTCCAGAAAAATCATAGTGGCTTTCCAGGTTTGATATGGCTCCTCTTTGCTTGAATGTCCTCTCTGGTTATGAACTTTCTAATTTAGCGGATTCTTTGTAAAATCTCCCTTCTAATTACAGGATCAAAACATCATCTTACAAGATGGTAAGGTGACAGCAGTCCAAACCACGGAAAGCAAGGATTGTGAGCTCAACGGGACCTTGTACTCCATCCACACTGTTGGCCTCTACCTGATTGTGAAACTTCCGAATGGAATCATTCTGATCTGGGACAAATACACCAAAGTTTCTGTTATTCTGGACCCAAGGTGGCAGGTATATACCTCTCCCACACACTGGGGAATCTGCCACTTAGAAGCAGGTTAGGGTTTCAGACACTGTAATGAGCCTACAACTTCTCTTTCGTCACTTTTAACTATAATCAAGTGACCAAAAACACAACCATGAGTGCTGTCAACTGAGGCGTTCTAGGCTAACTGTATCTGCTTTCTTGGGATTATCAATCTGATATAGTTGAGGTTGGCCTTGAGCTCACAGAGATCTGTCTGCCTCTGTCTCCCAAGTGCTGGGATTAAAGGTGTGTGCCACCACTACCTGGCCTCTATGGCTAACTAGTATGGCCAACTCCATACTCTGATCTTCAGGCAAGCTTTATTTGTTATAGCATGAACAAAATATCACCAGAGGATGTGGGTTTTGTCAAAAGTGTGTATTGAGATGATCATGTTTTTGTGACCATAATTAACTGTGTTGTATTTATTGACTGTCATGCACTTTATCTCTGCATTCCTGGAATGAAGGTACCTTGATCAAATGAATCATGTACTATGATCATGTGATCAAGTATGGTGATTTTTGCCCCTTACACCAACATAGAACAAAGTGTGCGGCCTTTGTGGAAATAACAACGGAGATCTTAAGGATGACTTCACAACAAGGCACTCCTTGGTGGCTTCCACAGCCCTGGAATTTGGAAACAGCTGGAAAACAAGCCAGGAGTGTTCAGATACAGTAACGCAAAGCTTCCCATGTGACTCGAACCCATACTGCAAGGCCTGGGCTGAGAAGAAGTGTGAGATCATCAGGGATGACACCTTCAGGGACTGCCACAGCAAGGTAGCACTACTCTGAGCCCCGTGGCTTGCATGGGTCCTTCCCAGACACTCATGTGTTGTGCTCTGTCTAGGTGGACCCAACGGCTTACTACAATGCCTGTATCGAAGAAGCCTGCGCGTGTGACATGGAGGGGAAGTACCTTGGCTTCTGTACTGCTGTGGCGATGTACGCAGAGGCATGCAATGCAGCCGGAGTCTGTGTCTCATGGAGAAAGCCAAACCTTTGCCGTAAGTGAAGTCTGGGTAGTCATGATTTTCTGAACATTGTAATTAGACAAAGTCAATATCTTAAGGAATTGGTCTTCCTCTCAGATTTTCTATAAAACACATATTCTCAAACCTAGAGAGGGTTAAAAAACATCTTAATATATTTGTTTATGATGGGTAAAATACCCAACAGAAATAGGACAAGGTATAACATTTTGTGTTCAGTTTTAGTTATAGGAAATGTATTGAACACTGATGACACTACATCTGCCTTGACCAGATGAGTCTGGGTATTCGTGTGTCCTAGGCATGAGCCTCTTATGCCAGTGTTGGTTGAAATCCTCACATACACTGTTTCTTTGACAAAAAGCCTTATGGAAAATGAACTTGAATATAAAACGAAACTCTACACACCGAGCTACATAACCATAAAAGAAATAAGTCACCCCCTTCCCCCTGTAAGCAAGGCACGATTGGAGGTGTGTTAAATAAATGAGATGCATTGGCAGGGTAAACATTGCATTTTACTTAGTTTAGTGATATAGCCCCGCTTAATTACTTTATTTAAAGACTATTCCCCATTAAAGAAACTTATTTTTCTCAGACTCTTTGTGAGACAGGCTATACATTGTAGCTCAAGTTGCCCTGGACCTCATTCTGTAGCCCAGGCTGGCCTTGGCCTTGTAGCAATTCTCCTGGCCAAGCTACTTTAGTGACTGTATTAGAGTGAACCACCATACCCATCAGTTTTGTTCTTTTTTTTCTGTTTTTGTTTTTTGTTGTTGTCATTGATTTTCATATTTTTTTCAGCTTAAGTTTGAACATTAAAATCAGAAGTCTAGATCAGCAGTTCTCAACCTGTGGGTCACGGCCCCTTTGGGGGTCAAATAACCCTTTCACAGGGGTCACTGAAGACCATTGGAAAACACAGATGTTTACATTAAGATTTCTAACAGTAGCAAAATTGCAAGAAGGAGCATTAAGAATAATTGTATGCTTGGGGTCGCCACAGCATGGGGAACTGTATTCAAGGGTTGCGGCGTTAGGAAGGCTGAGAGCCACTGCTCTAGATGAGGATTCAATATCTCCTAGTGATTGTGAAAGGAAGGCCCTAGCTATGTCTGTAAGATGCCCGTGTGTGTGTGTGTGTGTGTGTGTGTGTGTGTGTGTGTGTGTTGTATTTGCCTATATGACAATTTAGATGAAGCCCAAGAAACTTGTCAAGGTGAATGGCACATATTTAGGTCTGTCATTAGTATCATCTAGGATCTCTTTGAAAGTATGTTTTGGAAATAGAAAGGTGAGGATCACCATGCTAGGAATGAGAATAATTTGCTGCTATTCCACCACAGCCGTGTACTGCGACTACTACAATGGCCCCGGGGAGTGCAGCTGGCACTATGAACCCTGTGGCACAGTGACGGCCAAAACGTGCAAAGATCAGGTCATCGGGCAGAAGTTTTCTTCACTTTTGGAAGGTAAGACGTGTTTGAAGGGTTGTGAAAATGACGCTGCCTTTACAACCAAAGAATATTCGTTTCCGCCAGCCCAGTGTCTGAATTTTATACCTGAATCAAGTGGTCTTGATTTTAGCAATAGTTCTATAGAACCTTTTATTTACATGCAGAGGTCCTTTCTGGGGAGGGGATGGTGCCGCAGCCCTGCTGGCATTCTTTATTCTCATCATGTGACGACGTGCGTGCGTGAAAAGGCAGTTTCAGAAGCAACTTGTGGAAGGATAGACTCTGACGCTGGGCTGATCGTTGGTGTCCCACACTTGAACAACACCTTATTCTTAGCGTTGTGCCCCCTGGAAAGAAAGACATGGTAGGAAAAAAAGGCATAAATTTCTTAAAGTCACCTCTGTGTCTAGCATTGGACTCTTTTAGTGTACCTCCCGCATCTTTTCTCTCTTGGAAAAATAGACGTTTGGAAGTGCCATCCACAGTCAACAGACGTATCTAACCAATGCCCGTTTTATGTTTACATGGTCATCATTGAGGTAGCATACTATTCAGGAAAACTTGGATATACTTTTAACAAGATAATACTTGAGAAGAAAAAAAATTTAGTATCTTCCTAGCTAGCTAGCTATTATCCATCCACCCATCCATCCATCCATCCATCCATCCATCCATCTATCTTTCTATAATATATAGAAATTGTAACTTAGGTTGGTATCCCCTCAGTCCATTTCCCCTTGCATTTTCATAAGAGTGATCCTTTACTACACGCCACTTCACCTTACAGAATCATTGTAATAACTTCAGAAACATATAGTGAAGTTTGGCAAGTTTGGGTAAATGGAATGAACCGTGGGCTATCGTTCCTTGCAGGCTGTTACGCCAGGTGTCCCGAGAGCGCACCCTATCTGGATGAGAACACTATGAAATGTGTCCAGTTGTCTGAGTGCAGCTGCTACTACAACGATGTCATACCAGCAGGGGGAGCTGTTGTGGATGAGTGCGGAAGAACATGGTATGTTCAGCGCCATCTGTGATAGCAGTTACCCTGTAGTCAATAACAACAACAACAACAACAGATCATAAACAACCAAGTGGTTTATAAAATCTTTAATTTTATGAGAAGATAACAGGAAAAGTCACTCTGTAGTTTAGGGGGAAAATTATATGCAATTTTATAAATATAGATCGTATTTGCAGACTGTCGAGTATGGTGTCATGCCGAAGAGATTGTACTCGGGAAACATGCTCATTAAGTAATGAAATTGAGGCAGATAATTTTAAAACTGACTTTGCTGCTGGACCATAAATCATTATGCAGTTCCGCAAACTCTGAGGTGAAAAGAGCAGGAATAACAGCTAGTCAAGCACACAAGCAACGGAACTCGGTGTGCTCCAAGGGAAGCAATTAACGCTCTTCTCTTGGTTCTGTTTCATTTTCATCACCTGACAGTTTGTTGTCCTACATTTGTGAAATGTGTATTCCCAAGAGTCGAACTCAGAGTCATTCTTTTCCTTTTCCAATTAACTTTCAGCTATTGTACTGCTGGCGAGTTGGACTGCAATGGTAAGGACTCATTTTCCTCCATTTAGGAACTGTGAGCTAACGGACATGGGCCCTTGTAGACCAAGAGGAAAATAGAAGTGCATAGCCCTGTATGGGCCTGGCACCATTCCGACTGCATGATTGTTCATAGAGGGTCATTCCTCAAAGCCAGTGCTGAAAGGGCATTCCCAGTAACTTTCAGGGTGGCTAATAATTGTGAGTGTTTTCTCTACTGCATGCATGCCCTGGCACCTGTTACTTGTGTTTTCTCTACTGCATGCATGTTCTAACTTCAGATTCTTGTATTTTTCTACTGCATATGTGCCCTGATAGTTGTGAGTGTTTTCCCTGCTGCATACATCCCCTGACATCGGTATCCTTAGGGAATTAAAAGGATGGAGCAGCATCAGTCAAGGGAATTTAATGAAAGGATGGAAGAGAAAGAACATAGATAAGATACAAGGGCTTCAGGGACACTTGAGAAACACATCTGTTACAAATGAGTCCTGAAAGAAATGTTATTAAATGTATTAAGAACTGTAAGACACAAAACAAAAGACACATGATTTCTAAATGACTTAAGATGTAACTTTGTCAGTACTTTTAATTCTTGCCAATAATAGTCATCTTTGTTCATTTCAGAGACTCAGCCTACAAATTCAACAACAACAGGTAAAGCTACAATTCTGTGCCGAATATTGAACAGATCTTTGCATAAACACCCTTTATTTATAGTTTTATACAATTCTGTGCCAGTAAAAATATTGACAAACCAGATGACATAAGTGTACACTAAAATTATTACTAGAAAATACCAGAATATTATTTCACCATATTTCTAGAAATTAAGTCAGGAAAGTAATTACAGCATGGCATAAATATTCCACACTACTTAATTAAATCACCCTGAGTTTGATATTTTTAGGTGTTAATTAAGTGGTAAAATGAGGTGAATGTGGTATCTTAATGATATAAATATTTGAAAATTATGATCAGACTTAGAGATGATTTGAAAATTGAAATAGTTCATTCTTTATGCTTAAATCATGTCTTTATATTATTTGGTAGAGGTATTTAATTTATTTTCATCCAAGAGAATTCTGAGAAAATTAAGTTTTGAAACCTTGAATTTCCTGATAATTTGAACACTCTTAGGGTTAGTACAGCACACCTCTCTTGTATAGCTTAGAAGGGATTTTATTTCCTATTGACAACTGATTGGAGGTCACACAATCAAGAGGCTGGGGACCTTAGACTGTGGTGATAAATTTAAAGTTAAGTGGCCTTTTTGAAGTGTTTTAGACACTACAGCTACTACCGCCTACTTTCCTGAGACTGGATTATTGGATAGCTGTTTCCTGGACTGCATTTCTTGGTCCTTGTAAAGGTCCTGAGAAGATGAACTGTCTGATCACGACAGAAAATAGTTATTTTTGTGGACATATAATAGGTAGTGCTGTTTGTACTGATCTATAAACCAAAGTGATTTTGCCCCTTAATTTCTACAGATAAATTTACAAATTTTAATTTTAGATGAAGACAACATATTTCTAGAAAGAAATATCCTAGCAAAAATTCTTCAATTAACTTGTTTCCTAAATACTGTGTCCCCATACAGTTTCTATGACCACAGCTACTTCCGCATTAAGCACCTCAACAGGTAAGTAAGAATAAAAATGATCGTATTATTTTTAGTTTGTACACTGAGAGCAAAGCAAATGTCAGGTTCAGGCCTGTGAGCCCTGCCTCCAGTCTGTCAGTCTTTATCAAGATATCCCCTAAATGTTCATGCTAAGTAGCAGGGTTGCCATCTGGTCGACCTGTGAGCAAAGAGCACCGTCCCTATGGCTATCTTCCCCAAAAGAACATTTTACATGTTGTTGGCTGGGAGGTAGCAACTATGCTAACAACTTCTAAGCTCAAATTTTCACCCATGGATTAAGTAAAGCCATAGGAGGAAATGGCAAACATACAATGGAATGTGTAAGAGTCTGATGGATGAGCCTGAGTGATACAGTAATTTATGTCCATTTTTGGAAACCTTATCTAGATGAATGCTTTTCAGCTTTGTCTACTGATGTAATTTTAACCTCTATTTCCAAAATATTTGTCTCCTCTGCACAGCTGTGACCCCCTTGGCCAGCAGCTTAAGTACAGGTAAGCCTTTGCCAGCAGGGCATTTCAGACCCAGCAGCCTTACCTCCCAAGGTTTGTGCCTTTGCGATCATGATGTGGTAGGAAGTACACGTGTTTCCGTCTTTGAAAAAAAAATGTGTTAGGAAAGGTTTTTGAGAAAAAAAAAACCACAATGTTTTCTGACTTTTACATGTGAGTTCTAATTGTTAGAACTTCATTCCCACATTTTACAATGCCTTTGTGACCAAAGTTTTCTGAAATAATAATTTTGAGTTCAATTATTTAATGGACAACCATACCTGTTCTCAGGAGCATAATATTCTTCCATGCAAAGTTTAGTTTTTCAATTGATTTCTCAAAAATTCAACAGCTTCCATTCCAGCAGTTACAATATCAAGCACAAAGCAATAGTACATATATCAGAAACTTTATAAAAGTTATGTAAATCAAAAGATTTTTCAGGTTTAAACCTAAGGTAACTTACATATAGTATAAACATTGGTTTGATTGCTTATTTGAAATGCTAAGTTCTGAAATCTCCCATTCAGTGTTCCTAGTTTATCCAACTAAAGATTAACAATCACTGAGTAGGCTTTAAAACCTTAGGCAAATGAAAATATGAGGAAAAATGTTTGAGAAAAAGAGATCAGCCAATGCATCACTATGACTTTCCACTTTTATGCTCACAGACACACAAATAATAAGAAAATCATAAAGAGATTTGCCCTTCCAAAGCTACATTATTTCTGAAGCACCGTGTTCAGGGCCTCCTCTCATTAACCTACTTGATTTCTCTTTCTTCTTTGAATTAATAACGTGTCTATCCTGAAATGAGCATGCTTCTAAGCATGCTTGCCCTGGTTTTCCACGCTAGTATTCTCAATCACATCTTGAGTCAGGCTATGCAATTGTATCTGACAAATCTTCTAAAATTAATGGGTTACTCTAACATGTTGAACATTTCTAACTATAATTTTTTTATTTAAAACAGAAATTTAGTAACACAGTTTCTGCCATTTGGTAAAGAGCTTTTTGGGGATGATTGGCTTAGTGTGTGAATATTATTTAAGCTAATAAATCATTGAGCACATGTATTTTGTTTATCGAAGATAACCTTCCTTCTGTAGAATAAAAATTTATAAAACCAATCTGATTTTTAGATTATAATGTCTTATAATGGAATCATAAATATAATTTAAAGCATCTTATAATGCTCAATTTTATTTATTTGATAATAATTATCCTTTATATACAAATCAATTAGTATTGGACAAAGAAAATTAAAAGCAATTCCTCATATCAAAGTATTAGTAATCAGACCAGCAAGATGGCTCAGCTGGTAAAGGGCTTGCCACCAAGTTTGAGGACCTGAGGTTGATCCCCGGTGTCCATGTGGTGGAAACAAAGAGCCAACTGCTACAGGCTGTCCACTGATGTCCACAAGTGTGATGTAGCTTGTACCACCCCCAAATCAATAATAAGTGTTAAAATGGGTATGCTATGCTATTATTGAAATTAGAGCCACATGATTATTCTTGACAACTTCATATTCTCTTGGATTGTCATTAACCATACCAAGAAATAAAAATCTTCGGAAGACTGGCTCACTTCAAGATGTTTTGTTGCATTGTGGACTCATCAATCCATGTTCCCAGGCCAATTTGCAATTTTAACTCATGGGTTTTCTGCATAGTGTCATATTTACTAAAGAATAGTTTCTACTCACATTAACTGGGCCCTGAGCAGTGGACCACATCCTCACACTGAGCTTAGCTTTCTTTTCTGGAATGAGCAAACTGGTTCGGTTCCAGCATTCCATTTAGTTAATTACGTACTCAAGCATCGAGTCTTGTGACTGTTTAAGTACAGTTTCCACGGGTGCTATCATCCCAGAGGTAAGCAAGCGAGCTGACCAGTGGGGGAAACAGTTGCAGGCATGGGTATCGAGTGGCTGCACACTGTCACCATTGTCAACACAATCTCATTCTCCCAGGACTCAGTTTTGAGCAAGGTTCAGTTTTATTTTGTCAGTATTTTGCATGCACAAAAACTACCCAGGGTTTTTTGAAAGGGAAGGGATTTGTAGGCAGCTGGTAAAATGCTTCAGGTAAAATCTGTCTCTGTGATCCTATGACAACTGTTTCTTCTTCATCCTATCACTTTACTAAAGCAAACTTCAGTGCAGAGTTGAGTTGGGTGGAAGGGCTGCCCACCACTTTCCCACTGACTTCATTTGCTGTACGATTGGTGATGCTTCATGTTTTATCTTGAAGAATCCCAAAGTTTTATTTAGTTTTGCTGAAATTCCACTGATTGTTTTGTGACTTACAGTATTAGTAACTTCTAAGTCAGTGGCTCTCAACCTGTGGATTTTAATGCCTTTGGGGGTCAAATGACTCTTTAACAAGGGTCGCTCAAATAAGGCCATTGGAGAACACGGATATATACATTACAGTTCATAGCAGTAGCAAAATTATAGCTATGAAGTATCAACGGAAATAATTTTGTGAAAGAAAATAATTTTGTGGTTGGGGTCCCCACAACATGAAGAACTGTATTAAAGGGTTGCAGCATTAGGAAGGCTGAGACCCACTGGGCTAAATGCTTCGTTAGTATAGCATGGAGAGATCAGCTAATGACTTGGAATGCTGCAGTCTGCACTGTCAGTACCTTTCCTTCACTATCTTGCCAAGCCTCACACCTCCTGTCCCCACATGCCCCTCCTTGTTTGACAATATACGTGGGGGATAAACGCTCTTTAATAATGTTGCCAAGGTTTTGAAGAGAAGACTGTGACGATGCCTGCAGCTTCATACAGACAGGAATCAGGGTCTTATCTGTTGTTGTTTTCTTACTACCCACAGAGCCATAGTTGATGTTCTAAAATAGGGATACAAAAGTGAAATAATTTTATTGTTTTTTTGTTCCTTTTAGCATAACTTTAAACAGAAGTTGTGTTAAAAGTTATGTGGGTACTTTAAATTTGCTAAGTAAACCCAGCATATATAAAATGAGTATCAAATTGTCAGGTGATTTGTGTCTTTTAGCATTTCTTAATAATGTCCCTGTAGCTTGTTGTGTTGCAAGAATAAATCACCTCCCAGATAAACGGATTTTAATTGGCGATGATCAGGTGATGGAAGGCCTGGGTTCTCATCTGCGATTCCTCCTCCTTTTTGTTTGTTTTTTTTTTTAACTTTGCTCATATTACACTCAAAGGAGGAGACTTTCACAACCATTAAACTAATAATGAATTTGAGGTGTGGATAATACCACTCATTTATCATTGTTGATGCTGGGAGCATAGTGGCCACAGATCAGGTTCTGTTGATGTTGTGGGCACCTTGGCCTGGGTACAGACTGTTCAGCAGAACATGACATTGGCTAAGTGTAAGAAATAACAGGCCAATGCACATTTGCCTGAGGAGCTGTAATAAGCATTCAAAGATGAGACTCTGAAAGTATGCTGTCTGCAATACTGATTTCTTTATTTTGAATTCTAAAAGACAAAAAAGATCTGCTATTCTTTTATTTTCATGATATATATAAAAATGAAGCATATTCCTCTAAGGCTTGCCAACACATTTTTTAAAACATTTTTTTAGGAGATCTTGTCTTTTACTACTTCCCATGTAGATTAGATCCATGTATGTCTCTCTTAGGGTCCTCATTGTTGTCTAGGTTCTCTGGGTTTGTGATTTGTGGGCTGGTTTTCTTTGCTTTATGTTTAAAAACCACCTTTGAGTAAGTACATATGATAATTGTCTTTCTGTGTCTGGGTTATCTCACTCAATATGATGTTTTCTAGCTCCATTCATTTGCCTGCAAATTTCAAGATGTCATTACTTTTCTCTGCTGTGTAGTACTCCATTGTGCATATGTACCACATATTCCTTATCCATTCTTTGGTCTGGGGGCATTTAGGCTATTTCCAGGTTCTGGCTATGACAAACAATGCTGCTATGAACATAGTTGAGCACATGTCATTGTGGCACGATTGCACATCTTTTGGATATATACCCAAAAGTGACATTGCTGGGTCTTGAGGAAGGTTGTTTCCTAATTTTCTGAGAAATTACCATACAGATATCCAAAGGGGCTGTACCAGCTTGAACTCCCAACAGCAATGCAGGAGTGTTCTCTTTAAAGAGTTTGGCAGGCAAGAAGATTTTGTTTCCTGACAAGTGTTCTTTTGATGTAGAATTGGATCAAGTTAATCTTGTATAAAAATTGAGGCAGGATTTGTATCACTGTACAGTTAAAACTGTACAATTCTTTAGGGACAGAATCCTCACGAGCCTCCCACCTCTGCGCCTTTAGAACTGAGCTCCCAGGCTTGCAGTGGATAGCATGAGAATAGAGGAATTGCCCTTCCTGGTCCACGTGGACCTGGAGTTTCTAGACATCATTCTGTATGATACAGAAAACGCACTGGATCATATCGTTTATTTCCTCCTCTTTACACGTGAGCAGCGCAGAGAGACGTGTGTTGGCAGTTATTTGCTGGAAAGTGCCAGGCAGAGTCACAATCTCGGACTCGTTCAGGTTCTAGTGCTGATGCCTCTGCGTGTTAATGTTTAAAGAGAGACCGGTGCCAGGTGACCTAAATCATGTACTGAAGTAACAACATTCAATATCAGGCCCCAATTTCAAATTGGAACATATGTTAGCATTTTAAAATATCTTTTTAGTCAGTTTATTTTAAAATAATGAAAGTTTCACTAAACAGTTGGAATTAAAATAATGTGTTTAAAAACTTGAATGAAAGGCCAATGTGATGGCTTAGCAGGTAAAGCAGGTAAATGTGACTATATTAAGCCCGATGACCCGAGACTCATCCCTGGAATCCACTAACTCCAACGAGTTGCTCCTTGACTGTGCCACATAGCCACCTATGTGCCATGGCAATACCATCCTCCCAAAATAAAATGTAATTAACATGTTTTGAGGGGATGAGACCTGCCTCAAAAAATAAGATGATAAAAATTGGCTTCCAACCAGAAGAGAAAAAATCTTTAGGTGCTGCACACCTTTAATCCCAGCACTGGGGAGGCAGAGGCAGGTGGATCTCTATGACTCTGAGGCCAGCCTGGTCTACAGAAGGAGATCTAGGATAACCAGGACTGTTTCACAGAGAATCACTGTGTTGACAACGCCCTCCAAAAGAGGAGGGGCTTCAATTATAAAATAATATAATAAAATTTATCTCTTTTATCCTCAAGCATTTCCAGCCTCTTGCTGCCACAGTTCCTAACTATATAGATATTTGTTTGCGTGCTGTGATTACCCAGAAATAGCACCAAGCACAGAAATAAAATATTACATTATTGTGCTTTAGAGAGAGATCTGTGTGCAGTGAGGTATGCAATGAGGAAATTGAGAGTTTGAATTTCCGCTTTTATTATTCCTAGCTTTCTGATCCCCGTTTAAAATCCTAAAATACCCACGTTTACTTCCTCTTTTGCTAAATGGGGAAGAGTGCCTCATTTACACTTCAGGATTTGGGAGATCTGCTAAAACAGAGAACCATTTAGTGGACCAGTGGTTGTTCACCAGACTGCCACTAACAGTTCCCTATGTAAGTGAAGGAGATGTCGAAACCAATAAAATAAAGCAGGCCTCATTCTGAAAGATATCAGTTTGTAGGTATTTCCTCCCAGAAACAAGGTGTCTTGCGGAAGTTGTTAGCTCTGTAGCACCGTTTGCTGCTGGTGAGTGGAAAGGGGCTGGCTGCCACGGGTTTATATTTCTGGTACAGATGTCAGGTAAAATGGGCTCTATTTAAAGTAAACATGATGAAATTTTCTTATAAAAATGAAATTGCTATTATTATTATTATTATTATTATATAAGAAAAAAGACAGGAATGGATAAAAAAATAGTAACAAGAGTATTAACTTTTAAATTTACAATGAAATGAAAAAGAAAGGGGCAGGACCAGCTGGGGAAGCTTGTCAGTGTTGCCGGTGCTCCCGTGCTGTATTGCAGGATGGGAAGGAAGAGACAGTGTAGAAAGGCAGACGCTCCTGCTCTTACCAGTTACGTCTCAGTAACAAAGAAACTGCGACGTGGAAACTGACAGTGTCAAGTCCTTCCAGACGAAAGATCTTTGTCAGCCATGGGAAAGTTGAACTGGAATGCTACCGATATGACAATTGCTGGGATGCTGTGCTTTATCAATGTTGTTAACTGAGCGGTGAGAAAAAGTGGGTTGACATATATTCCTGCTAGTAAATGCTTTTCCCTATTTTTATTGTTGTTTTGAGAGTTTCAGGCTTACCTCTTCTGCAGTTCAGTCGTGAGAAAGGGAACTCTGTCGCGGTGGTTGTGTTAAATACTCTAGTCTGCTCATTCAGAGGTTCTAGGTGTTTGAGGCCTGCTTTGGGGCATGATGTCATAGTAGTCGTGTAAGTGACAGGAAGGGCATTTATGCATGTCCATCTGTTGTGTGTTCTGTGCCCTGTGACTCTTTTACCTCATGTTGATTGGAGCAGATGTAGAAGGGATATTGTGGGGACTTGTTTTCTTCCTTCTGATAATGATTCTTTTAATGAAATTTAATGTCTTCAAGTTGAAAGTACTTCAGCTGGGAGTGTTGTGATTTCCCTAAGGTGAAGTAAAGTTAGTAATGGAATCTGTGCTGAAGTTCTCTGGCCTGCCTAGCTTGCTTTTGGTTCTAATCTCCATTGTCTCTGTGGGCTATGGTGTCACAGGCTGTCTGTGTTTGTTACCTTTGTATCCACAGCAGCAGGAAAACTGACTTAAAACATCTAATTACTGAGAAATGAGACCAAGACCTGGGCTGGGCTTCGTAGGAGTCTGCCTGCTGCCGATTTTGAGAATTCTTCCCAATGAAACCTCTTGTCAAATTATTTCACCTACTTGCTCCATGTCCATTTTCTTAAGTAACCAGAAACATAGTGTTTCATTTCTTCAATGCCTACCATGTGTGATTTCTAGTATTTCCACCAGTATGGTTCATGCATAAGGAAGAAAACTTCAAAACTTTATGAAGTGACATAGGATACAGAGGTCAAGTCACACAGAAAGCAGCCTGGAGATAATCCTGGGTGCTGGAGAGCTGGCTTTATTTCTAGCTGTGTTATTGGCTGGCAGAAATTTGAACTGAACACTTAATATCCTCAAGTCCAGTTCTTTGGCTGAAAAATGGGTAGAGTATTTTGACAGCTTTCATTTATTTAGGAGACAAATGTCTACTGAGTACTTATTATCCGGTAGACCCTTTGATTGGCGCTGGAGACACATGCCTGCAATAGTGTCTTGCAGAGCCCAAACATGAGCATAGCAAGCTGGAGGCCAGCCAGAGCTGTACAGAGAGACTTCATGAAAGTGAAGCATGGCTACTGCCTTCCCAGCAGTGTAGTGAGGAAGATCTCCATTAAAGAAGAAGCCGTAAAGAACAGGTGAAAGTGACGTGCATATCAGGAGCCTCATGATGGCGCATATCTGCAGGGAGAAGCACCTTGCTCAGTCAGAGAAACAGGGTATGACTGAAGCAAGGGTTCAGTCATTAAGAGTTGTGAGCTGAGCAAACAATTCACCTGTGAGGTACCATGAATGGCAGATGGCAAGTATATGTGTCTTAGAAAGCGCATCACGACATCACTGTTTTAAATGTTACGCAAATATCGATAATTCAACCTAAACACTACCTACACTATAAACTATTTGACATTAAATAAAACATTTATCTACCCTCACCACTACTTTACAAACTATTATATATATTGGAAAGTATCTAATGGCTGAGTAGTCATTTTAGTTTACCCACTGAGAGCAGAAAAGGTTTATGGTCAGAGAGCTATTGGAACCTGCCATGAGACATTTTATGTTCAGTCCATTCTCAAAGCATAGCATGAGAAAATGGAAATAAGTTATGACTTGCTTGGGACATGATCAGAGACTAACATGATACTAAACTAGGAAAAGGAAGAAAACTGGAGTCAACTGGACCCTAGCAGTAAGCATTAGTATAATTTAATAAAGTTGCTGAAAAAGGTCTTTGCAAAAACAACCATAACAAAACTTTAAAAAGAGCATTAAGTAAAACAAGGTTTTTGAAAGATAATTTTAAATTTGCAGGGAAGTGTGGATAGGAATGACTATATTTATTTATTGTAATTTTTATAGTGGAAAGATTAGAGAGTTTGCGTGCTTATTTGGTGACAAAGCCCATGTGACATTAGGTGAGAAAGTCCTCTCCTGTTTTCTCAGACTCTACTGGAACCTCAGCTCCTGATCTCTCGACGACTGGAAGTGCAGGCTCCACGGCAGCCCCAAGCACGAGCTTCAGTTCTGCGCTCACAACAGGTGCACTAAGGACGAACAAAGAATCTTGGTCCAGCCAAGGAACTGGTTTCAGATAAGCTACCCAGAGAGTGATTTTCACATATAAACATCAGACTTGAGTGGTTTCCCCATGTATCTTAACCTTTCAATGATTTATTTATGTGTATCAGGTTATGATTATATACTTCTACTCTTTGTGGGTGGGAGCTCTAAAGCACATTTTCTGCCTGGATTTTTGATTTTGTTTTTAAACCTTTATCAGGGTCGACCAGAACTTCTCAATATATCACCACAGAAGCTAATAGTGAAAGTACAGTTGGCACAGTCTTCTCAACGGGTATGTAATGAACCTCTGCTTCGTAGCACACTTGTACAAGAATCTCTCCAGTTCTGCTCAACTACAAGTTTATTCTGTGGAGAATACAAGATAATAAACACCTGCTGCCTAGGCCAAGTCACCTGGAATACTGGACAAAATCCATGGTTCTTACGTGATGCCATGTTAGTGATTCTGTTGGCTAAATTTGGCTCACAGTTTTGTGTTCTAGGGCTCTTTCTAATGACAGTCCACCCACTTGGGATATATGTAATAGGTTGTAACTAGAAGTCCACACAGGTGAAAATGATTGCATCTGCATCCAGATGGAGCCCTGCATGGGACCAGGCTAAGTCTTTTACAGAGGTCTCTTCATTAGGACCACTCTGATCCTTCTCCAATAGTATCACCTATCTGAGAAACAATAGGTGTAGTAGAAAGTCTGAGAGTGGCTTGTTGATCATCTACCAGCCACTTGGGTAACCAAGATCAAGTCACTTAAACTCCAAGATAAATGAAAAGAGAGTAGTAGTGGTGGATTTTTATAAAGCAAAGTCAACGAGCTGATGTCTTTATCAGCATCATGTTGTTTTCATCAGGAGGAGTGGCTAGCACTTCCGTACCAACAACTGGTAGTGAGAAAGGCAGCACAACCAGGGGACCAAGTACTGGAGTCACAAGCCCAGCAAACACGGGTGAGTAAGAGCATGCATATTATTGCTACCTATTAGGTGAGCACAAAAACTGACTATTAGATAAAATATTAGAGAGCCCAAGAGATTAAAACTTGACTTGATTCTATCATCTCATACTTGAGAAAATCTAGCAAATGTTGAACTAGAGCTCCTGTTGGTTTTAGTAAGTAGAAGAGAAGAATCCATGAGGCCAACCTCAGGCTTATACAGGAGCAATACTCCTAGAATGGCATTAGCTACCGAGGCCACTAGCACTTCAGACCCAACAAGCAAGGCTAGGTCTCCTTAGAGGTCCATTGTGGAAATGTGGGGTGATAAACTTTGCTAATACCTTAGAGTATTGTAATGAGCTCAGAGTATTGTAATGAGACACTTTGTTAAACATGGACCAAAATGTAGGAAATAAGGACAGGAGTGAAGATAAGAACTTTCCTGAAAGTATTTTTTACATAGCTACCTGAATGCATGAAGCTCTTATTCTTCCCTCAGAAACAAGTAGCAGTGAAGATATAGCCACCACTGGAACTGCTGGTGAAAATACATCTGGAGGAACAGGTATTATGGGAACACAGATCTCTAGGCTGTAGACATACAGTTTTAGTGTTCATGATTTAGCTATAAATAAGGTTTCTCAAGGGGATCTGAGAAAAAGTATTTAGATGATATCAAGTTCCCCAAAGGTCAGGAAAGAACTAAAGTATTTATTCTGTACAAAGTCTAAGAAAGACAGTCTTGGAGGCACACCCTCTCATCCCAGCTCACTCTAGAAAGGGAGAAGCTAACTATTGTACACACTTAGAAGACAAGATCTGAACCAGGTAGGAGTAAATAGGGAAAAACTATTAAGGAAATTCAACTATATAAATACGATTCGCTAGTGAAGTTTTACAGGCTTGCCATGACGTATCAATGAAGTGTGCCTTAATGGAATGGACTCATGATCACTGTAAGAGGAGTCACCTGGTTTATATGGAGCAAGAACCAAAGAAACAAGTGATTTTGGCTTGATTGATACATCTGCTGTGTCACAAGAAAGAACAGGCAAATTTCAGATTACACTTCCAAGAGAATCAAATTCAGGTCCCTCTGACTGGGGTGATGTGGTCCTTGAAGTTCTCATAGGCATCTTCCTGATAGCTAAGGACACTGAGCATTTGCTAAAGCATTTTATAGATATTTGTATTTCTTCTTTTGAGAACTTTCAATTATTACATAGCCAATTTTCAATTGGGTTGTTTGTTTTCTTGGTATTTATTTATTGATTGGTTTCTTTGTATCCTCTAATGAAAGAGGCAAAACTTTCTCCCTTCCAAGAAAGTTCCCCACAGTCTTTCCCATGGGATAATTTAACAGAAACAAATCCTTGGTTGATGGTCCTTTTCCCCATTATGTTCTGTTCAAACATAATGACAAAATCTAACTCTGAGAGATAAGGATTTTGGTTTAATTTTTCTGCAGGTTGAGATCCAAGTTTTCAGTACCATTTGTTGAAGAGACTATTTACCTCAATGTATATATTTTGATGTCTTTGAAGGAATATGGAGCTGAGCAGACTCATGTTGGTTCCTACATTCTATTCCACTGGCCTGGCTTGTGTGGTTTTCTTTTTGTGATAATACCATGATGTTTTTATTATTGTGACTCTGCAGTACAATTCAAAATCAAGTGTGGTCATAGTTCCCCTAGCATTTTGTGTAGAATTATTTTGCCCACTCTTTCTTGGTCTTTTGTGCTTCATATGAACGTTTGGATTGCTTTTTCTTTATTTCTAAAGAATGGCATTGGATTTTGGTTGGGAATTCATTGAATTTGTAGGCTGCTTTTAGCAAAATGATCATTTTTTTTACAAGACTAAATCTTCTTATCCATAAGGATGGAAGGGCTTTCTGTCTTCCAATGTCTTCCTCAATTTCTCTCTCCACTGTTGCAGTCAGCATGGTCTATGAGCTGTAAAGCACTCAGTCATACCCAAGTCCACGCAGATTGGTCTTTTGATATGTTCAGTTTACTCACACAAACATACCTTACAGTATCCTGTTAATATAAAAATTAAATAGATACCTTACCAATCAGGGAGCTGTTTTTGAGAAGAAGCTACTGGAGGCTTCCACTGCGTAATCTCTCTTGATGATAATTTGGAAGCTTGCAGTCTCAACCTACATCTGCCAAAGTCCTCATATGTGGCAGCTTGGGAAGATGGTGCTGATGGAGGTCCTAGGAATTCCTTGAGTGCTTAGGCCAGCAGCTACAGCTGCCACACAGGCCTGTCTGAGACAGCAATAGTACCAGAAGATCAGTGATCACTGAAAAGAGATCCGTACACAAAGTCTCAAGTCCTCTTGACTATGGGTAGCAACACAAGCCTAGAGAAGCTGTGTCTAGGGAACCATTTCCAAAGTTCCACGTTTTTTTTTTTTAATTTTCTTAATGGGTGATAGCTTTGTGCTGTCAGGCCTCACAGCTTAGGGCTGGCTTACCAGCATATCTGCGCAAACTTGGGGTTAGTTTGTTAACATAGCAAGATCTCTCCATATGGCTAGATCTCTCAAGTAGGCTAGATTCCTATTTGAGCCTTCTAATGGTCTGCCAGAGACTTGTTTCTGAGGCCTAGTTCTTATGAAAACTAACTGGTGGCAAGCCCAGCCATCATATTATTTCAGACCCCATCAAATGGATTTGAGTTGCACAAAATGGTTTCAGCTATGTTCCTAAAAATTGCCTTTCAAGTTGTCATCTAGGGATCTTTTGTTTTCTTAGTTAGGTTGTTACCAGGTGTTTTCTTTTATTTTTGTAGCTGTTGTGACTGGAAGTGTTTACCTGATTTCTTTTAGTATGTTTATTATTGATATATAGGAAAGATACTGATTTTTGTATGCTAATTTGATGAATTTATGGAGCAGCCCTAAGAGATTTTAGTGGAGTCTCTAGTGTCTTTTATTTTAGCATCTCCAAAAAGAGATAGTTTAATTAATCCTTTGACCTCTTTTTCTGTTCTTGTCACTTTTACTTTCCTTCTCTCATACTGCTTTTATTGACAGTCTCACTGTCTCTCTGTGTAGGTCTCTGTCCCTTCCAAGAGCAGACACAAACTTAAGTTGAGCACACCTTGCTGTGCACAATAAGGGAGCATATGACAATTTATGCTAAATATCTTGCGGATAGACATCAAGTATCAGGAGCAAACTCTGGAGCTTCGGCAGTATAGCCATAGGTTCTGGCAACTTTGTGCTGTTGTGTTGAACATATTGCCATAGCATCTCACGCTCCTGCTTAATTTGCAGATTTATATTAGAAGCCTCTGACTGGGATTGGAAGCAGGTCTGAGGAGATCTGGAGAGCAGTGTAACTTCCTTTTCTGACATTACCAAGTACCCATAATAATGTCCTGAGGAACATGCCTAATATCTCAAGTCCAAAACTATTCTTAGTTTCAGGGACCACAGAAATGTCTTCAGGCTTCACCACTACCAGTCCCAGAGCCTCCACCATGACACCCATAGCCTCTGCTAATAGCCAATCAGGTGAGTAAAAGAGAGCGTCCTATGGGTTTGCAAGGACCTGATGACCTCTGTGTCCTGCTCCATTCCACAGTGAAGATGTCAAGCAGAAGTGAGAGTTAGAGAGCCAAGTCCCTCAAACACAATGCCCGGAACATAGGGAGGGTGTGTTACCTTGAGTTTGTATCTTTGGGGGCAATCTTCTGGATGCCCACTGTTGCTGGGAGGTACCTTGTTGGTTCCTGGCTGTTTGGCAGCTCAGACTTGAAATAATCAAACGAAAACTGTATTAATTGCATCACTGCTTGGCACATAAGCTCTAGCTTCTTATTGGCTAACTCTTACATCTTAATTTAGCCCATTCTATTAATCTGTGTATCACCACGTGGCTCTGGTTTACTGACTAAAGTTCTGGTGTCTGTCTCTGGCGGAGTTACATGGCTTCTCCTACTCTGCCCTTCTTTCTCCCAGCATTCACTTTAGTTTTCCCCACCTAGCTCTTTCTGCCCTGCTCTGCTATAGGTTTAAAGCAGTCCTTTATTAACCAATGGTAGTCACAGCATACAATGGGGAATCCCACATCAGCCCATGTGCTTGAGATTGATGGTTCCAAGATTCCAGGGGTAGAGATGATACTCTTGGTTGGTGTATGGCCATGACTGACATCCTTGCTACCAACTAGAGAAAATTTGAGATGTTTGTCCTGGGCTATTACAGACTCAGAATCCGAACCTCTAAAAGAAGGGCTCAGGTAAGGATTTCATGAAAGCCCCACACTTGGTTCCCATGTGTGTTCTAAATTATGGAATATTCAATTCCAGTATCCTACTATTAAATGAGTAAATGTCAACAAACTTATGCACATTCAACAAGTAAATAGGGAGACACTGGGGTTCTCTGTATCACAGAATGTTGATTTTTTTATCATTATTGGGATAGAGGAGGTGCTGAAGTGTAGGAAAATCAGAGATGCTTTGAAAGCAGAAAGTAGCGTGACCTGTCTTTCTGTATCAGAGAAACTGCTACAAGCATATTGCTCACACTGAAAGCAAGACTCACTCCATCAGAAGCCAGAAACAAGCACAACATAGGAAATTTGGTATTTTAGATAAATGTTACATCTTTTATTGAAGGTTTGTTTAAAACAAATGATCAAATTAAAACACTACATTTGGGCCACTTTTTCTGCTCCTTTTCAAATAATCTCTCTGCAATATCTTGAAAACTATAAAGGATGCTCAATGACCACTGACTGTTTAAAAATCAGGTTAGCCCTCTGAACTCAGGGATCTATGCAGAAGAGGAGGGGGAGGAGCCAGATGGTATGGGTGATTTCAAGGAAAGGTTCTCTTCCAAACACCACAGGACTGATGCACATACGAGCTCACAGAGCCTGTGATGGCACACGCAGGAGCTGCACAGGTCCAAGCCAGATGGGGTCATTCCATAACTGAGAGCAGGGAAGTGGGATGCAGAGTACCTAGCCAACTAGCTATTTACAGTTGATCTCTGCTGGCAAAGGGAAAATCAGTTTTCTCCAATGGAGCGTCACTGGACAAATCAACCACACTTCAAGGCAGGCACTATGTCCAGCAGTAGTTGGCCAACATTTAATGAGCTTTATTTTTTTGTCTGTGTGTGTGTGTGTGTGTGTGTGTGTGTACTTTTTGTTTCATTTTGGCATTTTTTGTCTCATTGGTTTTTTGCTTGTTCTGATTTTCACTTTTATATTTTTGTAGAGTTTAATGTGCTTGTGTGGTGTGTGTGTGTGTGTGTGTGTGTGTGTGTGTGTGTGTGCACGCGTATAAAAGAGAGAGAGAACAAGAGAGCATTAAGAGAAGGGGAGAACAAAGCTGGTGGGTAGAGTCTGGGAGGAGTTGTGTGAGGGGAAAACATTATGAAAAATAATGTATGAAAAAAATAAGTTGAAAAAATAAAAAGGAACTTGATTAGAGTTTACATTCTAGGGACACTGTTGGAATCTGGATTGTTCTACCTTATCCGACAGAAGAATTGGTGCAAGCAACTTTGCTGAGTCTGGGGAATGGGAGGAATCATATTGCCAGCATCAGAGGATTTTTTTGTCTATGTGATTTTTAACCCTGTTTATTAATTAGGTGGAGTCCTTTTTACACCCACAACCACTTTTACTAACAAGGAAACTGGAACTTCCAGTGAACACATCAGCACTGCAACAAGCCCAGGAAACCTGGGTAAGTCAGGACAGGCACATCTTCCTGCCAACTAAATGGGTAGAAGTAAAAGTGTGGCTGCAGGGGAAGGATGGAGATGCTTGCAGTGCGATGCATGGATGCGCATCTAGTGATGTCACCCTTCAAAAGGACTTTATAGCACACATTTTAAACACTTTGTTTACCAGGTACAACTGGAGAGTCTGTGGGAGTTACTTCAGGAGCAGACACGGAGGTCACATCTGGGGCCCCACTCACAGGAGTCACCTCTGGAAAGCCAGCAGGCAAGGCAGAGGGTCCTTTGGGACTCTGTGGTGGACTAACATTAGCTGTGGTCAGAACTGAGTGTGATAATGAGAGCAAGCAAAGTGGCCGAGGGCCACACTGTAGACATGAATGGCACCAGTGTAATTATGAAGTAAATGCCGTTGGGAGGCTGTTGTGGTTATCACTGTGACCCAAATCACTGTTCTTGCTATAGGAACAAGTGGAGGAACACAAGCACCAGCCACCACTGGAGCTCCCAGTGAAAACACATTGGGAATAACAGGTACGAGGGGAGCTCAGCAGGAGTCACCCAGGCAGGAGATAAGAACATACGACATGTAATGAGATGAAGTTCTGTGGGGAAGCTGAATGTTGTTGATGTCACACAATGTTACTTTTATTTCTATGAATAACACCTGACCAGTTAAGAAAGTGTTGATTTTGCTCACAGTTTAAGGATAAAGTCCATCCTGGCAAGGACATTATATAAGTGACAGAGTTCTATGTGTGGCATCAGGATCATGAAATGACTGGTCATACTGTTCACAGTGAGGAGGCAGAGTAACGCATGCTGGTGCTTTTTTCGTTTAGTCCTGGACCCCAGCACATGGGATGCTCTCAGCTACCATATTAGGTCTTCCTGTCTCAGGGACACATCTCTGCAAACACACTCAGAGATGACCTCAGAAATGTGTAATGTGGTTTTAGATACATTCTAGTAGATAAAGATGATTTGCCACTATAGATGCCAAGTGTCCAAGACAGGATAAACACATCAAGTATCGGTTTTGTTGTGATTTAAGTACATAGTAGTACGTAATGAACAAATAGGGGAATGTGAAGTCTCACAAGCTTCATTCTGTGAAAAAATTAACAATCATGAAATACAGGAGCTGGATAATAATTATGGATTCAGTCCTCTGTGCAAAGATGCTCACAGGGTCCTAAGACAATCCTAAAATTATCAGCATCACTATGAGGAATTTCACACTAACGATGCTTCATAGTCAATGGGCATCTCAATAGATTTAGTGTACTCTCAATTTACCTTGAGAAAGTACTTAGGATGCCACTGAAGCTTATATGGGTAGATAACTTTTTATTTATTTATTTTGGGAACAAGATCTCACTATATAGTTTTAGCTGACCTAAAACTTACTTTATCGAATAAGCAGACAAGAAACTCAGAGATCTGCTCACTGCTTTCCAGTGAGTGTTGAATTAAAGGTATACACCACAACTCCTGGCTTATAAATTTTACACAGAAAAAAAAATCAAAGTTTGCTTTATATTCATAACAATATGTTTCTTTGCAATTTTTAATTATTTTAATCTATCATTGAAAATGAACAGGTATATCCCAGACATCATCTGGAGGGACCTCTACAATGGCAGTGGGCAGCACTACAACCACATCTAGTGTTGAGGGAAGCAGCACCCCTAAGGAGCATAGCCCGGGAGCTACAAGCCCAGGAAATACAAGTAGCTCAGGTTGAGCAGCTTGCTACCTCCCAGATGGGTACCACTATCATAGTATTAGTAATGAGAGAAGATGATGGGATAGTACAAGAATGCTAAGAAACAGTTTTGATTCCCACATGTTTTCCTGTAGGAGACAGGACAAGACAAAAGTATGGGTTTTATGTCTCTGAGTCCTGAGGCCAGGAACAACATGCCAACAAAAGTTTGAGGCAGCTTGCACTACAGCCAAAAAGAAAAGATGGGAGCAGATGCTCAAGATGGGTATAGATGCTCAGCTCCCTTTCTGTTTATTGGGATGAGGACCATAGTCGATAAGGATATCATCAACATGTAGGGTGGGCTTTCCCTATATAGTAAATTAATCTACACAGTCTCTCATAGACTTGTCAGGAGGCCTGTTTCCACAGTGATTCTGCATGCCATCAAGTTGACAAATTGCCCACCACACTGTCTAATGTATATGTCTTCACACAGGAACAAGCGCAGGAGACAAAACTGTCACTACTGGAACTGCTGGAAATAGTGCATCAGCAAGAACAGGTACTAAGGGAACAGAGAAGGGGCTCATCCTGCAAATAGACCTGGGAATTGTGTGATTAAAATTGAGTAAGGGTCAGGGTGCCATGAAGGATGTGATCAGTGTCCTTTGTGGGACGCCAAGTGTCAACATGATTAAAACTATGCCCTTGGGTCTCATAACATAGAAAAAGAGCAATAAAATACAATTCTCATGTAAAATAATTTATACAGTCAAAATTAATATTTCTACAGATATTATTGACAAAGGTAAGGAGGACAGACATCAAAAAAGGCAAAGAATGCACATAGCAGCATGAGAAAATACAATAAGTGACAGGACCATTCAGTGAAAATACTGGAGCATAACACTCATCTCTTTTAACATAGTGAGAAACATGATCTTAATGGAGTCTCTATGAGACTACCTAATTCACAGAATTTCATTTAAAATCCCTAAAGACAGCAATGAAGTTTATGTAGTTAGATGTCACCATCATTTTAAAGAAAAAAAATTAATATTATTGCTTGTTTGCTTAAGATGGGAAATAGTTTTTCTTAAGTAAAAATTTTTATCCTTGATGAAATTCAGGAACACCTGGTGCATCATCTGGAGCAACCAGTAGAGAAGCAGGCACTGAGCTGATATTTATTCTTTGTTCTTATAAAAAACTTCCAAAGCCTTCATTGTAATGGCAAGAGTTACATAGATATAACCACTGCCACCCAGGTTGCTTTGTTCCTGGGAATGTAGGGAACTCTTAAAGTCTCCACCTGGTCATTCCCAGAGCATCTTAATATAAGAGCCATGATTTGTGACATTAACAAACAAGAGGGTAAAAGGCAAAAGTACTGTAAGAATCTAGCAAGCTGGGTGGGTTAGTCCCATGCCCTGCATCTAGAGAATGGTTAGGTTGGAAATGAATTGGAAGAGTCTGGACTTGTGATGAAATTTCTTTTCTGTCGAAAACATTGTTAAGACGAGGTACCGCTTTTAAGAAGAGGTTGCCATCTTACCCAATGGTGACATCCACATATTTCATGTAATGCATATTAACCCTAACATGCAGCCCTACAAATAGTAATGATGTCATTATGAAGAGGGGACTACACACAGATTCTGGCTCCAAGTGAGAATCAAGTAGAGGATGTTTTGATTACACACTGAAGTGTCCCTATAGGCTCAAGGAATGTGTAACTATACAACAAGAGCAAATCATAAGCATCTCACAGACATTCTACAGGAGGCTCTGGTGAGGACACAGAGGCATAGGACACACAACTCCAGTGTCACAAGGGGAAACAAGTGAAAATGTCTAAGAGCACTTGCATCCAACAAGTCAGTGCATGCATTCAAGCATGATCTGGGTTATGGGAGATTTGGTAATCACTCATTGGAGAAAAGAAAGTTGAAATAGAGAAGAATTAAGGAATATAGGAATGATATACTGATAATTGAAAGCATTAGTAGCCAGATCTGTTCTGCATCAAATCTGATAGACATTGACTGTTCACTTTCAAGGAACCACGACACCATCAGTCGTGGGGACATCTGGAACCCCAAACAGTGAACAGACTCAGCCTGCAGACAAATCAAGTGAGTACAGGCTGATTGGGAGGGGAACTGTCAGGCTCTTCACAAGAGAGAGCACCCTCCTTCCTGTCCTACTTGCTTAAAATTGGATGAGCTGACAAAGCTTTTGATGGGTGTAACGTGAGCCGGACGCAAAGGGATAAGTGTGCCATCTTCAGAAGCTTGCTCCTCTCTTCATCGCGACAAACTAAAACTTCTGATAACATGAGAGAAGGTTGAAAAGGTGGCAATGATGGAGTAGAAACTAACTGGGCTCATTACTTCTCACGACATGACACTGATGTGGCTCCAGCTTTCAGGTAGAACAGACAGAGTATGGGACGGAGGTAGAGAAATCAATCAACTGTTATGTCCTAGGTGCGCTTCCAGAGTTGCCGGTCTCTGAATGAATACCCTAACACCAAGTGTTATCCTAGGGGAGAGTGAAAGGCTCTGGTGTCTTGAAGAGTATTCCTTGTACACACTTTGGAAATTTGTCAAGTTACTATTTTGCCACAGATCATTGAGGATCAAGGGAGAGGTTAGACCCTGCGGTTGGAGGGGTTGAGATCAGGTTCTGGGTCTGCTGTAAGCTAAAAGGAAAATTAAACAAGGCAAGCAAAAGAATCCAACAACTAAACAGAATAAAGATTCCCTGCAAATGCTTGAGATACAGTTATTACAGACGTTTAATAGCCTTAAAGGAATGCAAATAAAAACCACTTTAAAATTTTATCTAACCCTGTTCAGAATGACTAAGATAAAAAAAATGAGGAAAAATACAGTTAGGGATATGTGGAAAGAAGAACATGTGTTTATTGCTGAGATAGAAAACTGGTGTAGCCACTATGGAAATTAGTGTGGAGGCTCTTCAAAAAACACATGATCCAGATTTACACTTGGAAATTTTCCCAAAGGACTCAGATCCGACTACAGATGCACTTGTTCATCCAGGTTCCTTGTTCTGTATTCATATTAGCCAGGGAATGGAAACAGCCTTTGAGAAAGATATTGTAAAAATTTGTAAGAGTAGGTGCTTCAATTTCTTAAGAGAAAAAATAGAGTATTTCAATTCTTATTCTTAAGAAAATTCTCCCTTTCAATATTCTTGTTTTTCTTGTTTAACCACAATAAAAACAGGCACTACCAGTGCATCTTTTGGATCCACATCAGGAGGGGCAGTGAGCAGCACCTCTTTACCTGCAAGTACTGGAGCCCCAGGTTCAGGTGAGGCTCTTTAGCCTTTAGAGAGTCTCAGCAGCTCATCCATTCCCATGCTCCCTTAGGTGACAGTCTGAAAATTTGGCATGTATGTGAGTAAAATTGATGACACTGGATGTAGTAGAAGTATGCCTTCTCATGTCTTATCCTGCAAGTCCATTCATATTAATAAAGTTGTTTGGAATCATATGAATCTCCAACATTCATGTTTTCTTGTTATAGGGAGGACAGTGATATCCTTAGGACAAACTACCTTCCCTCAGGCCTCTAGTCTATCCCCAGCCTCTGCCAGCAGCAAACAAGGTAAGTAAAAGAGAGCTCTCAGGTGTCAAATGGAGGGAAGAGAGTATCTCCATTTATTTCAATGGGAATGTAAGAATGACAAGTAAACGGCAGTGGGTCACTTTATGCCAAATGCGGACTAGATCCCTGGGCATTTGTTTATACTGGAATGTAAGAATGGCCTGTATATTGCAAGTATATGAGGGGTTGCCTAGGTGGAATTGGGTTCTAGGCCTGTTGAAAGCTCAGGAGGTGGCTTAAAAAGTCATGGGAACATATCCTACAACTGGGCTGGATAGTATTTCCCTGGAAAGTTTTTTTCTAGAAATGTTGTTATTTCTAAGACAAATACACTTTTCTGGATCTGTTCTTTGCTTTCCAGAAACAACAGGAGCAGGAAACGAGGCCACACCTACTGTCTCAGGCACAGGTGTCACCACTGGAAGCCCAGCAGGCAAGACAAGGACTCCATGGGGACTGTGGAGGGGCTAATGCTAGTATTGTCCAGAACTGTTTGTGGTCATGAGTTCAAGCAGAGCTGACCAAGGACCACACCATAGAACTTGATGTCAGAAATGTAACTTTGAAATGTCTTGAGAGGCTATGGGTATAATTATCTTTGACATTCAGCGTCATTCTTATGCCTTAGGAACAAGTGGAAGTTCCCATGCAGCCAGCACTGGAGCTCCTGGTGAAAACACATCTGCAGTGACAGGTACTGAGTGTGCTGAGCAGGGGGCACCCAGGCAACAGATAAGAGATCCTTGCATCCAGCATGTAAGGTAGTGAAGACTTAAGGGGGGAGTTGACCCTTGTCACAGATGCCATGTACTACAGTTACTTTTCTTTGTGTTAACCAAATCATAACCATAGCCAAACTTGTTAGATGGGTTTATTTTTCTCACAATTTGAGGTAATTTTTACAGGACAGGGAAATCATAGAAGTGAGACTGGTTCAGATGGAAATGTAGAGTCACGAGAAAGCTGTTCACAGGTGTCCACACTGAGGAAGGAGAGTGATGAAGACTGGTCCTCTAGTGCTTCCTCCCTTTCCCCCTAACATCCCGTCTAGGAGTACAACTAATCCGTCCTCACATTCCTATACATTGACCTTTCCCTCTATGCTAGTATCCTTACTAGATATGCACAGATATATATTCTAAATGATAAATAGTCTCACAACAAGTATCCAAAAGATTGCAATGTATAGTCAAGTGTTCGTTTTGGGTCTAATGTGATAAGCATTCCACAGTTGCTAAAAACAGGGAGATGCCATGTTCTCATGCATCTTCATGCTTTTGGATGAAATTAGCAGTTCAGTGATGTGAGAGACTAAAGGTAACGTGGGCAATATTCAGGTGACTAAAGATTCCACAGGGACTTAAGTCAGTTCTAAAATAGCGAACATTCCTCTAAGGAATTTCACTTACCTCCATAGTTATTGTATTTTCCACTTAATGAATATTTATACCAATCAGTAGTTTGTCAAATTAATGGATTTTGTTTGAGAAAAAAATGTCATTGCATAAGCATAAGCATAGACACTTTCATTTGTTTAGACAAAAACTCCATTTCAACTATTACTCATGAGAAAAACTCCCATTCAGACTTCTCAGTATTCTCTTTTTCCATGGTGAAAAATAGGCACACCTGGGAAATCTTCTGGAGCCACCTCAGGAGGGGCAGGGAGTAGCACCATGCTACCTGCAAGTACTGGAGCCCCAGCTACAGGTAAGAAGACTTCTTTGTCTTTGGTGAAGCTTCAGCAGCTCATCGATTCCCATGCTGCCTCAGGTGAAGGTCTGGAAATATGGCCTCTAGGTGCCAGGAAAATTCAAGGCACAGAAAGTGATTTAAGAATGTGTCTTTTCAAGTTTTATCATTCAAGCCATTTTCTATAACTAATAATATCTGGAATCATATAGGTATCCAACATCCAAATTTTTTGGTTTCCTTTGAGAAAGCCGTTTGGTGACAAATAAACCAATTTCTCTCGAGAAAGAAGTTGTCATTAAAGTTTATTGGATACATACTTTTATTTAAGGAAAGAAAAATAGGGTATTTTAATTTCTATTCTTAAGGAAAATCTCCCCTCAATTTTCTTGTTATTCTCTTTTAACCACAATAAAAACCAGGAACACCTAGTGCATCTTCTGGAGCCACCTCAGGAGTGGCAGGGAGCAGCACCCCTCTACCTGAAAGTTCTGGAGCCCCGAGTTCAGGTGAGACCTTTTAGTCTTTGAGATGTCTCAGCAGCTCATCCCTTCCCATGATTCCTCAGGTGATGATCTGGAAATTTGACTTGTGTTTGAGAGTAAAAATTGTGACTCTTGATGTGGAACAAGCATGTGTCTTCTCAAGTCTTATCCTGCTCGCCCATTCATATTAATGAGGATGTCTGGAGTCAGATGAACCTCCCATATCCTGTTTTCCTATTATAGTGAACATGGTGACATCCCCAGGACACACTACCTTCCCACAAGCCTCCAGTCTATCATCAGCCTCTGCCAGCAGCAAACATGGTGAGTAAAATAGAAGAGGCTATGAGGTCTCAAGTGTCAAAAGGAGGGCTGACTCTATCTCCATTTATTTATATTGGACTATAGGAATGACATGTATATTTAAATACAATGAGCCCTCGGATGCCAAATTGGAGGGCGGGTGAGTCTATCTCCACTTCTTTATGTGGGAATGTAGGAATGACAAGTATATTACAAGGTGATGAGTCCTCAGGTGACAGATGAGGGACTGGTTATAACTCCATTTATTCATAAGGGAATTTAGGAATTTCTTGTATATTTACAGAAAGAAAGGTCACATCAGAAAGATGACAGTATTAGTTGATGTTTCTCTTATCCTGTCCTATAATTAGTTGGCTAATGTGCAATTTTAGCCAATCTTGACCCTGATTTATTTTTAGATCTTGTGGCCAGTGAGTCATGAGGACTAAGGCTTCCAGTCTTGACTCAATTTGACCATCAAGAAGGATAGTTCTGAATGGATTCTTTATCAGAGTTACTAAATGTGTTTCCTTTAATGAAAAACCCAATCATATATAAATTTTAATCCTAGTTGTTTGAATAAGCATTTGAGTACTGGAGCAAAACAAACGAATATGAAGGAGGTAGACGATCTTTCCATGCATAATCAATTAAGCCCAACAAAGATTCCCCTGCATCATATAAAATTTGCAAAGATACAACAAATATAAAAATATGTAACTAAATGAAGACACTAGACATCAGAGAGCATTGTGTTCTACTGCATCATCCTATTCATGACAATGTGTTTCTTTTAAAGGAACGACTGGATCATCAGCTGCAACAACTGGATCTCCAAGCAGTGAGCTGACCACACCTGAAATCAGTGCAGGTCAGTTGAGACTGGGTCCTAAAAAGCTGAGGCTGTGTCTGAACAGGAGTGTGATTTGTTCACACCTTGTTCATTACAAAGACTAACATTCAGACATATGTATTAATGAAACTATATGGAGACCTCATTGTTGACCTAATTTGAAATGCAGAGAGATATGTTTAATAAATAAAATGAAAATAGTGGCCTTTGGATCTAAATCTCCTAAAATTCCTAAAATGGACTCAGTTGAAGAATCTGAGCTATGGCATAAACTCCTGTGTCTACTGTGAGACCAGTCAGTATCAGAACTTTATTGGTATCCAAGAACTCAGTGAGTGTTCTGAAGGATAGTCTGGGTGACTGAGTGCTGAAAAGAGAAAAACAGAGGAAAATGCAATAATATAAGGAAGACTACTGGAAGCATTAGCATCATGATCGATACCCCTGAATCAAGCATCTGATAATCAGTTTTGTTCACTTTGACAACGGCAATTGCACCAACAGCTGGGGAAATATCTAGATCCCCAAGCAGTGAATTGACCCAGCCTTCACACGAGTACAGTGGTACAAGGGGAAACAAGTGAAAATGTCTAAGAGCACTTGCATCCAACAAGTCAGTCCATGCATTCAAGCATGCTCTGGGTTATGGGAGATTTGGTAATCACTCATTGGAGAAAAGAAAGTTGAAATAGAGAAGAATTAAGGAAAATAGGAATGATATATTGATAATTGAAAGCATTAGTAGCCAGATCTGTTCTGCATCAAATCTGATAGACATTGACTGTTCACTTTCAAGGAACCACGACACCATCAGTCGTGGGGACATCTGGAGCCCCAAACAGTGAACAGACTCAGCCTGCAGACAAATCAAGTGAGTACAGGCTGATAGAGGGCGGGGACTGTCAGGCTCTTTACAGGAGAGAGTACCCTCCTTCCTGTCCTACTTGCTTAAAATTGGAGGAGCTGACAAAGATTTTGATGGAAGTAATGTGAGTCAGGCACAAAGGGATAAGTGTGCTGTCTTTAGAAGCTTGCTCCTCTCTCATCGCAACAAAATAAAGCTTCTGAAAACATGAGATGTTAAAAATGGAGTAGAAAATTACTGCAGTCATTACTTATCATGATGTGACACTGATGGGGCTCCAGCTTTCAAGTAGAATAGACAAAGGTTGGAAGGGAGGCAGAGAAATGAGTCAACTGTTATGTCCTAGGTGCGCTTCCAGAGTTGCCGGTCTCTGACTGAATACCCTGACACCAAGTGTTATCCTAGAGGAGAGAGAAAGGCTCTGGTGTCTCGGAAAGTATTCCTTGAACACACTTTGGAAATTTGTCAAGTTACTATTTTGCCACAGATCTTGAGGAGCAAGGGAGAGGTTAAACACTGCGGTTGGAGGGGTTGAGATCAGGTTCTGGGTCTGCTGTAAGCTAAAAGGAAAATTAAAGAAGGCAAGCAAAAGTATCTGACAACTAAACAGGATAGAGATTACCTGCAAATTCTTGAGATATAGTTATTACAAACATTCAACAGCCTTAAAGAAATGCAAATAAGAACTACTTTGAGATTTTGTCTAACCCTGTTCAGAATGACTAAGATAAAAAAAAATGAGGAAAAATACTGTCAGGGATATGTGGAAAGGGGAACATGTGTTTACTGCTGAGATAGAAAACTGGTGTAGCTACTATGGAAATCAATGTAGAGGCTCCTCAAAAATCACATGATCTAGATTTACACTTGAAAATTTTCCCAAATCACTCAGATTCTACTACAGAGGTACTTTCGCATCCAGGTTCCTTGTTCTTGCATTCATATTAGCCAGGGATAAGAAACAGCCTAATTGTCCACTGAGAGAAGACTGAATAATGAAAATGTGGTATATTAGACAATGGAAGATTTTTCTTATGCCTCTCTCCTTAACCACAAAATATTAGGCACACCCAAGGGATCATCTGGAACAACCACGGGTACGGCAGGTGGCAGCACTCCTCTGGTGGCAAGTACAGCCACCCCAGCTTCTGGTAAGAGATAATAGACTGGACATGTCACTCCCTCGTGTCCCTGATGCAAGAGGCACTTGCCTTCAATCGGTCTCAAGAGGGAGTTGAATAAAGGGCTGGGGAGGGGTTTTCAGATGTGTCATTTTGATTCTTATTCTAAAAATTAATCCACACACACCTAAGAATGTCAGGAATAATGTAAATATCCACGCATCCACATTTGCTGGTTCTAGAGAGAACAACAGTGTCTTCTGACCACACTACCACCCCTGGAGTCTCCTCAAGCCTGGTCTCAACCTCAGATAACAGCAAATCAGGTGAAAAAAAGAAAGAAGACTACGAGTCTAAAGAAATCAAACAAAGGGTTGCAAATATTTTCACTCATATCCATGTACTATATGTAAGACATGTCTCTTTTAGGAATAGAAAGCTGAGTTCCTCTTCAGTACTTCAGTCAGTAGTAGGAGAACTGCATTAGATGATGTTTCTGTCACCCTATGTCATCATTTGTGTTCATGTGTGTGCTTAAAGGTCATGATGATTTTGAGACTCTTACCCTGAGATTAGGGACTCTGAGTCTGGGAGCTGTGTCTTTTCTGCCAGCTACCACTTAGCACTTAACAAGGACACTTAAAAGAAATTCCACACTAGCTCAGAATTGAGAAATGGATGGTTATTAATTTAGGAGTAGACTCACAAATCAGAATCCTCTGCTTGAACGAAGATCAGAAACCAAAATCCGCAACCAGAGCAGAGAAGCTGGAAAAGAGGCCGGATATATACTATAGAAGCTCTCCATTGGCAGATATGGTGTAAGAGGCCATGCCTTCGTACGTGGGTAACCACTAGCTGTAATGCTTCCTACAGCACAACACCAAGGAGAAAAGTTCAGAATTCTGACCCTCACAGTCCCATTAATGTGGAGCACTGGGAAAAAGGGCCTATGTTGGGGTATTTCTGAAACCCAGTGATTTCCAACAAACAGCTTGTCACTGAGATCAAACAAGTAAATCATTAGATTATATGAAATTTTAAAAATGCCTATCTAAGAAATTGATGACTCATTTGAAATGATATGTTCGTAATTTGGGACGACTGAGACAGAAGTAGGAAGGATGCAAAAATGAATAAGATGCTCGGAAGCAGAGAGCCACTTTCTCACAACCATCACATGGTGTGTTTTAAAAGGAACAACTGGACCGTCTACTGGAACGACTAGATCCCCAAGCAGTGAGCTGACCTCAACTGAAGTCAGTGTAGGTGAGTTGAGGCTGTGCCCTGGGGAAGCTGGTTTGTTCACACTTGTTCATTTTAAAGAACTGCACTTGAGACAAATGTATGTTCAAAGGTGTGTGGAGACTTCATTGTCAACCCAACTCAAGATGTAAAGAGACATTTCAAAGAAATAAAAGGAAACTAGGGGTCTGAGGAGATGCGTCTCATAAAATCCCTGCTGTAGGCTCTGAAGAGGGTGCTGATCTGTGACGCACAACTCCAGTGTCCTACTATGAATCAAATGAGCATATGAAAATTCACTTGTATTCAGTAAACCAATCAGTGCTCTTAAGGGTAGTCTGGATAATGGTAGATGTCATTAAATCTGGTTGAAGAGGGAAATAGAGAACAGATAAAGCAGGAAAATCGGGAAGGTAACTGATAGCATGAACAGGCTGTTCTATACGCCTTTATCAAACATCCTTATATTCAATTGTTGTTCACTTTGAAAGAGACAACTGCATCATCAACTGGGGAAACATCTAGAACCCATGCAATGCACTGACTCAGCCTTCAGACAAGTCAAATGAGTACAGGCAAATGTGAGGAAGGCATGGGTTTTGACAAGGAGGATTCCCTTCCCATTACCTTTCTCATTTTATCAAAGTACAACATTTAGATGCACAAAAGAGAACTAAATAAAAAGGTGGGACAATGCCATTTTATGGAGCTTCTCTTCTTCCTGGCAGTAAACCAAGGCTTTGGATAACATGGCACTAGGTTGAAAGGGTAGATAGACATGATTGAGCAGAAAACCGCTGGACTCAGTTCTCGTGATGTGACACTGGGGGATGATCCACCCCTCCGGTAGGACAGAGAGACTTGAGAGAGGAGACAGAGTCATGGATTAAATGCTCTACCACAGGAGCATTTCCAGAGTTATCAGCCTCTATAGGAATGCCTTAACACCAAAGGGGAGACAACGGTTGTGGTATCCGGGAAAGTTTTTGTCTAACACACTTAAGAAATTTGTCAAATTGCTGTTTTGCCACAGATCATCAAGAAGCAAATGAAAATTAGACTTTGGGGTTGGAGAGGTTGAGACTAGATCCAGGGTCTGCTATGAGCTAACAGGGCAACTTAATGGAGTCAAGGGAACATCACACTGAACTGGATAAAGTTTCCAAGGTCAGAAGTTTTCCTGATGTGAGTTAGTTTTCAGAAAAAAATAAAGATATTCTTTGTGTCCCAGGAACTGTAGAGTCTACAGAACCCACAAGCCACAGGGGAGGCAGCACATCCGGGGAACCCAGCAGCAGTGTTACCAGCCAAGGAAACTCAGGTGAGTGAGAGCAGGCACTTTATTAGTAGCAAGTCAGTGGGGAAAGATGTGACGAGCAGGCTCCTGGGGGAAAGTATAAATTTGTTCACCAAGTCAGGTATAGAATTGGACCTCTCCTTGTCTCCTTTCTGAGGACCAGTAAATATTTCCAGCATGGCCCCTTGCTTTGCAGGAACAACAGGCAAGTCGGTGGGAGTTGCCACAAAAGCAGCCAGGGAGGCCACCCCTGTAACCCAAGGCTCAGAAGTCACCATTGGAAGCACAGCAGGCAAGATAAGAACTCAGTGCTGGTCTGTGTCAGGGACTCATGCCAGTGTTGTCCAGCACTGCTTTTCATCATTAGTTCAAGGAAAGGTGATGAAGGATCATGGTGTAGAACTTAGTGACATAAGGTTAATCCTAAAATGCTTTGGGAGGCTTCTGAGGCCATTGTTACCTGTGACCATAAGTGATATTCCTATTTTCATATAAAGAAGACAAAACACATGGAGCTAGTACAATGCATTGCTTGCCACCAACATATACATTGAACTTCCCTTCTCTGTAATAACTATCCTCAAAGATATGCCCAGAAACATGTTCTGAATGGTAAAGAGTACCAAGTCTCCAGAAGATCAGATATATATTGTCAAGTATTTATTTTGTGTTTAGTATAATTTCAAACATATAATTTTAGGCAAATAATAGGAGAACTACATGATCTCATGCAGCTTCATACTTTCCTGAAAGCATTTATAGCAATGACACATGTGAGTGGAAACATTTGGTGGAGCAGGCAGGAGGGAAAGACAATCATGGGGTCTTGGTCAGCTCTAAAATCATAAACAGTTCTGCATGAGGAACTGACTTCCTTCAGCAATTAGTGTGCTTTCTAATTAATGAATATTTAATCAAATGAGGCTGTCAAATTATTTGATATCTTTGAGAAAGTTATTGTAGAAATTTGTAAGAGTAGATACTTAAATTTCATGGTAGGAAAAATATAATATTTCAATTCTTATTCTTAAGGAAATTCTCCCTTTCAAATATTCTCATTCTTCTTGTTTAACCTCAATAAAATCCAGGCACTGCCAGTGCATCTTTTGGAGTCACATCAGGAAGGGCAGTGAGCAGCACCTCTTTACCGGCAAGTACTGGAGCCCCAGGTTCAGGTGAGGCCCTTTAGCCTTTTCAGAGTCTCAGCAGCTTATCCATTCCATGCACCCTCAGGTGATGTCTGAAAACTTGAAATACATGTATGAATAAAATGAATGGAGCTGGATGTAATAGAAGTATGTCTTCTCATGTCTTATCCTGCAAGTCCATTCATATTAATAAGGATGTCTGGAATCATATGATCTCCAACATCCATATTTTATTGTTATAGGGAGCACAGTGATATCTCCAGGACAAACTACCTTCCCTCAGGCCTCCAGTCTATCCCCAGCCTCTGATAGCAACAAACAAGGTAAGTAAAAGAGAGTTCTAAGGTGTCAAACACAGGGCAGAGTGTATCTCCATTTATTTAGTTGGGAATGTAGGAATAACAAGTACAGTTAAAGGCTGTGAGTCACCTTATGGCAAATGGGGACTAGATCTCTGGGCATTTATTTATACTGGAGTGTAAGAATGGCATGTGTATTAAAAGTCTATGAAGGGCTGGCTAGGTGGAAGTTGGGTCCTAGGCCTGTTGTAAGCTCAAGAGGTGACTTAAAAGTCATGGGAACATATCCTACAACTGGGCTATATAATATTTCTGAGGAAAAGTTTTTGTGAGATATTGTTATTTCTAAGACAAATGCATTTTTTTTCTGGATCTGTTCTTTGTTTTACAGAAACAACGGGAGCAGGCAAGGAGACCACACCTACAGTCTCAGTCACAGTTGTCACCACTGGAAGCCCAGCAGGCAAGACAAGGACTCCATGGGGACTGTGGAGGGGCTAATGCTAGTACTGTCCAGAACTGTTTGTGGTCATGAGTTCAAGAAACGCTGACCAAGGACCACACTGTAGAACTTAATGGCAGAAATGTAGCTTTGAAATGTCTTGGGAGACTCTGGGTATAATTGTCTTTGACATTCAGCGTCATTCTTATGCCTTAGGAATGAGTGGAAGTTCCCATGCAGCCAGCACTGGAGCTCCTGGGGAAAACACATCTGCAGTGACAGGTACTGAGTGTGCTGAGCAGGGGGCACCCAGGCAACAGATAAGAGATCCTTGCATGCAGCATGTAAGGCAATGAAGATCCAAGAGGGAGTTGACCATTGTCACAGATACTATGTACTACAGTTACTTTTCTTTCTGAGGACCAAATCATAACCAAAGCTAATCATGTTAGATGTGGTTATTTTGCTCACAATTTGAGGCAATTTTTAAACAAAAGGGACATCATAGAATTGAGAATGGTTCAGATGGAATATTAGGGTCATAAGGAAGGTGTCCATGCTGTGTCCACACTGAGGAAGGAGACTGATGAAGACGGCTCCTCTCATGCTTCCTCCCTTTCCTTCTCACTTTCAGTCTAGGAGTGCAACTCATCCGTCATCACGTTCCTATACATTGACCTTTCCCTCTATGTTAATAGCCTCAGCAGATATGCACAGAATTGTGTTCAAATGACAAACAGTTCAACACCATGTTTTTAAAAGATTAGGTATATAATGTCAAGTATTTATTTTGTTTCTAACATCATTTCAAGCACACATTACTTATTAAATATTAGGTAACTCTATGATCTCATGCATCTTCACAATTTTATAAGAAACATTGACAGTCATGAGACATACGATCCAAAATGTTTGGTAGAGGACAGTTCAGGGATCAAAGAGGCTATTAGGGTCTTAAGTCATTTCTAAAATGGCCATCCTTCCTCCATGAGGGAGTTGAATTATTTCTGTAATTATTTTGTTTTCTAATTAATGAACATTTACCTCAATCAGTAGGCTGTGCAGTGTATGGATTTCCCTTGAGAAAGACTTTTTCATTGAACTTTATGAGACACTATGATTTGGTTAGAGGAATAGAAAGACAATTTTAATTCTTATTCTTTCAACATATGTTTCAATCTTACTCTTCTCTTTTCACAATGATGAAAATCAGGCACAATTGGTGCATCCTCTGAAACTACTTCAGGAGGGGCAGGGAGCAACACCCCTCTACCTGCAAGTACTGGAACCCCAGGTTCAGGTAAGACTACTTTGCTTTTGGTGAAACATCAGTACCTCATCCATTTCCAGGCTGCCTCAGGTTCTAGTATGGAAAGATGACCGGTATCTGTGAGTAAAATTTCGGGTACAGACAGTGTTGCAGGAAAGTAACTTCTCATGTTTTATCCTGTAAGTCCATTCATATAATTTAGGATATCTAGAAGCATATCAGTCTCCAACAGGCATGTTTTCCTATCCTAGGGAATACAGTGACATCCTCCGACCACACAACCATTCTTCAAGCCTCCACTCTATCCTCACCTTCTGCCAGCCGTAGACCAGGTAATTAAAATGGAAGAAGCTATGAGGTTTCAAGTGTCTAAAGGAGGGCTGAGTCTATCTCCATTTATTTATGGAAAGTAGGAATGACATGTATATTTAAATACAGTGAGCCCTCAGATACCAAATAGGGGTGACTGAGTCTATCTCCACCTATCTATGTAGTAATAGAGGAATGACTAGTATTGATGACTAGTATTGATGACTACTATTAATGACTAGGTGATGAGCTCTCAGGTGACAGATGAGGGACTGGTTATATCTCCATTTAATCATGAAGGAATTTAGAAATTCTTGTATATTATAGAAAGAAAGCTCACACCAGAAAGATGACTATATTAGTTGATGTTTCTCTTATCCTGTCCTATAATTAGGTTGCTGATGTGCACTTTTGGGTAATGCTGGCTCTGATTCCTTCCTTAGAATTTAAGGACAGTGAGTCATGAGGGCTAAGGCTTCCCATCTTAAGTCATCAATTAGATGACTCTAATTGATCATCAAGTGGGATAGTTCTGAATGGTTTCTTTGTCAGGGTTACTAAACATGTTTCCTTATAGGGAAGAACCACTCAGAAATATATTTTAATCTACGTTGTTGAATAAGCAACCCAGTACTGGAGTAAAACAGATAAATATGAAGGAGGTAGACAATCTTTCCTTGGACAATCAAATAAACCCAGCAAGAATTCACCCATAGCGTAAAAAATTTGCAATGATTGCAACAAATATAGAAAAATATGTAACTAAATGAAGACACTCGACATTAGAGAGCAGTGTGGTCTACAGCAGCGTCCTAATCATGACATTGTATTTCTTTTAAAGGAACGACTGGATCATCAGCAGGAACCACTGGATCCCCAAGCAGTGAGCTGACCTCACGTGAAATCAGTGCAGGTCAGTTGAGACTGGGTCCTGAAGAAGCTGAGGCTGTGTCTGAACAGGAGTGTGATTTGTTCACACCTTGTTCATTACAAAGACTAACATTCAGACATATATATTAATGAAACTATATGGAGATCTCATTGTTGATTTACTTTGAGATGCAGAGAGATATTTTTAATAAATAAATGAAAATAGTGGTTTGGGGATATAAATCTCCTAAAATCCCCAAAATAGATTTTGAAGAAGATGCTGAGCTATGACTAACAACTGCTGTCTCTACTGTGAGACTGGTTAGTATCACCACTTCACTTGTATCCAACAACTCAGTGAGTGTCTGAAGATAGTCTGAGTCACTGAGTGTTGAAAAGAAAAAAAAAGGAGACTGCAGGAATATAAGGAAAACAACTGGAAGCATTAGCATCCTGATCCATAGCCCTGTGTCCAGAATCTGATAATCAATTTTTGTTCACTTTGAAAGCGGCAATTGTACCAACAGCTGGTGAAATATTTAGATCCCCAAGCAGTGAATAAACTCAGCCTTGAAACAAGTACAGGCTCACTGGAGGAAGTCATGGTTTAACAAGGAGAGATAATTTCTCATTATCCTGCTTTTGTGAAATCAAAGAACAAAATCTAGATGAGATATATGAGAACCAAAGAAAAATGAACAGCAATATCATTTCAAGAAGCTTTCTCCTCCCCAAGGCAGTAAGACAAAGCTTTTGATTACATGACACTAGCTTCAAAGGGTAGACATGATTGTACGTATATTCTCTGAACTCAGTACTTCGCATTGTGAGATGCCGGGATGATGTTTCCCCTTCCAAATAGAAGGACAGACAGACATCAGAGAGGAGAGAGAGTACAGCTCCACCCTAGGTGCATTTCCAGATTTATCATTTTTCATGGAACATCTTGACTCAGAGTTTTGTCTTAGCATACAGAGAAAAGTCTGGTGTTTCAGAAAGTGTTTATCAATTTTGAAAAATACCCAATTACTGTTTTGCAATAGATCATTGAGAGCAAATGAGTAGTTAGCCTTGGGATTGCAAAGGTGGAGGGTGAGACCTAGGCCTGCTGTAAGCTGAAGGGGTGACTTAAAATAATGGGATCATATTCTGTAACTGGGCTTGATAACGTTTCCCTGGCAAGGTCTTTTTGTGAAATATTGTTATTTCTAAGTTACCTACATTTTTTTTCTGTATTTGTTCTTTGCTTTAAAGAAACAACAGCAGCAGGCAAGGAGACCACACCTACTGGCTCAGGCACAGGGGTCACCACTGGAAGCCCAGCAGGCAAGACAAGGACTCCATGGGGACTGTGGAGGGACTAACGCTAGTATTATCCAGAACTGTTTGTGGTCATGAGTTCAAGGAAAGCTGAACAGGAACCACACTGTAGAACTTAATGGCAGCAATGCAACTGAAATGCCTTGAGAGAGACTGGGTATAATTATCTTTGACATTCAGCACCATTCTTATGCCTTAGGAACAAGTGGACGTTCACATGCAGCCAGCACTGGAGCTCCTGGGGAAAACACATCTGCAGTGACAGGTACTGAGTGTGCTGAGCAGGGGGCCCCCAGGCAATAGATAAGAGATCCTTGCATGCAGCATGTAAGGCAGTGTAGATCCATGGGAGAATTGACCGTTGTGGCAGATACCATGTACTACAGTTACTTTTCTTTATGGGAATCAAATCATGACCAAATGCAATCATCTTAGAGGATTTTTTTTGTTCACAATTTGAGGTAATTTTTACAGGACAGGGAAACCATAGAAGTGAGAGTGGTTCAGATGGAATTGTGGGGTCATGAGGAAGCTGTCCACACTCTGTCCACACTGAAGAAGGAGAGTGATGACGAAGACTGCTCCTCTCATGCTTCCACTCTTTCCCCATCACATCCAGTCTAGCAGGTCAACGCATCCATCCTCACGTTCCTATATATTGACCTTTCTGCCTGTGTTAATATCCTTAATAGATATGCCGAGAATTGTCTCCCAAATGATAAACAGTTCCACACCAAGTTTCTAGAACATTAGATGTATGCTGTCATGATTTATTTTTATTCTAGCATCATTTCAAACACACATTATTTACTAAATAATAGGGAAACTCAGATCTCATGTATCTTCACTATTTTAAAAGAAATATTGACAGCCCGTGAGACATATGAGTCAAAATGTTTGGTGGAGGGCAGTCAGGGAGCAAAGAGCCTATTAGGGTCTTTAGTCAGTTTTAAAATGCCCAACCTTTCTCCATGAGAAATTTGATGTATTTCTATAATTATTTTGTTTTCTAATTAATGAACATTTATTTCAATCAGTAGTCTATCCAATTAATGGATTTTCATGGAGAAAGACTTTGTCATTGAACTTTATGAAAGGAGACACTTTCACTTGTTTGGAGGATTAGAAAGACCATTTTAATTCTTAGTTTTAAAACTAAACTTCTGTTGTAATCTTCTTATTCTTCTTTTTTCACTATGATGAAATCAGGCACACTCGGTGCATCTTCTGGAACTACATCAGGAAGGGCAGGAAGCAGCACCACTCTACCTACCAGTACTGGAGCCCCAGGATCAGGTAAGCCTACTTTGCTCTTAGTGAAGCCTCAGCATCTCACCCATTCCTATGCTGCCTCAGGTGATGGTCTGGAAATGTGACCTGTATGTGTGAGTAAAATTCACAGAAAGTGTTGCAAGATGTAACTTCTCATGTTTTATCTTGTAAGTCCATTCATTTACATAAGGATATCTAGAATCCTATAAGCCTCCAACGTGCATGTTTTCCTATCCTAGGGAATACAGTGACATCCTCCGGCCACATAACCATTCTTCAAGCCTCCTCTCTATCCTCAACTTCTGCCAGCAGTAAACCAGGTAGATAAAATAGAAGAGACTATGAGGTCTCGGGTGTCAAAAGGAAGGCTGAGTCTATCTCCATTTATTTATATTGAAATGTATAAATGACATGTTTATTTAAATACAGAGAGTCCTCAGACACCCAATAAAGGACTGAGTCTATCTCCACTTATTCTTGTGGGAATGTAGGAATGACTAGTATATTACAAGGTGATGAGATCTCATGTGACAGATAAGGGACTGGTTATATCTCCATTTAATCGAGATAGAATTTAGGAATTCCTTTATATTATAGAAAGAAAGCTCACATCAGAAAGAAGACTGTATTAGTTGATGTTTCTCTTATCCTGTCGTATAATTAGGTTGCTAATGTACACTTTTGAGCAGTTCTGGCCCTGATTCCTTCCTTAGATCTTAAAGACAGTGAGTCACGAGGGCTAAAGCTTCCCATCTTGACTCTAATTGATTATCAAGTAGGATAGTTCTGAATGGCTTCTTTATCAAGGTTACTAAGAATGTTTCCTCATATGGAAGACCCAATCGTAATATAATTTAACCATGTTGTTGAATAAGCATCTGAGTACTGGTGTAAAACACATAAATATGAAGAAGGTAGAAGATCTTTCCATGCAAAATCAAATAAGCGCAACAAGAATTCCGCCATAGTATATGAAATCTGCAAAGATACAGCAAATATAGACAAGTATATAACTAAATGAATACACTCGGCAATAGAGACCAGTGTGGTTTACTGCAGTGTCCTAGTCATGACATTTTGTTTCTTTTAAAGGAACGACTGGATCATCAGCTGGAAAAGCTGGATCTCCAAGTAGTGAGCTGACCTCACCTGAAATCAATACAGGTCAGTTGAAACTGTGTCCTGAAGAAGCTGAGGCTGTGGTTGAACGGGAGTGTGATTTGTTCATACCTTGCTCATTACAAAGACGAACATTCATTCATATATATTAATAAAGCTATATGGAGACCTCATTGTTGACCTAATTTGAGATGAAGAGAGATATTTTTAATAAACAAAATGAAAATAGTGATCTGGGGATATAAATCTCCTAAAATCCCTAAAGTAGACTCTGATGAAGATGCTGAGCTATGACATACAACTCCTGTGACTACTGTGAGACCAGTCAGTATCAGACTTCATTGGTATCCAACAACATAGTGAGTGTTCTGAAGGATAGTCTGGGTGACTGAGTGCTGAAAAGAGGAAAACAGAAGAAAATGCAATAATATAAGGAAGACTACTGGAAGCATTAGCATTCTGATCCATACCCCTGTATCCAGAATCTGACAATCAATTTTTGTTCACTTTGAAAATGGCAATTGCACCAACAGCTGAGGAAGTATCTGGATCCCCAAGCACTGAATTGACCCAGCCTTCAAACAAGTACAGGCTAATGGGAGGAAGTCATGGTGTAACAAGGAGGGATAACTTCTCATTATACTGTTTATGTGAAATCCAAGGAGAAAATCTGGATAAGCATATGAGAATCTATGAAGAAGAAACAGCAATATTATTTCAAGAAACTTTCTTCTTCCCAAGGCAGGAGCCAGGGCTTTTGATAACATGACTCTAGCTTCAAAGGGTAGACATTATTGTACAAATAACCACTGGACCCAGTCTTTCTCATGAAATGAAGCCCGGAATGATGCTTCTTTCTCCTTCCAAGTAGAAGGACAGACAGCCATCACAGAGGGACAGAGTACATCTCCACCGCAGGTGTATTTCAAAATTCATCATTTTCTTCAGGAACATCTTGACTCTGAGTTTTGTCTTAGGGGACAGAGAAAGGTCTGCTGTTTCAGAAAGTATTTATCGAATACACTTTGAAATATTCCCAAATAACCTTTTGCCAGAGATCATTGAGAGCAAATGAGTGGTTAGCCTCTGGGATTAAAGAGGTGGAGTGTGAGACCTAGGCCTGCTGTAAGCTGAAGGGGTGACTTAAAAAGTCATGGGATTATATCCAACAACTGTGCCAGATAGTATTTTTCTGGCAAGATTTAATGTGAAATGTTGTTATTTCTAAGGCACATACATTTTTTTTTCTGAATCTGTTCTTTGCTTTCCAGAAACAACAGGAGCAGGTAACGAGGCCACACCTACTGTGTCAGGCACAGTTGTCACCACTGGAAGCCCAGCAGGCAAGACAAGGACTCCCTGGGGACTGTGGAGGGTCTAATACTAGTATTATCCAGAACTGTTTGTGGTCATGAGTTCAAGGAGAGCTGACCAAGCACCACACTGTAGAACTTAATGGCAGAAATGTAACTTTGAAATGCTTTGGGAGACTCTGGGTATAATTATCTTTGACATTCAGAGTCATTCCTATGCCTTAGGAACAAGTGGAAGTTCCCATGCAGCCAGCACTGGAGCTCCTGGTGAAAACACATCTGCAGTGACAGGTACTGAGTGTGCTGAGCAGGGGGCCCCCAGGCAACAGATAAGAGATCCTTGCATGCAGCATGTAAGGCAATGAAGATCTAAGGGGGAGTTGACCCTTGTCACAGATGCCATGTACTACAGTTACTTTTCCTCATGGAAACCAATCATTAAGGAAGGAAATGAAGTTAGAGTGATTTTATTTTTTTCACAATTTGAGGTAATTTTTACATGACAGGGAAGCCATAGAAGTAAGAGTGGTGCAGATGAAAATGTAGGGTCATAAGGAAGCTGTCTACACTCTGTCCACACTGAGGAAGGAGACTGATGAAGACTGCTTCTCTCATGCTTCCTCTCTTTCCCTGTCACATTCAGGCTAAGAGTACAACTCATCTATCATGTTTCTATACATTGATCTTTCTGTCTATGTTAATATCCTCAGCAGATATGCCCACAATTTTGATCCAAATGAAAAACAGTTCCACAACAAGTTTCTAGAGGATTAGATATATACTCTCGTGTATTTATTTTGTTTCTATCATCATTTCAAACACACATTATTTTGTAAATGATAGGGAAACTCTGACCTCATGCATCTTCACAATTTTAACAGAAATATGACAGCCATGAAATATATGAGCCAAAATGTTTGGTAGAGGGAAATCCAGGGAGCAAAGAGCGTTGAATGGTCTTAAGTCAGTTCTAAAATCGCCATCCTTTCTCCATCACAAATTTGATGTATCTCTATAATTATTTTGTTTCTCATTGATGAACATTTATTTCAACCAGTATGCTGTTCAGTTAATGGATTTTCATGGAGAAAGACCTTGTCATTGAACTTTATGAGAGGAGATACTTTCATTTGTTTAGAGGATTAGAAAGACCATTTCAATACTTATTTTTAAAGCTAAACTTCTGTTTTAATCTCTTACTTTTCTTTTTTAACTATGATGAAATCAGGCACACTCAGTACATCTTCTGGAACTACTTCAGGAGAGGCGGGGAGCAGCACGCTTCTACCTACAAGTACTGGAGCCCCAGGTTCAAGTAAGTCTACTTTGCTTTTGGTGAACCTTCAGCACCTCATCCATTTCCAGGCTGCCTCAAATGATGGTCTGGAAATGTGACCTGTATGTGTGAGTAAAATTCAGGGTACAAAAATGTGTTGCAAGCATGTGATTTCTCATGTTTTATTCTGTATGTCCATTCATATAAGTAAGGATATCTAGAATTTTTTCGGTCTCCAACATGGATGTTTTCCTATCCTAGGGAATACAGTGACATCTTCCGGCCACACAACCATTCTTCTAGCCTCCACTCTATCCTCAGCTTCTGCCAGCAGTAGACCAGGTAAGTAAAATGGGAGCAGCTATTAGGTCTCAGGTGTGAAAAGAGAGGCTGAGTCTATCTCCATTTATTTATATTGGAAAGTAGCAATGACATGTATATTTAAATACTATGAGTTCTTATACACAAAATGGCTGGCTGATCTTATCTCTACTTATTTATGTGGACATGTAGGAATGACAAGTATATTACAAGGTGGTAAGTCCACAGGTGACAGATGTCGGACTGTTTTTTTTCACCATTTATTCATGAAAGAAATTAGGAACTCCCTGTATATTTAAAGAAAGAAAGCTCACATTAGAAAGAAGACTGTATTAGTTAATGTTTCTCTTATCCTGTCCTATAAATAGGTTGCTAATGTGCACTTTTGGGCAATGTTGGCCCTTATTCCTTTTTTAGATTTTAAGGACAGTGAGTCATGAGGACTAAGGCTTTCCATCTTGACTATAATTGATCATCAAGTGGGATAGTTCTGAATGGCTTGTTTATCAGGATTACTAAATATGTTTCCTTATATGGAAGACCCAATCAGAAATATATTTGAAGTTCTAGTTGTTTGAATAAGCATCTGAGTATGGTAGAAAAAACAAATAAATATGAAGGAGGTAGACAATCTTTCCATGCAAACTAAAGAAGCCCAACAAGAATTTCCCCATATCATATGATATTTGGAAAGATTGCAACAAATATAGAAAAGTATGTAACTAAATGAAGACATCAGACATTAGACAGCAGTGTGGTCTACTGCAGTGTCCTAGTCATAACATTGTATTTCTTTTAAAGAAACGACTGGATCACCAGCTGAAACAACTGGATCCCCAAGCAGTGAGCTGACCTCACCTGAAATCAGTGCAGGTCAGTTGAGACTGTGTCCTGAAGAAGCTGAGGCTGTGGCTGAATGGGAGTGTGATTTGTTCATACTTTGTTCATTACAAAGACTAACATTCAGACATATGTATTAATGAAACTATATGGAGACCTCATTGTTGACCTACTTTGAAATGGAGACAGATATTTTTAATAAACAAAATGAAAATAGTGCTCTTTGGATCTAAATCTACTAAAGTTCCTACATTAGACTCTGATGAAGAATCTGAGATATGATATAAAACTCCGGTGTCTTACTGTGAGACCAGTCAGTATCAGAACTTCATTGGTATCCAAGAACTCAATGAGTGTTTCGAAGGATAGTCTGGGTGACTGAGTGCTGAAAAGAGGAAAACAGAGGAAAATGCAATACTATAAGGAAGACAATTGGAAGCACTAGCATCATGATCTATACTCCTGAAATCAAGTATCTGATAATCAATTTTTGTTCACTTTGAAAATGGCAATTGCAGCAACACCTGGGGAAATATCTGGATCCCCAAGCAGTGAATTGACCCAGGCTTCAAACAAGTATGGGCTGATGGGAGGAAGTAACAATTTGATGAGGAGGGTTAATTTCTCATTACCCTATTTGTTGTAAATGAAAGTTTGAAGTCTAGATTATCATATGATAACCAAACCAGAAAAAATTGGCAATGTCATTTCATGATGCTTTCTCCTCCTCTGAGGCAGTAGCTAAGGCTTTTGATAACATGACACTAACTTCAAAGGATAGACATATTGTACAGAGAATCACTGGACTCAGTACTTCTCATGATATGAGGCAAGGATGATGTTTAACCTCCCAAATAGAAGGACAGATAGACGTCAGAAAGGAGACAGAGTAAAGCTCCACCCCAGGTGCATTTCCCGAGTTATTCTCTATAGAATCATCTTGATTCTGAGTTTTGTTTTAGGGAACAGAGAAAGGTTTGGTGTTTCTGAAAGTATTTATCAAACACACTTTGGAATTTTTCCCAATTACCCTTTTGCCAGAGATCATTGAGAGCAAATGACTCATTGTATTCTGGGATTGCAGGGGGAGAAGTTAGGTCCTAGGCCTGCTGTAAACTGAAGAGGTGGCTTAAACACTCATGGGAACATATCCAACAGCTGGGCTGCATAGTATTTTCCTGGCAAGATTTTTTTTGTGAAATGTTGTTATTTCTAAGAAAAATACATTTTCCAGCATGTGTTCTTTGCTTTACAGAAACAACAGGAGCAGACAAGGAGACCACACCTACTGTCTCAGGCACAGTTGTCACCACTGGAAGCCCAACAGGCAAGACAAGGACTCCATGGGGACTGTGGAGGGGCTAATGCTAGTATTGTCCAGAACTGTTTGTGGTCATGAGTTCAAGGAGAGCTGATCAAGGACGACACTGTAGAACTTAATGGCAGAAATGTAACTTTGAAATGCCTTGGGAGGCTGTGGGTATCATTATCTTGACTTTCAGCGTCATTCTTATGCCCTTAGGAACGAGTGGAAGTTCACATGCAGCCAGCACTGGAGCTCCTGGTGAAAACACATCTGCAGTGACAGGTACTGAGTGTGCTGAGCAGGGGGCACCCAGGCAACAGATAAGAGATCCTTGCATGCAGCATGTAAGGCAGTGTAGATCCATGGGAGAAATGACTGTTGTCACAGATGCCATGTACTATAGTTACTTTTCTTTATGGGAACCAAATTACGACCCAAACCAATCATCTTAGAAGGATTTTATTTTGTTCACATTTTGAGGTAATTTTTATATGACAGGGAAAGCCTAGACGTTAGAGTGATCCAAATGAAAATGTAGGGTCATGAGGAATGTGTCCATGCTGTATCTACACTGAGGATGGAGACTGATGAAGACTGGTCCTCTCATGCTTCCTCCCTTTTCCTCTCACATTCAGTCTAGCAGTGCAACCCATTTGTCCTCATGTTCCTATACATTGACCTTTCACTCTATGTTAGCATTTTCAGCAGAGATGCCCAGAAATATGTTCCAAATGATAAATAGTCTCACAAGTATCCAACATATTGGATGTGTATAGTCAAGTATTTGTTTTGGGTCTTGTATTGTAATAAGCACTCCACAGTTGCTAAAAATGCGGAGATCCCATGTTCTCCTGCATCTTCATGCTTTTGAATAAAATTAACAGTCTAGTGATGTGGGAGTCTAAAGGTAAGTTGAACAATATTAAGGTGGCTGAAGATTCTCCCAGGGTCTTAAGTTAGTTCTAAAATAATGAACATTCTTCCATGTGGAACTTCAAATAACTCATAATTATTGTTTTGTAATTAATGAATATTTAATTTAATAGGTAGTTTGTCATATTAATGGATTTTGCTTCAAAGAAATGTCATTGAACATCATAAATGTAGACATTTTCCTTTGATTATACAAAAAGAAAGATCATTTCAAATCTTATTTTTAAGAAAACTCCCCTTCAATCTACTCACCATTCTTTTATTTTCATGGTGAAAAATAGGCACACCTGGGAAATCTTCTGGAGCCACCTCAGGAGGGCCGGGGAGCAGCACCCCTCTCCCTGCCAGTACTGGAGCCCCAGGTTCAGGTAAGTCTCTAACCTTTGCTCAGCAGCTCATCTGTTTCCATGATCACTCAGGTGATGATCTGGAAATTGGACTTGTGTGTGTGAGTAAAATTCATGACACTGGATGTAGTAGAAGTATGTCTTCTCATGTCTTACCCTGAAAGTCCATTCATATTAATAAGGATGTCTAGAGTCATACAAACTTGCAGCTTTCATGGTTTCCTATTATAGAGAGTCCAGTGACATCCCCAGGACACACTACCTTTCCTCAAGCCTCCAGTCTCTCCCCAGCCTCTGCCAGCAGCAAACAAGGTGAGTAAATTAGAGTTCCAAGGTGTCAAATGGAGGGCAGAGTCTATCCCTATTTATTTCTATGGGAATGTAGGAATAACAAGTATATTCAAAGGCTGTATGTCCCCACATGTCAAACGGGGACTAAATCTCTGAGCATTTATTTAAATTGGAATGTAAGAACAGCATGTATGTTACAAGTCTATAAGTCTTCTGGTGTCATAGGAGTGGCTGGTGGTATCTCTGTTTATTCAAAAGGGAATGCAGGACTTCCCTGTATTGTTAGAGAAAGCAAGCTAGCATCAGAGAGGATTGCATTAGTTAATTTTTTCCCTTATCTTATCCCTTAGTTAGGTTGCTAATGTGCACTGTGGGGCAATGATGGCCCAAATTCCTTCCTTGAAGCTTAAGGACACTGAGTCATGGGAGCTAAAGCTTCCTATCCTGACTCTAAGTTAGTATCAAATAGAAAAATTCTGAATTATTTTATCATTGTTATTAACTTTGTTTTCTTACATGAAGTAACCAGGCAGAAATATATCTGAAAGACCCAGTTGGTTTCAATAAGCATCTGAATACTGGAATGAAATAGATGTTTATAGAGGAAGACAATCATATTTCCATGCAGAATCAAATAAGCCTAGGAAATATTCCTTCATATCATGTGAATTTTACAAAGATTGAAGCAGCAATATGAGATATATACAAATGAGGACACTAGCCATCAAAGAGCAGTATGGTCTACTGATGTTTCATAGTCAGGATGCATTGTTTTGATAGTGACAACTGGATCATCAACTGGAACAACGAGATTTCCAAGCAGTGAGCTGACCTCATCTGAAGTCAATACAGGTGAGTTTAGGCTGTGTTCTGGAGAGTTTGGGGCTGTGGCAAAAATGGAGAGTGGTTTGTGCACGTCTTCTTCATTTTAAAAAACTAAGCCAGGAGGTGCTGGTTCATAGCTTTAATCATAGAACTTTGGAGATTGAGGAAGACAGATCTCTGTGAGTTCAAAAGTCCAGCATAGTCTACAGAGCTAGTGCCAAAATAGCTAGAGCTTTAAACAGAGAAACCCTGTCTTAAAGAAAAAAAATGTAAAATGTAATGACCTGCAGTTGAGATCGATTTATTAATAAAAGTATATGGAGTCTTTGTTGTTGACCCAGTTGAAGACTCAGAGAGATATTTTAAAGAAATCGAATGAAAACAGGCATCTTGAGAGATGTATCTCATTAAAGCTCTGCCGTGGTCTCTGAAGAGGATGCTGGTCTCTGACATACAACTTCCATGCTTTACCGTGAGACAAGTCAGTATTACTATTCTGTCATATTCAACAAGTCAGTGAGAGCTCTGGAGGGTCGTCTGGGTCATGAAGATTTTATGACTTCTTGTTGGAAAGAGGAAAACAAGGAGGACATAGGAATATAAGAATAATGACAGAGAACATTGCCATTTTAATCTCTACGACTATATCAAACATCCTGATAGTCAATTATTGTTCACCTTGAAAGGGACTATTGCACCAAGAGGTTGGGAAGTACTTAAAGCCCCAAGCAATGAATTGACCCTGCCCTCAAACAAGTACAGACTGCTGGGAGGAAGACAATTTGACAAGAAGGGTTAATTTCTCATTCGTGTTTGTTTGAAATTAAAGTATGAAATCTAAATGAACATATGAGAACCAAAGAGGAAGGAACAGCAATGTCATTTCAGGAAGCTTTCTCCTCCTCAAACAGTGAGTCGAGGCTTTTGATAACATGACACTCGGGTCAAAGGGTAGACATGATTCATATAACCACTGGACTCAGTACTTCTTATGATATGACATCAGGATGATGTTTCACCTTCCAAGTAGAAGGACAGACAGACATCAGAGAGGAGATAGAGTAAAGCTCCACCCCAGGTGCATTTCCAGAGTTATCATTTTTCTATAGGAACACCTTGCCTCCGAGTTTTGTCTTAGGGGACCCAGAAAGGTCTGGTGTTTCAGAAAGTATTTATGAAATACACTTTGGAAATTTTCCCAACTACCCTTTCTCCAGAGATCATTGAGAGTAAATGAGTGGTTAGATTCTGGAGTTGCAGAGGTGGGAGTTGGATCATAGGCATGCTGTACGCTTAAGGGGTGTCTTAAAAAGTCATGGGAGCTTATTCACCAACTGGACTGGATAGTATTTTTCTGGCAAAGGAATTGGATGTATATAGTCAAGTATTTGATTTCTTGGTGAAGTATTATTTTAGACACCTCGCAGTGGCTAAAATATGGGAATCTCATGTTCTCATGCATCTTCATGCTTTTGAATGAAATTAGAAGTCCAGTGATGTGGGAACTTAAAGGTAAAGTGGACAATATTCAGGTGGCTAAAGATTCTAACAGGGTCTTAAGTCAGTTCTAAAATAACAAGCATTCTTCCTTGAGGAATTTCACTTATGTCCATAATTATTGTGTTTTCTAATTAATGAATATTTATCCCAATCAGTAGTTTGTCAAATTAATGGATTTTGCTTGAGAAAGAAATATCATTGAACATCATAAACATTGACACTTTCATTTGTTTAGTCAAAAAAATGTCCATTTCAATTCTAAATCATAAGAAAAACTTCCTTTCAATCTTCTCACTCTTTTTTTCCCACTGTGAAAAATAGGCACACCTGGGGAATCTTCTGGAGCCACCTCAGGAGGGGCAGGGAGTAGCACCATGCTACCTGCAAGTACTGGAGCCCCAGCTACAGGTGAGACTTCTTTGTCTTTGGTGAAACTTCAACAGCTTTTTGATTCCCATGCTGCCTCAGGTGAAAGTCTGGAAATATGGCCTATAGGTGTGAGGAAAATTCAAGGCACATAAAGTGCCGTCAGAATTTGTCTTTTCAAGTTTTATCATTCAAGTCAATTCTTATACCTAACGATATCTGGAATCATAGAGGTTTCCAACATCCAAGTTATTTGGTTTTCTTTGAGAAAGTAGTATGGTGTCAAATAAACTTGTTTCCCTTGAGAAAGAAGTTGTGATGTAAAGCTAAAGGGTGTATACTTTGATTTCATAAGAGAAAAAATAGACTATTTTAATTTTTATTGTTAAGAAAAATCTCCCTTTCAATTTTCTTGTTATTCTTTTTTTAACCACAATTAAAAAACAGGCACACCCATTGTATCTTCTGGAGCCACATCAGGAGGGGCAGGGAGCAGCACCCCTCTACCTGCAAGTTCTGGAGCCCCAGGTTCAGGTGAGACCTTTTAGTCTTTGAGATGTCTCAGCAGCTCATCCACTCGATTGCTTACTGGAGTGATGGTCTGGAAATTTGACTTGTATTTGTGAGTAAAATTCATGACCCTGCATGTGGTACAAGCATGTGTCTTCTCATGTCTTATCATGCTAGTCCATTCATATTAATAACGAAGTCACGAAATATATGAATCTACAACATCCTGTTTTCTTATTTAGGGAGTACAGTGACATCCCCAGCACATACTACCTTCCAGCCAGCCTCCAGTCTGTCTCCAGCCACTGCTGGCAGCAAGGCAGGTAAGTGAAAGAGAGGAGGCTGCGAGTTCTCAGGTGTCAAATGGAGGGCTGTGGCTGTCACTGTTTATTGAAATGGGAATGTAGGGATGACATGTATATTACAAGGCTCTATGTCCTCAGATACAAATGGTGGACTGATAATATCTCCATTTATTTATATGGGAGTGTAAGAATGGCAGGTATAATGTGAGGTTGTGAGTCCTCAGGTGACAAATGAGTCACTGGTTATATCCCCACTTATTCATAAGGGAATACAGGAATACCTTGTATATTTAGTGAGAGCAAGCTAGCATCAAAAAGAGGACTGTATTAGTTGATGTCTTCCTTATCCCATAGATAGGTTGCTAATGAATACTTTGGGGCAATGAAGGTCCTGATTCCTTCCATGAAGCTTAAGGACTCTGAGTCATGAGGGTCAGAGCTCACTATCCTGACTCTGAGTTAGCATGAAGTAGAAAAATTTCTGAATTTTGTTTTTACCTTGGTTATTAACTCTATTTTTGTTTATGAAGTACCCAGACCACAATATTTCTAAAGACCCAGTTGGTTTCAATAGACATCTGGGTTCTGGATTCAGATAGATGATTATGGAGGAAGACAATCATATTTCCATGTAGAGTCAAAAAATCATATGAATGATTCCTCTATGTCATATGAAATTCACAAAGATTGAAGCAGCAATAGAAGTGATATATAAATGAATGAAGACACTCTACATCAGAGAACAAGCAATGTTGCCTGCTGCTGCTTCATAGTCATGACATTGTGCCTCTTTGGAAAGAACAACTAGATCCCCAAGCAGTGAGCTGACTTCACCTGAAGCCAGTGCAGGTGATTGAGGATGTGTCCTAGAGAGGCTCATGCCATGGCCAAAGATGCAGAGACCAAGTTTTAAGAAATAAAATAAAAATAGAACTCTTGAAAGAAACAATCTCATAGAGGCCCTGTTGTAGGTTCCGATGAGCATGCTGAGTTATGACATAGGACTCCAATGTCTTAATGTCAATTCAGTTGATATGAACAAGTTCCCTTGTATCCAACAAGTCAGTTAATTCTCTTCATGATAATCTAGGTCATGGAAGTGTTTGTGAAAGCTTGATGAAAAGATCGAAATCGAGGAGAATGAAGGCATTAAAGAAAGATAAGGCTTTAGAATCCTGATCTCTACTCCTGTATCAAACATCCTGATAGTCAATTGTTATTTGCTTTGAAAGGGACCACTGCACCATCAGTTGGGGAAACACCTAGAACCCCAAGCAGTAAACTGTCCCAGCCTTCAGATAAGTCAAGTGAGTACAGGCTGATATGAGGAAGTCATGGATTTTGACGAAGTAGATCACCTTACTATGACCCAGTTCATTTTAAATCAAACTGCAGAATTTAGACGGACATAGGAGGATCTAAAGAAAACTGGGGAAAAACATCATTTGAAGAGACTTTTCACTCACAGCATCAGCAAGTCAAGGCTTTTGATAGCATTGCGTTACCTTCAAAGGGTATATGTGATTGAATAGAAAAGTCACTGGACATAATCCTTCTCATGATACAACACTGTGGTGATGGTCTACCTTCCCAGTAGAAGGACAGACAGACATAAGAGAGGTGGAAAAATGCATCAAATGTCTCATCCCCAGTTTTGTATTTACAGTGTATTTGATCTATTATTTTTAAAATTGACTTTATTGAGCTCTACATTTTTCTTTGTTCCCCTCCCTTGCTCTCCTCCACTCTTCATCCCTCTCCCTTGGTCCCCATGCTCCCAATTTACTCAGGAGATCTTGTCTTTTTCTACTTCCCATGTAGATTAGATCCATGCATGTCTCTCTTAGGGTCCTCATTGTTGTCTAGCTTCTCTGAGATTGTGAATTGTAGGCTGTTTTCTTTTTTCTTTATGATCTGTATCAAGTGCCTTGATACTGGGAGTTTTCCTAGGGGAGAGAGAAAACTCTGGTGTTTTAGAAAGCATCTGTCTACTACACTTTAGAAATTTGTCAAATTACTGCTTTGCCAGAGATCATTGAGTGCAAATGAGAGGTTAGACTCTGGAATTGGAGAGATTGAGGGAGGTCCAGTGTGTCCTCTTAGCTACAGGGACAACATAACAACTCATGGGTACATTTCCAACTGGATAGGACAAGATTTCCCCAGCCAGACTTTATTTTGTCGTTATTCCTAAGAAAAATAAATGTGCTGTTTGTTTCTTAGGAACTGTAGTCCCCACTGAACCCACAACAAGCGTCAGGGGAGGCAGCACACCCAGGGAACCAGGCAGCGGTGCTACCAGCCAAGGAAACTCAGGTCAGTCAGAGCAGGCACTTCCTGAGTGGCTACTCAGTTGGGAGAGGTGAAAGAAGCTGACTGCGGGGGAAAAGACAGACATGTCCACGTTGTGAAGTTTGGGCTTCAACTCTCTATGTCTCCCTACTGAGAGCTAGCACATGTTTCCAGCATGGGTCTTTTGCCCTTCAGGCACAACACGACAGTCTGTGGGTGTTACCAAAGAAGCAGATGGGGAGACCACACCTGAGGTTCCTGACACTGGAGTCACCACTGGAAACTTGCCAGGCAAGACAGGAGCTCCTTGGGGGACTCTGGCAAGGTCTAAAACAGATGTTGCCCAGAGATGTGTGCAGTAATGAATTAAAAGGAAGGTGACCGAGGGTCACACTGTAGAACTTATTGCCTTGGGAGACTTGGAGTCATCACTGTGACCTTAAGCATCACTCTCTTTCCCATAGGCACAAGTAGAGCCACACAGGCAGCCAGCACTAGAGCTACTGGTGAAAACACATCTGGAGTAACAGGTACTGAGTGATCTGAGCATGACTCACCCAGGCAGCAGCTAAGGGAGCATTTCATGTAACATGGGGGAGGAGGGAGGTTCTGTGTGGAAGCTGGTCACTGTCACGGACGTTACACACTATTAGTCATCTTTCTTTCCCTGAATACATTTCTGATCAAAAGGGTAGAAAGAGTTTATTTTGCTCATAGTTTGGGGGCAAAGTCTGTCCCTGAAAGGAAAGCAGTTTCTCTAAGGAAAAATTAAAAATAACGAAGTCAGAATATAACGTACAAGAGTACAAGCAGTCATATCTGTAGAAGTGCTCACTATGACCACCCTCCATCATTAGCTTTTTTCTCATCTACTATGTCTTGCTTTTTTTAAGTAATATAAATGTTATCATTAAAACCTTTTGCAAATAAATCAAAATGTCAAGACACTAAAAGTAACCTGATCCAAAGTCTATCCAACTCAGTGAACTTCTGCACAGTTGTAGTGGAAGTGGAAGCTGTAGTGCTTCACATTAGGTGTTATAGTTTCAAATATAATTTATCCACTTATCTACTACCTAAAGCAAAAATCTGTGAGAGAGTTATAACTAGCAAAACAGTTTGCTTTATATCCTCTTTCTTAAAACCTTCATGACCTGCATTCTGTCCTTCCTCATCCTCTTACCTTCCAAATTTCCTCTTTTCTTTCCTTCACGTCATACTGTACCCACATGAACATTTGTTTATATTTGTGCATTCATATTTCATTGGCCAGATCCCAATTATGAGAGAGAAATATGCAGATTTTTGCTTTATGAGATTGTGTGACCTGGTTTAATATATATTCTAATTTCATTTGTTTTTAAATAGTTTTTCACTTCATTTTTCATGAAAGCTGAGCAGTATTTTATATAGATAGATAAATAGATAGATAGATAGATAGATAGATAGATAGATAGATAGATAGATAGATAGTTGTCATATTTTCAGTATCCATTCATCCATGGGTAGGCAGCCAGGTTGATATGTTTTATAATTAATGAATATGATTTTCATGGAATTAGCATGCAGGATATGCATGTATATATTCATAAACACACACATATATATACACCTATATAATAAAATCAATATATAAAAGTTAAGATGACATTGATTTTGATACATTTACTTTTGAGAGTGAACAATGTTGTATATTTCTGTTCACAATCATAAGCTATTTCTTAGGTTTGAATCTCCACCAGCTGTACATCTGACAGACGGTTGGTAAAGAATGAGACTAAAGTCAGAATTCACAAAGCTAAACATCAGGAAACAAACAACCCAATTAAACAGAGAGTTTTCAAAATATACAATGCAAATGCTTGAAAGATATTTTTAAATTTATTCAAGACCCTTATAGGAAATACAAATTAAAACAACTTTGAGGTTTTTATCTGACTCCTATCAGAATGGCTATGATATTAATAAATGACAGTTTTTAGCATAGATATAAAGATAGGGGAACATATATTTACTGGTTGGACAGACAGAGATATGACGTAATCACTATGTAAATCAATATGGAGGTTTCACAAAAATCTTAAACTAGACTTATCACATGATCCAACTTTACTCCTGTACTTGTATCGAAAGGACTCACATCCTACTACAGAGGCACTTGCTTATCTGGGTCCATTGTGCCTCTATTCATATTAGCCAGGGAATGGAGACAGCCTAGATGTCCATCAAGAGATGAATAGACAATGAAAATGTGGTATATTTAGACAATGAAATAATATACTTATGGCTCTCATCTTAACCACAAAATATCAGGCACATCCAAGGGATCATCTGTAACAACCACTGATGCGGCAGGTGGCAGCACTCCTCTGGCAGCGAGTACAGCAACCCCAGGTTCTGGTAAGAGCCAACAGACTATGCTACTTCCTTATCAGATCCTCATATCCCTGAGGTACCAGATGATGTCCAGTAGTTGAATTGAAAGAATAGTTGAATAAGTGACTTGGGAGGGGTGTGCAGAGCTGCCATTTTGTTCCTTATCCTAAAAAAAAATCCATGAACAAACCTAGTAATGTCATGAATAACATGAGTGCTATTCATCTTTTCCTGACTCTAGGGAGCACAGCTGTGTCTTCAGGCCACACTGCCACCCGTGGAGTCTCCTCAAGCCTGGCTTCAGTCTCTGCCAACAGCAAATCAGGTGAGTGAAAGAGAGAAGGCTGTGAGTCTAAAGAGATGAAGCCAATGGTTGATTATGTTTTCACTCACATCCATGGACTGAAGGAAGGACATGTCTATTTCAGAGACAGGAAGCCCAGTTCCTGCTCTACACTTCAGCCAGGAGCAGAAAGAGAACTGGGTTAGATGGTGTTGGTTTCACTTTATGTCAACATTACTGTTCATGTGTGTGCTTAAGGGTCGTGCCCTGAGTTTAGGGACTCTGAGTCTGGAGGCCATGACTTTCTCTGCCAGATACAAGTTGGCACCAATGAGAAACCTTCAGAATTCTGTCCCTCACAGTCCCATTAATTGTGGAGCCTGGAAAAGGGGCCTAAATGGGAATAAATCTGAAACACCCAATTGTTTCTGACCAACAGCTTTTCACTGGGATCAAACAGATGAATTTGAAGGTTAATCTTATTTCTATGAAAATTAAAAAACAGTCCAGAAAATGATTCAAAGGCTCACATGAGATACTATGTTCATGGTTTGGGAAGATGGGAGCAGAAATGAATAGGAAGCTAAGTGGTAGAGAGCACCTTGGCCTACTACTTTATCATAACCGTAACACTGTGTGTTTTGAAAGGAACAACTGGACCATTGGCTGAAACGACTAGGTCCCCAAGCAGTGATCTGACCTCGGCTGAAGGTAACTTGAGGCTGCTTCCTGGAGAGGCTGAGGCTGTCTGAAATATGGAGACTGATTTGTCCATACTTTGTTCATTTTATTGAACTTTGTTTGATCAAAATGTATGGGCATAAATACAAGGAAATAGTTGACCCAATTCAAGGTACAAAGAGATGGAATTTGAAAAAAATTAAACTAAAAGAAATCTGGTAGAAATTTTTATTTTTTAATTAATTTACTTTTATTAGTTTTATTAAAAATTTCTGGACATAAAAATCAGTGGGTTTGCTTATTCATTTTTTTTCATGGAAAGAGTGATTAGAGGGTGAGTTCTTCTACTGGTAATAAGGCCATTGTAGACTTTAGATACATGACCCCTTTGTTGCTTTCTCATATTCTATGGGAACTTCACCTCCCAGCATCTCACTGTTTGGTAGCATAGACACTATGTCTGCACTGACCCTCAATTTCTACAATCCTGCATTCACAGCAGGTAAATCAAATGCAGAGAAAAGACAGCTGAGTCCAGCCAAGGAACTGATTTCACAAAAGCCCTCCAGATGTTTTTAACCTATGTCTTCAGCTTGATGTGATTATCCCACTAAAACATTTAAAATGTCTTTATTGTAACCTTCCCAGAAGCTGCTTATAAGATTCCAATAATACATAGTCAAAATAATGCTCATTTATTTAGTTTTTAATATTTAATTACTAATTAATTATGTGTGTCTATGTGGGGGAACAAGTGTCTGCATAATTATGTCCTAGGAAGCCAAAGCAGGGCACAGGATACCCAGGAGCTGGCCGTGCAAGTGGTCGTGAGCTATATGAAATTGTTTCAGGGAACTGATCACTCTAGCCCCATAGAAGATTATTTTAAAGCTTGGCTCATTCATTTCTTCAGGATATTGCCAAGTATAACACTAGAAACAACTGACAGAATTACATCTATCACAACCTTCAAGGAAAGTCATGAAAAGATAAATGAGACAACTACTGTCCCTATAGGGTACTTCTTCAGGCAGAAGTCTTGTGATAATTTAGTCACTCAGTGATAATTTAGTCTGAGTGGAGCCATGAGGAGATACAATACAGAAAGTGGCATACTAATAGGATATTTGAGCAATCTTCCATAAAGACTATTTATAATTTAACAATAGGCATTAAAACCCATTACAATGTCTAATTACTTTTGAAATTGGTTTTTTACAAGTCAGTTAACAATAACACCACTCAGATATGTGCTATGCTATTTATTTACCATGAGATAAGAAAATAGTAAAAATAAAAGTCTTCATGCTGGTAATGATAGGATCACAACATTGCCTTTTCAGCCTTGTGGGCAGCAACAGATTTCAATGCTCTGAGCCTGTTGGAGTTCTTATCTGGACCAAGTAAAGAGAGTATGCTTCAGCTTACATTGCTGAATATTGCTAGCAATGCATTACATTGCTAGTAATATTATATCACTGACATTATGGAGCATAAATAATTTGATCAAAGACAAACTGTATCAAGGCCCCAGAGATTCTTGAATAGTGTGCCAAAATTAAGGAATTTACTTATTTCAATAAAATTGATAAAGTTACTGAATATTTTAAGTAATGACCATATAGATAATAGTTAAGGTATCTATCAGTCACTGGTTGATTTGGCCTCTTAGTTGGCTATTGTTGGGCTATTAGATGGATGCACAGTGATTTTCAGCAGTGTACCCAAAGCTTGCCCATGACCCCTATGATTGTCCAGTACTGCCCAGAATGAGTAGGAAGTGAAAAGAAGAAGAGGAATCTGGAGATGTTGTATTTTATGTAATACTCCTAAACAATAGCTTGGATATTGCATGGTCTGAATTAAAAAACTTGAATCTGGATTTTGTTTATGGTACTTCTCAGAGTGTCTGTCTATCATAGACCCAAAACTTTATACATTGCAGTTTTTCCATACACCAGACAAGGAACTCGGGTTCTATAATAAAGTCTTGGGAGTAGAGTTTATCAACAGTTCTGGTGTTCACCAACAGGGGGCCTTGGAACCAGTTATTTCCCAGAGTCTGATAAATGGAAAAATAATGTGTGGGGGAGTGGGAGGGAAGTGGGAGGAGGGGATGAAGTAGAAATTTTGATTGGTATTATTTATAAAGTAATACAATTTTTTTAAAAAATCATATTTGCTTAAGAATATTGTGAGGATAGATGACTTTTAAACATTTCCTTTGTTTTAATTAAGGAGAAGCAGCAAGTTCTACCACACCAGTGTCTAGAGGTGGAGAAGGCAGCACCCCCAGGGAACACAGCACGGGAGTTACAAGCCCAGGATCCTCAGGTAAGCCAGGATATGTGCCTTACCTCATAGGTGTGCATTGGACACTGATTAAACCACTGCTACTGGGTATATTGGCTAGAGTAGGGGAGTCTGTGGTAGTTCCCCCAGGGAAAGGCAAAGGAAACACCTGGAACATCAGGAACAGGGCCACCAGCACTGCAGTCTCAGCAGGAGTTGGGACAAGTCACAATGCAAATGTTAACAAGATACAAATGAGATCCTAAGATCAAGGAAAGGTGGCAGGGTGGTAGCATAGGACTTGTGACACAATCAAAGCTTAGGAACTGTCCTGAGAGCGCTCTCTGAGTCGTTTTGTCAGTGCATCAAGCACTGTTCTTCCTGCTGCTCCTCCTCTGCTCCAGGCCCGAGTGGAGGAGCAGGTCCAGCCAACATCGCAGCTGCAGCTCACATAAGGAGTAACGGGTATGGGGGGCAGCTCATCAGGGGAACTCCAGCGGTGAACCTGAGGAGACTGCAGCAAGAAGACAGTTGACATCAAGGATTCCACTGAGAATCTTCACATTGTTCTTCATGTACTGTTACAAGTCTGAAAGATGGAAAATTGTTTCTAATCTCATAGTCCCATTAATATCATAATAGCCGTGTTAAAGGTGTCCATGAGAGCAGATCACAAACTTGCAAAACAATTTCATTTCATCCACATAGATGGAAACATCGGTGCTTTGGATAAAACTTTGTAGGCTTAGACTGGTAGAGTTTTCTGTCTCAGATGTTTATGACAATGTTCAAATAGTTGATTATGTCTGGGGCAACTGTAAAGGCTGCTTTCTTTTTGATTGGTACAGCAGGCCCTACCACATCCGTGCATGGTGAGGAAGGAAGCACACCTGGGCAATACAGCACCAAACTTACCAGTCCAAGAGTGTCAGGTGAGTCAGGGCCTGCACTGCAGTGCCCACAGTGGGGGAAGTATCACAGGAGGCTTGTTGGAATCAAGAAGAAAACAGAAGGTTGCCATTTTGCCTACATTTCCTAACATCCCCACAAGGGAATGAGCATATGTTGAAACCCCTACTGGCTAGTTTGTTGGAGGCAAATGGAGAGTTGGTGAGAACCTCAGGACCATGCTTGTGAGCAGAGCGGGACCAGAGTGTGAGCACAGCAGAACCACGAGTGTGAGCATAGCACGGTCTTGTGGGAAAGCAAAGCCAAGCCTTAAGTGTTGAGCCTAGAAGGGCCATGAGTGGGAAGACAGTGGGGACAACTGTGTGACCGCAGCAGGAGCCTTAGGCCTGGGAACCTCTGACTGTGATGTCCTAACAACCACAACAGAGCTCCTAATTTAGGGTTGAGGTGGGATCTAGGCCAACTGTTTCCAAGACTCAAATTGGAAAAACGAGGACAAGGGAAGGTGAACAAGGACAACTTTGAAGGAACTAACGGCCTGAAGGAACCATGGAATGACCAGTGCTTTCTTCCTTCATTGTTTGATGCACAGGCACAAGTGGAGGACCTGGTGCAGCTACCACTGCAGCCACTGCTGGAAGCACATCTGGAAGCACAGGTACGGAGGGAGGGGAGGATGATAGAAAGCAGGAGACCTAAGAACTTAGTGTCCAGATTCCATCAATGATAGAAGTTTTCCTGGAGATTTGTCATGTTGTTTCCTGTGTGAGACCAAGCGTTCCATAGAAGAGAAAGAGACCAAAACTATTTGTTACATTCTGAGTGGTGAACAGACATATTTTTCCCTCAAATACAATGCCAGGCTTCACTAGTCCTTATATTTCATTGGACTGTAGTATTTTTAATCTTTCACCATTGCTTTAATGCATCATGTTACAATTTTCTGTTCCTGCTTCCTTGAGTGTTGAAAGTGCTCATGCAGATATTTAGGCAGCTAGTATTTTTCTCCCCGCAACTTGTCAGAGACAAAGCCACAATCTTCAGCTGTCACTACAGCAACAGACAAAGGGAAAGAAAATGCCAGTGACACAGCATTCAGAGAAGTTAAGTCTCTGAATGACATAATAAATCAATGGGAAAAGTGTAAACATAGTTTGATAAAATAACAATGTATTTACTTGATACTTTCGGAGATTTCCTAATAACCTCACTCACATACCCTGGAAGCTAGTCAGTATTAATGGCTAGGTGATGACAGTCTGTGAGCTGAGGTATGAGTGAATGCATGAGTTTCAAAACAACATTAGAATTCCTGTTCCCAAGCTTCTCCCATTCTGTGCAGTGTGGGTCAAAGCTCACAGTCCCCATCCCAAATAATAAAAAGATAAAAAGAATGTACCTGTGCTTGGGATTCTAGGATATGAGCGTTCTGACTTAAGTATTACTTAGTCACTTTGCAGAATAATATTCATGAGTAAAATAATCAGTTCCAAAATATAAACTACACAGGTGGTTTTAGTTAGGGTCACTAATAATGTGATGAAACACCAAGCCCAAGACAACTTATAAAAGGAAACATTTCACTGTGGGCTTGGCTTACAATATTAGTATTAGTTAGTCTCTGGCCATCATAGCAAGAAACATGGTGGCGGGCTTGCAATCATGGTGCTGTAGCAATAGCTGAAAGCTAACATCCTGTTCTGCAGAAAGAAAGCAGAGAAAGAAGCAAACTAGGGCAGGCACAGCCTTTAGATATGACACAGCCCAACCAGAGTCACCCATCTGTCCAACCGTCTTATCCCCTAATCCTTCCAAAACAGTTGCATAAAATGGATAACCACAGAAAGTTTAAGAGACTAAGTAATGGCCTCTGGGGACCATTCTTGTTCAAACTATTAAACACAGGAACAATGTTTAAGAGATTAAGTAATTTTAGTGTCCTCTAACTAATTGTAATTTTAAGGTGATATCCATTAACCCACATTTCCTAAAGTCTGAATCAGGTTACTGGGGCTTTATGAAAAATTCAGTCCCTTGTGCCACTTCCTTCTCAGGCACTGCCAGTGGTGATGAAGTGTAGATGTGAGATTTGATTCTCTGATGGTAGCAGTCCTACACTGCTTCCTAGAGGAGTGATGTACTAAGGCCTGAAACCAAGCTCATATTCTCAGGAAATCCTTCAAGTGGGTGGTGTTTCTCTGGTGAAAAGGGCTTAGGTTTTTATTCATTTTCTTTAAATATTTCTCTCTTCCATTTATATTAACCACAATATTGAGGTGTAAATCTATCACAGCTTGACATTGTTAGTTATTGGCTCATGTGTGTAACAGGTTCAGCTGGATCTAGATGGCAGCCTTTGACTTGTGAATGTGTTCTTAACCAGTTCAGTGAACTGATGTATGCCCAGGATCACATCAATATATACTAGGAAAACAAGTGAAGTTAGATTGGTTCTAAAGAATATGAATATTTTATTTGTGTCTAGGGCATTTTCAATTGCTATTTTCTCATTAGTAGGGGAAGGAGGTTCCACGACGCCAGTGCCTACTCAAGGAGAAACCAGGACACCCAGGGAACAAGGCACTGCAGCTACCACCCTAGAAATCTCAGGTAATTTCAAACATGTACTCAGGTGTCTTAAGTATGTCCAAACAGGAAAACATGAAGGCTCTTGTGATCATGGAAATGCAGACCATTGAAAGTTTGATTGCATTTCCCAGAATCCTCTTCGAAGCAACAGCAACAGCATCACATTAGAATCCCCTACTCTTGTTTGCCAGGTTCAACAGGAGGGTCTGCAGGAACCAGTTCAGGAGCTGGCAAAGGAAGCTCACCTGGAACATCAGGCACTGTTACAACTTCAGGTCAGTCGGCCTCTTCGAGGACTGGGCGCAGCACTTGGTTTTGCAAGGGGATCCACAAAGATAATATTGTAGCCTAAGATACCTTGAAGGACTTCATTCGTAGACATCTCTACCTATTATTGGACCCCATTCTTCTTTCCATAGGAACAAGAGAAGGAACAGTTGCAGCCACCACTGGAGTTGCTGAGAAAAGCACACTGGGAGGAACAGGTACTGAGGCCCATCAGCTTAGGGAAACTGAGGCAGTAGATTTGTGAACATAATGTTAATAATTTCATCAGAGGTCAGGTTTTCTAGGAACTGCCTCACAGTTGACCATTTGCTGCCAATTGCTCTAGATATAAAAAAAAACACAAAATGTTTGGTGTAATTTTAATACTCAATGTGGTACTGAATGGAATGTAGAAACAGGAAGGAAGATGTTTATCTCCTCACGCTTCTCTTCAGAAATGTCAGATTTTATATTAATAAAGGATAGAAACACAATCGAAGAAAAAAAGTAGGCAGGAATTGTGTGAATGGTGTTTACAGGAATGGGAAAAGACAAGATCATTAGATGATAAATATTAAGTAATCTACCCAAGTCTAATTTTGAAAGGATGAATATTCTAATGGACTGAAGACATAGTCAGAATTAAGGGATTTAATAAGATTAAGAGTATCATCCCCTAGTGATGTTTGAAGGCAGATACTTTCATTGTTTTTAATGAAAACAGAATCTTAGTACTTTAATAAAATATCTAACTTTACATTGTCTTATGCTAACTTTTTCCCCACTGATCAGTATCAGGCTCAACAAGAGCATCATCTGCATCAACCTCTGAAGCAGCAGGTGTCAGCACTCCTGGAGAAACAGACACTGGAGTCACAAGTTCTGGTGAGATTTGATTCACTGGGGTAATGACAGCCCCTGCCAACAATGCCCTGTCGATAGCATAGTCAGTTGATACAGGTGTACAAGTGGTACAATCTGAATTAAAATGAAGGTCTTAGGAGAACCAGAAGGGCAGTACTGGGTTTTGGCTTAATAAAATTTGTATAAATATTTATATCAGTGGTAGGAGAACTATAAAGATCCTCAAAACTGACAACCTATTCTTGGCTCTATGAACTATAAGTGTGTTAGTTGGCTCCACTAACTCAATCCACAGAACGCCCACTAGACAATGAATGACTTGTCTAAACAGAGTCTGGAAAAATTGGAGAGAGGGATGTCTAACCACAGGGTGTTAATGTAGTCCATTTTTTGTGTATAGACTGATATAGAATAGCAGGGAATGATTATGGATCAGAATTATATACCATGCTCCACAAGCATTAGCAATAAAAGTTTTGGGGTGTTTGATGTGGCTGTGATCTGCTGTGAGTGTGCTTATGGCCATGGAGATTTGATGGGTCTTTACAACTTATGAGACTTGGAGTACGAGGTGACGACATTGTATGCAATGCTACTTGATAGAGAAATCCACTAGAGAGAAATGGAGAATCCTTGACAGAGTCATTGTAATTACAGTTCTATCAAAAATAATTTTAAGGCCTTTTATTAATTCTTTAATAAGTGTATGTGGGGGTGAATGATTGCTAGTGCATTGCCCGCAGAGGCCAGATACGTGGGATTCTCTTGTAACTAGACATAGAAATTGTTGTGAGAAACCCCTACATGGGAGTTTTGTACCAAACTCGAGACCTCTAAAAGGGTAGGATGTGTTCAAAGTTACCTTAATATCTCTTTAATCCCAAGATGTGTATATTTTTATTCATAACATTTGCTTAGTTTTTAGACTAAGATACAATGTGTTTTGACCATGCTTGTGCCATTCTCCAGGCTCATTCCACACCTACCACTCCTTCTCTACTCACATAATTTTGTGTAGTCTCTGTGTTCTAAAGCCAGGAGCCAGTCTGTGCGCTCTACTGGATCATGGTGTGCAGAGCTACAAGACACAGCTCATGCTCCTGTAAACAATCATCTAACACGAGGAGCTGTGGTTTGTCTGCTGTCTGTAGATCTGTGTTGTAGCATGACAGTGTTCCCTTCTCTCTTCTCACTTAAGGCATTTTAAAAAATCAGTCCATTGCGCTTGGGAATGTTAGATTAGTCTCTCATACAAGTGTTTGAGTACAGCTGGAGGTAATACTTGTTGGTTCTTGGTTGTGTTATATATTAGTAAGGTGATGTCCTGCATTGGGTCACTGAATTATATGCAATAACCAGGAATAATTTCACTGATAGAGGGGATTTAGGGCAATGTAATATGCATATTTGTCCAACACATTTAAAATCATTATTTCCTCATCAATTGACATAGGAGTTACCACTAGACAAACATCCACTGATGGGGAGGGCAGCACACCCAGGGAACAAGCAACTGGAACCACAAGCCCAGGAACCTCAGGTAATTCTAAACATATTTTTGATATTATCAATGGAGAACTCTAAGAAAAATTGACATCTGCTATAAAGATGTTAAACATGCAGATCTTAGGGAGTTTGGTTGCACTTGCTAAGCCCTGCAGATGTCATAGCACAGTTTAATTCATTGCTCATGCTTACCAGGTTCAACAGAAGGATCTGTAGAAACCTCCACAGTAACAGGCAAAGGAAGCTCACCTGGGACACCAATCACTGAACCTGCCAGCACTGTTACAGCAGGTCAGAGAGGACTCTTTAGGGGCTGAGGACGGTATAAGACATGGTTTGCCATAGGACAGATAGAGGACCAAAGCCACTGTAGAATCTAAGTACATATATGGAAAGATAAAATCTGTTTCATGATTGGTGTAGCTATCTGTACATATTAACTTCTATTCTCTTTCCCATAGAAACAAAAGGAGGAACAGATGCAGCCACCACTGCAGCTACTGGAAAGAGCACATCTGGAACAGGTACTGGGAGAGCACAGCTGAAGGATGTGATCTTAAGCAGTGCTTAAGATTTCATCACAGACCTTAGGTTCCCTGGGAAATATGATCATTGTTGTTCATGCTATGTCAAGTATCCAGAAGATCAGCTATGGACCTTAAAAGTTTGTGGTACATCTTGAAAGCATGTCAGATTTCAGTTTGGTAAAAGAAGTATCATAGAAGTACGTACATCTCACTCAACTACAACCTGAAAAAAGAAAACCTAACATATGTACAGAGATATAAGAACAGGAATAATTAGTAAAGAAATAAAGTGGTTTATGGTGCCAAGCTCATCAAGCGAACACTGTTGTAGAAAGGTAAATCAAAGGCGTTTACAGGTGAGACTTGAATTGCGTGTGTTATTTCCGACACACGCATTACTCATTTAGTAGCACACATCACTCATGTTGAGAATAGCTCTCCATGCTAGCGACTGTGAGAGTAATCATGGCTATGTTTCTATGAAGCTGATGAGACAGTTACAGCCACTGCACATGTGAAAGAGCAAGTTTATTTCAAGTGGAATTACCTATGTGTTTTCTCAAGCTAATATTTTTCCATGGTAGGCACACCCGAAGCATCCTCTGGAGCAACCTCTGAAGCAGCTGTCAGCAGCACCCTTGGGACAGGAAGCACTAGAACACCGAGTTCTGGTAAATTCACAGATGTATCTGGTAACTTAGAAACTCCTGTACATGAAATGTTATAGAAGGTGATGAGCTATTAAAAGAAATTCTAATTAGGACAGAATGAGGATTAGAGAAAATAATATATATATTTTTTGTGTGTGTAAACTCCCAACTTATCAGGATTAAAAGTAAAGACAGAACACATGTTCAACATCACCCAATTTTTGTTTGTTTGTTTGATTTTAGATTCTGCAAAGACCACCACTCCTAGTTCAGTGGCCCCAACCACACCAACCTCCTCTGCCATCACAGAACCAGGTAAGCAAATGGGAGAATTCACTGAATCCAATTATTCTGTTATTCTTCGTGTATCCTCACTCCCTGGAACTCTACCATGCTGAAGAATAGAAGGGAACAACAGAGACTAGGATGAAGAGGTCCAACTACTCATCTATAGCTGGCCTGTAACTGGGGCAGGGATGGATTAAGTGTGCTCTAATCAGAGAAAACTGCACAGACACCCTGCACATACTGATGGGGGATTAACAAGTTCAAAATTCTGCCTGTGGTATTTTGCAAGTGCAATAGAGAGGGTTTAATTTTACTGTCTTGGCTATGAGTTGAACTACAGAAAAATTTGAAGATATATACTTAAGAATCTCACAGAATTGTGATACCAGAGGCCCTAGACAGCAGTCTGCACACCGCTCACAAGTTCCTAAGGTTGTTTCCATAATACCGCCTGTGTCACAAACATATAGACATATATATATAGAGAGAGCTTTTAAAAATGATACTAAGCAATTGACAAATATTTTATTCACAAACAAGTGAACATTCAGGGAAGCTGATGAATATACATGAATCTCATGGTTAAATTTCCTGTGAACAAGAAATACAGACATGGATAAAAATCAACAAGAGCTACATTAAGATAAGAGTACAGAACATGTGTTTGAATTTATCATAGACCACAGTGCTGAGTTATTATCCACTTTGAAAGGGACCAGTGGGCCATCTGTTGGTGAAACATCTGGAGTCCCACAAAATAAAGACAGACTTCCTGAAGCTTACTCAGGGGAGTAGAGAATGCATTTAAATGTCATGGCTTTCATCACGGGTAGAGTCACCCTCAAACAAGGCCTCTTCTAAGTCACAACATTTGACATTCATGTACGAATTTAAGTGGCGTGAAAGACACCTCGTAAAGATATGTCCCTAGTATAACCTAACCAGACTCTCCTGCATCCATTCAGTTCCCACGTGACAAATGATTGGAGGGTCAGATCACCTATAGGAACCAAAGTCCACATAGACTTAAGATGGGAAATCTTTATTATTCTCAGGCTCTCCTGAGACTTCAGTTCCCATTTATTCGCTAGAAGTCTAGGCACAGACACAGCACTGAGGCCCTGTGTCACCAGTCCTGAAAGCACATCAGAAAAACTAAATGTTAGAACTAAGAATCCTGGTCCTGTCCTATTCCTTGTTTCAGGTACTGATGATCAGAACAGTGCTATTCCTAATACAGGATCAGACACAAAGGTTCCTCCCTCAGTGTCATTGATTGGTCATATCTTTAGCTTTTTCATTTTTGCTTTCATTTGTATCATTTCGCTATTGGAAGATCCATCTGCTGACCTGTCTAAGTTCTCATGGGCATTTTTTAAGATAAGTAATTTTTTTATGTACCATATCAGAGGAAAATGAAAGTTTACCAGGTATTACCAAAGCAGGTACCAGTGAAGACGGAAGTGACACACAGCCTTATCTTTATAAGAAAGCAGGAAATGTGTGAAATGCCCGTGTATGCAGATTCTTGCACAGACTGTTCTCTGCTTCATCCCACAAGTCTACTGCACAGACTCTGCTCGAAAGGACGAACTGTCATAGATAGCTAAGCTATCTAGGAAAATTCCAGAATAGTCACAGGACCATGTCAATAGTTATTTTAAAATATGGTCATCTTTTAAATGACCACGGCATTCCAAAAATGTGCTTAAATATGTACTGTGACTTTGTAACAGTTTTTGTTATTTAATCTTATCCCACAATTTGTATTATAAAGGCAGTGTTCAAAGCACCTGTCTACTCCAGACTGGAAATTTGTAAACTATTCATTGGCTGCACATAGTTTGAGAAGCATTGATGTCATTGGAAAATCTAGACCTGTACTGCTTGCATTTGGTTTTCAGCATAATTCTAAACCAATGTGTACCAGGGTTGTATTTTCTTCACATCTGATGAAATTAAGCATTATTATTTTCTTACTTAGATGTTGAGGACAATGACCAATAGGTTTATTACACATAGTATAATTTTTTAATGACACTTGCTGTTCAGTTGCTAACAGCAGGCTGGCCCACAACACACCCACCTAGTGGTGATGAAGGCAGCAAACCCAGGGAACATAGCTCTCCAATTACCATTCCAACAGACCCAAATAATCACACAAAACTAAATTAATTACAACACTGTTTGGCCAACAGTTCATGCATATTACTAGCTAGCTCTTACACCTTAAATTAATCTATTTTATATTTTACTACAAGGCTGTGGCTTGCTGCCTCACATCTTGCTTCTTGGGTGGCTTCATGTGTCTGCCTGACTCTGACTTATTTTTCCTTGTATTCAGTTTAGTTTTCCTGCCAAGCTATATTCTGCCCTGCTATAGGCCAAAGCAGCTTCTTTATTAACCAATAGTAATAAAACATATTCACAGCATACAGAGGGGAATCTCACATCATCTCCCATTTTCTGTTGAAATAGAAAGGAAGATTTTACCTTTAACAAAATAAAATCACATAAAACAAAACAGGTATCAAGCAAGAATTACAGTTATAATATTTAGTCTATTAGTCTCTGGAAAATTAAAGAAGATATTCTATCATCTATTTTAACTCTGTAAGTCTAAAGTTTTATATCTAATTTATCTTTTATCACAACTATGGAAAACTGTAGCTTTCTGCCTTTGAGTCCATCAAAGACCCCAAAAGGATATATATATGCATATATGTGTGTTTACCATATACACACATATATAATATCACCTAAGTAAACAGTAAGTGCATTATAAGCAACTTCTCAAACTCTAAAATTGACAGAAACATCTCACTGCCTAGACAGTCACCCAAAGTTCTTATATAACACTGGGGAATCCATCTTCAGCCTACAGGCCTATAGTATCTGGTCGACTTTACCATGAAGCAGGAAATTTGAAATACTAGTTCTCCTATATTGGCAGTTTGTCAGCCACTTTCTTATGTGTCCTGCAGAATATCTTTCATGAAGCAGGAAAACTGATGAACTATCTCACTTTCTTTTGGAAAGTTCAGCTATCATTTGTCTGTGGGTCCTACGTTTCCAGTTTATACAACATACTGTCAAGCATGTTTCTTGCCCAAATGACTAGCCTTGTCACACTGAAGGCAAATTCTGTAACAAATTTCTTTAATGCTGATAAACCTCTCTGAAGTAATTGGTACTGGCAGAAGCAGACATGTCCCACTGTTGAGAAAAGTCAAATTTCTTAAAACCTTTTAAATGCCATATTCTGTATATCTTTGAAGTGTTGAAGATTATCTGTCTAAATGAATTATATCTCTGTATATCTAGAATGCCTAGCTAACGTGACTACAAGTTTGATTACTATAAATGACTATTAATCTGTAATTTTTAGTTATACATTACATTTTTAAATGTACTCTATAAGCACAATACCTTAACAAGAATAGAAATATACATATAGCAAAATTGACCTTAAATTTGTATCTATAAACCAAAGTCCATACCAATATAAAGTATTCATTTCTATTTTATATCACCCCCCCTATTTTTTAGAGATGGTCTGTGACCATTAACCATTTATTGTAATCCCCCTTTAAGTGAAAACAAACATTATAAACAATCATTTGGAGAATTGGGGCATTGTTTTCTCTTAACTGCTTCCTGATGTTTGTTGGGTGAACTATTTTTAGGGTTCATGGAGACCTTTTGGTGGTTTTTGTTCCATCAAACCACATTACCCTGGAAGGAATTCACAGGTTCCCATTCTTTGTGGAAACAAAAGCACAACCTACTTTCCAAAGTAACATATACTTAGTCTGAAATTTTGAAATCAAGATATCTTTAAAATATATATGTTGGTTTAACTTAGCAGTCCCCAGAACCAAATGTTTTTCAGCAGCTAGCTCATTAACAGTCAAAAAAATTCAAAGAAAGCACAGTAGTACACATAATCCAGAATCTCTCTCTATATTCCATCTTTATATGGCTTATTTCTTTTTACTCTATCACTTTGTAATAGTTAATAATCTATACTCCTTTAGTCTATGACTGTACTCTTTCTTCTCTCTCTTCTAAGTCCATGTACATTTACCTAACACTGCGATCCATTCAGAAGTCTTTGTTGTCTGAATCTGTAATCATCTTTGATGAGGAGAGATTTTTTTTTTAAAGGCTAAGCAGGCATGGCTAGGACTAGCACTGTAGCTTTGCCTGTGGACTCTGCCCCATCCAACCTTGCAGAGGTATGTCCACTGTCTGTTCTCTGAGCCATGCTCACTACCCCTGCCTCAGGGATGCTGCATGTGTGTGTCACCATTAGCACTCTGCTCACACACCCCATTGAAGTGCTCTGCAGCAGGAACTACCGAAAGAGCGATAGCAATTTGTGCCACCAGGATGAACCAGGAAACTGTGTTTTTAAAGAAACTGTGCCTCTGCTTGAAGCCTGCAAACAGAGCCTTTCTGAAAAAAAAAATGTAACTACAAGAAGCTCCAATGGCCTCCCGTGTTTGTGCATCTAGAAGGCCTTTTATAAGCCTTCTTAGGCTTTATGTGGATGTATGATGCTGAACATTGCACACCTTTATGAAAATGTGTGCTTTTGTTTCCCGGTCACCCAGACTCGAACAATCACATAAAAACTAAGTTAATAAGCACACTCTTTGGCCAACAGCTCAGGCATATTCCTAGCTAGTTCCTATATCTTAAATTAATCCATTTCTGTTATTTTGTATTATACCACAAGACTCGTGGTCTGTTACTTCACACCTTGCTTCTTGGCTGGCTACCTGGCATCTGCCTGACTCTGACTTCTTTCTCCCTGTATTCAGTTTAGTTTTCCTTCCAAACTATATTCTGCCTTGCCATAGACCAAAGCAGCGTCTTTAGAAATTAATCAATGTTAATAAATTATATTCACAGCATAAAGAAGGGAACCCCACATCATGGAGCTCATTTTCTGTATGTGGTTAATTGTTCACAATTGAAAGTAGTAAGAGGAATTGACACTCTAAGGGATACTTCATAAAAAACTGTAATAATGGGGTATGGTAGATCATATTTCTGTTCTTTACCAGAGTGTACATATGGCCACAGTGTTTTGAGGACTCCTTATGGTGTGTGTGACTTTGGTTACTGTAATTGGACTGTGACTTGTAATGGGGCTTACATAGTAGAATTGCTAGTGCTAGTTTTGTGATATAAATGGAGAGACCTTCAGACTCATGGAGTTTTTATCTGTGTTAGAAAGAACTGTAAAGTGCTCAAAATATTCCGTCCTGCAAACTCACTTCAGAAACACTGAGCTCAGCTTATGGAAATCAAATGCTTAAATAAATGGCAAGCTAAAATGCAGCTAATGGGCAATGGATCACACACAATTAAACAACAATTGCACATATTGGTGTCCTAATATCCATTTCTGTTTACTCTGAAAGGGAGCACTGCACCATCAGCTGGCGAAACAACTAGAGCCTCCAGCAGTGGATCCACCCAGCCTGGAGAACAGTCAGGTGAGCAGGTGGTGGTCAGATTTTTGGAGTCACCACCCTATTTCTTACTTAAAGCACAGTAGCTGCATCAAATGTATGGACATCTGGTTGACCCAGTCCCAGTTCTTAACTCTGTCTGTGGAAAAACACTGCCAGTAAAGAAAACTAACATATCTGAGACTATCATAGTAGAATGACAGTTTATGAAACTCTAAGCCGACATTTACGGCATTCATCTATTACATTCTTTTAGGAGAAATAAGATGAAAAGCTACCCCCCCCCAATTTGTTCAAACACTTAACGAAAAGTTCTTGGATGTTTTCTCAGGCTCTGTTCGAACACCAGTTGCTCTCACCTCCTCAGTTGGAAATGCAGGCACAACAGCAACCCTGCCCTCCAGCCTCACCAGTTCTGGACCCACAGAAGGTAAGCTCAGTTGTGAATAAGATTTCTGACCCAAATCTGTTATAGATGAATGCTGAACAGATATTTTTTCTGATATGTAATACCAGGTTTGGTTATTAGTGTATTAATTGATTTCTAATATCTGTAATCTTTTATAGTTGCTGTACTGTATCATGTTATCATTTTATGCTCATTCTTCCTTGAATGTTGGAAATGTTCATCTATATATTGTGTAGTTAATTATGCTTTCTCCACCTTATTAGAGACAGCTCTAGAATCTTCACATGCAGCAACAGCCAAAGGGAAAGAGAATACTAATAACACAGCATTTAGAGAAAGTAAACAAACTAAGTAAACAAGAAAATGGTTAAAAAATATGCTAGTAAAATAATGATGAACCTGACACTTTAGGGTTCCCTTATTAATCGTACACTAGTATGTTAGTCAACATTAATTGATAGATGATATTATTTCTGTGAGCTGAGATAATAGTACATATAAATATGCAAAAGTAGCCTTAGAATTCACATTCTGAATTCTCCTCCTTTCTCTGATCTGTGGGTAGCATCTTAAGCCAACGAAAGAGAATGGGCTCATCTTCACGACTCTAGACTGTTGAGTATCTTTACTTGGAATATATGACTTAGACACTTTGCAAGACAATATACATCGATAAATTAATTTGTGGAAAATAGAATGTACACAGAGGATCTTAGTTGGGGTCACTATTGCTGTGACATAATACCATGACCAAGACAACTTATGAAAAGAAAGATTTAATTTGGGGGCTACTTACAGTTTCAGGTGTTTAGTCTATGTTCATCATAGCAGAAAACATGGTGGCAGGCATACAGCCATAGTGCTGGAGCAGTAGCTGAAGGCTTAACTCCTGCTCTGTAGACAGATCATAGAGAAGGAATTAAATGAAGCCTTGCATGCTGTTAGTTACCTCACATATCTCCTCAACAAATTATATATTCTCTAACAAAGCAAATATCCTCCTACAAAGCCATGCCTCTTAATCCTTCTAAAACCATGTCAATACACTGTGGAACAGGCATTCAAATATATGCGCATATGAGGGCCATTCTTCTTTAAATTGTTGCACACAGGAATCCAGTTCAAGAGAATTAGTAGTCCAACATCCTCTAAGAGATTGGAGTTATAGTGTGATAGCCATGAAGCTACAATTACTAAATTTTAAATCAGAGATGCTGGGGCCTCAATAAGACTCAGTCGCTTGTGCCCTTAGACCTTCTGTTGGTCCTGGCTTTGTTCGTCCCGGCTGCCCAGCCATAAACTAACCACTCAGAAAACCATATTATTTGCAATACTGTTTGGCCAATAGCTTAAGCATATTTCTGGATAGACTCATATCCTAAACTAACCAATCTCTGTTATTCTGTATATCACCATGTGGCTGTGGCTTACCAGCTAAAGTTCCGACCAGCGTCTATCTCTGACAGGGGCTCCATGGCATCCCTCTCTCTGCCTTCTTCCTTCCAGAATTCAATTTCATCTTCCCCACCTACCTGAGTTCCGCCCTACCAACAGGCCAAGGCAGTTTCTTTATTCATTAACCAATAAAGACAATACATAGATAAAAGGAACCTCTCACACCAAGTATCGGTGTGATACTTCAGAGGTGTGAATTTCAGAGGAGATTAGTAGGAGAGGCAAAGTTTGTTCCTCAACAGATAGTGATTCCACACTGCTTCTTACACGGGAGCTGTGCTGAGGTGTGAAACAGAGCCCCAGCTCCTGGAAAACAGATGACAGAGTGGAGTGTGGTTGTTCTTTTGAAAAAATGGAGTTTATTTGGGCAAGAGTTTTCTTTAATTTTTTTCTCATTTCTGTTTGCATTGATCATGACTTCAAAACATAAATCTGTCATGGCGTGTGAATTTTATATTACTAATTGAGACATGTATTTAATGAGTGAAGCAGGAGTTAGATGCTTAAATTACATGTGAAGATGTTCTTAACCAATTCATTGACCTGGTGCATGTCCCTGAATCACACCTAATCAACAAGAACAGAAAGGCCAGAAAGATCATCTAAACCATATCAATTAATTTAATTGTGTTTAGAGCATTTTCAACTGCCAAAGTCAAGAGTCAAAGGAAGTCCTACTACATCCATGTTTCCTAAAGGAGAAGGCAGAACACCCAGGGGAAAAGGCACAGGAGCTACAGATCCAGGAACCCCAGATAATTCCAAACATGAACCTGCACTTCTTAAATGTGCCCAACTAGGAAAACATGACTGCAGTTCTATTGACTCTGGAAACTGTTTCTTACATTTGCTAAAGCAACGTGGTATTTCCCTGATACCTACATTGTAGTGTGCAATCTCATGTGATTTGTGTATGTAATCTCATGATCACATCTCAATATTATGAGAGATCAGGAAGATGACTTTTCATTTAACTGTATAATTTTGATATATAGGAAATACACTAGGACATGCTTCATAACTAGATCTATTGTCCCATGCGTACTGTAGACACTTAAATGCCTGCTCTGTTCTTTTGCTCAGACTAATGCACATGACAAGCTCACTTTCCCTCAGAGCAAGTTCAAACTAGGCTAAAGGCTAGTAGATCTAGGAACGCTAAACACTTCTAAAGGCTCCACCACCATGAGTCCTAAAACATTGACTAGACGAGTAATGACTTCTTCTAGGGACAGTCCAGGTAAGTGAGAGGGAGAGAGAAATATCTGACTTGGGTGTGCATGGAGCCCATTTCCTGCATGTGGTTGTTGCCTCACAATAGAAAGGAGTAGTAGAGAATAGATGCTATAAGATGACTGCATAAAAAACTGCAATGACAGATGTGGGGTAGACCATGTTTCTGTAATTGTCCCGAGTGTGCACATGGCCACGGTGTTTTAAAGATCATTTACAGCTTGTGAGGCTTTGGCTATTGAAAGGGAATGTAGCTTGTAATGGGGCTTAGATAGAATCACTAATGCTCTCTCTGTATTATATGTGGAAGGACCTTCAGACTCCTCGAGTTTGTGTCTGTGTTAGAAAGTGTTTTAAAGGGATCAATACATTCCAGTGTGCAGCTTCACCTCAGAAGCACTGAGCTCAGCTTAGGGACATTAAATACATAAATAAATGGCAAGCTTAAATGTATCCAGTAAATAATGGTTGATGTATAATTATTTAAAAATTGTATATATTTTATAATCAAATGCTGGAAAGACTGATTGGAAAGGAAGAAGTGAAAATGAATAAAAGAAAGAGATATGGCATCAGGGAATAGCATGGAATGATGAATAGAGCTCCTAATATCTATTTACTGTTTACTCTGAAAGGGAGCACTGTGCCAGCAGTTGGCGAAACAACTGGAGAATCTAGTGCTGAATCAACTCAGCCTGGAGACAAATCAGGTGAGCAGGTGGTACTCAGAATTGTGGAATCATCGCCCTGTTTCTTATTTAAAGCACAGTAAATACATCAAATATATGGACATCTGGTTGTCCCAATTCCAGATCCTTAACTGTGCCTGTGTAAGAAATGTGTCCTTAAAGAAAATGAACATGTTCAAGACTATCAATGTAGAATAAAGTTTGATGGAACTCGGAGCTGACATTACTGCATTCATCTATTATATTTTCTTGAGGACAATAATAAGAAAACTTATTCCTTTATTGGTAACCAAGACTGGCCAAACTTTAAATGAGTATACCCTTTGGTATTTTCTCAGGCTCTGTTGAAGCCTCACTTCCCATAAGTTCCTCAGTTTAAAATGTAATAACCACAGCAAACCTGCACCCCAGTTTCACAAGTCATGGGCTCACAGAAAATAAATTCAGTTGTAAATGAAAATCTTGGCCCAAATATTTTTGGAGGAATTCTTAACAGGTGCTTTTTTCCCCCTAAAATACAACACCAAGCTTAGTAGTTCCTTATACTTAATTGAATTGTAAGATATTTAATCTTTCACAATTGTTTTAAATGTTGCAATTTTATGATCCTCTTTTCCTGAGTGTTGATGATGCTGATGCAGATATTTAGGCTGTTAATTATCTTTTACCAGCAACAACTCTAGGGTCTTTGGGTGTAGCCACAACAACAGACAAAGTGAAAGGAAATGCCAATGATACAGGATTCAGAGGAGGTAAGACTGCATAATCAGTCCATAGGAAAAGAGGAAAAGTTTGTTAATAAAATAGTGATATAGTTACTTGAAACTTGAGAGTTTCCCTATTAGCCTCATACATTTACCTTGTAAGTTAGCAAGCATCAGTGATTAGGTCATGACATTTCTGTAAGTTGAGATATTATTAAATGTACAAGATGCAAAAGCAGCATTAGAACTCCCCCACTATGTGATTTGTAGGTCAAAGCTGAAACCACCAAGAGATTTTTAAAAATGTGCTTGTACTTGTAAATCTAGGCTTTGAGGGGCTTTAGTTAAAACATAAGCGTTTGAGACTTTCAGGATAATATTCATTAAGAAGATAATTTGTTGACAAATAAAATTTACTGAGTGCCTTAATTAGGATTACTGTTGCTTTGATGAAACACCATGGCCAAGGAAGCTTATAAAATGAAGCATTTAGTTGGGGCCTTGCTTACAGTTTCAGAGTGTTAGTCTACGACCACTCTGGCAGGGAACATGACAGAAGGCATGCAGTCATAATGTTGGAATGATAGCTGAGAGCTTATGTCCTGCTCTGTAGGCAGAAGATAGAGAAAGAGTAAGGTTGGGCTTAACTTGAGCTTTTGAAACCTGAAGTCCAACCCCAGTGACTCACCTCCTCCCAGAAGGACACAGCTCCTCCAACAAAGCCATTTCTCCTATCAAAGCTACATATCCTCCGACATACCATACCTCCTATTCCTTTCAAAAGTGTTCTATTAACTGGAGAACTGCATATATATGAGCCTGTGGGGGCCATTGCCATTCAAACTATCACCACAGTATCACAGCCATTGGCTCACAGGTTTAAGGAGTGCAGATGGATCCAAATGCTTGAGTTTGACTTGTGAATGTGTTATGAACCAGTTCAGTGACCTGGCAAATGTCCCTGAATCTCATCCAAACACATCCAAGGGCCAGTAAGTGCAGTTAGATTAGATCTAAAGAATATAAATATTTTTTTGTGTGTGTCTAAAGCATTTTCAATTGCTATTTTCTCATTAGTAGGGGAAGGCGGTCCCACTATGCGAATGCGCACTCAAGGAAAAGTCAGCACACCCAGTCAACAAGGTGCTGCAGCTACCACCCTAGGAATCTCAGGTAATTACAGACCTGTGCTGAAGTGCCTAAAATATGGACAAATAGGAAAACATGAAGGCTGCCATCAACATGGTGGAAATGCAGACCATCAAAAGTTAGATTGCATTTCCCAGAATCCCCTTCAAAGCAGCAGTACATTAGAATCTACCATTCTCGTTTGCCAGGTTCAACAGGGGGATCTGTGGGAACCAGCTCTGGAGATGTCAAGGGAATCTCTCCTGTAACACCAGGCACTGAGATCACCAGCACTGTTACAACACCAGGTCAGACAGCTTCTTCAGGTGCTGCTGTCAGCACTTGGTTATGCAAGGAGATCTACAAAGATGACCATTGTAAACATGAATGGCCACAGATATCATGAAGGACTTCATTCATAGACATCTTTACCTATTAAACCTCATTGTTTTTTCCATAGGAACAAGGGAAGGAACAGTTGCAGTCACCACTGGAGTTTCTGAGGAGAGTACCCTGGGAGGAACAGGTACATAGGTTCTTCAGCAGAGAGAAACTGAGGCAATAGATTTGTGAACACGGAGTTCATAATTTTATCAGAGGTCAGGTTTCCTGGGAACTGCCTCATAGTTCACTGTTTGCTTCCAATTACTCTAGATATAAGAAAGAAACACAAAGTGTATGGTGTAATTTTAATACTCTGTGCGATACTGAATGGAATATGGAGAAAGGAAGGAAGATGTTCATCTCCTCACCCTTCTCTTCAAAAATGTCAGCCTTTATACTAATAGAAACTCAAACAAAGAAGAAAATCGGGGAGGAAATATGTGAATTGTGTTAGGGTAATGGCGAAAGACAAGATCATTAGATGCCGAATATTAAGTGATCTATCCCAAGTCTGATTTTGAAGGGAAGAATATTCTAATGAAAAAATGCATAGTCAGAATTAAGGGATTTAATGAGATCAAGAGTATCATCCCCCAATGATGTTTGGAAGGCAGATACTTTCATTGTTTTTAATGAAGAAGGAATCTTAGCACTTTAATAAGACATTTAACTTCACACTGTTTTGGGCTGACTTTTCCCCACTAATCAATATCAGGCTCAACCAGGGCATCTTCTGCACCAACCTCTGTAGCAGCAGGTGTCAGCACTCCTGGAGAAGAAGGCACTGAAGCCACAAGTTCTGGTAAGATTTGATTCACTGGGGTGATGTCTTTGTCCCTACACTCAATGTCCTGTCAATAGTGTGCTCTCTTGGACCAACAGACTCAATCTGGTTTAGAGTGAAGGGCTTAGGAGAGAGCCAGAATGATAGTGCTGGGTTTTGATTTAACAAAATTTGTATAAATATTTATATTAGTGATAGGAGGATTATAAAGATCCTCAAAATTGCCAACTTCTTCTTGGATCTAGGAACCATAAGTGTGTTTGTAAACTCCACCAATCCAATCCAGGAAAAAATCCAATCCATGCTAGGCAAAGCATGACTTCTGTTAGCAACCGTCTGGGAAAATTGGAGAGAGAGAAATCGGACCAAAGTGTGTTAACAGAGCCCCTTTTCTGTGTGTCAGGATTGATGTAGAATGGCAAGGAATGGTTATGGATCAGAGCTATTCACCGGCTCCATAAACATTAGTAGTAAGAATTTTCGGCTGTTTGATATGGCTATTATCTGGTTTCAGTGTGCTTATGACCATGGCGACTTGAGGATTCCTTAAAACTTATGAGGTTTCCTTTGACCTTCCCCAAAGCAGTGTGACTTACCTTCTTTGAGATGTGGATGGGGCGGGGAGGGTAGGTGAAGTAAATGGGAGGAGGGAAGGGAGTGGGAACTGGGATTTGTATGTAAAAAGAAAAAAAGATAGCTTTTTAAAATTTTTTTAAAAAATAAAATATAATAAATTATATTTAAAAAGCTTCAAAATAGCTTTAGATTGGACCAGGTGCCTTGCTATTGATATTAAGAAAAACTATTCACAAATAAATACAATTTTATTTAGAAGAAAAAACATATAAGGCTTGTAATATAAGATGAGTATGTTGTATTCAATTTTACTTGGATAGTAAAATCTAATAGAGAAATTTTGGACTATTTGTGGAGGATCCAGGGCAGATTCATTGTAATCACAGCTCTATCAAATGTAATTTTAAGGATTTTTTTCTATTTAAATAATGCGTGGTTTGGTGGGTGAATGACTGTTAGTGTATTGCCCATAAGGCCAGATATGTGGGAATTTCTTATAACTAGAGTTATAAATGGTAGTGAGTAACCGTGACATGGGAACTGTACCAAATTCAAGTCCTCTATCAGGGCAAGATGTTTTCTAAGCCACCTTAATATCTCTTCAGTCCCAAGAAGTGTATAATTTACTCATAAAAACAGTTTATAATATTTTGAGAATTCCACACAATGTGTTTTGACTATGCTTGTTCCGTTCTCCAGGCTCATTCCACACCCACCACTCCTTCTCTACTCACATAATTTTGTGTAGTCTCTGTGTTCTAAAGCCAGGAGCCAGTCTGTGCGCTGTACTGGATCATGGTGTGCAGAGCTACAAGACACAGTTCATGCTTCTGTAAACAATCATCTAACACGAGGAGCTGTGGTTTGTCTGCTGTCTGTAGATCTGTGTTGTAGTATGACAGTGCTCCCTTCTCTCTTCTCACTTAAGGCATTTTAAAGAATCAGTCCTTTACACCTAGGGAACATTAGATTAGTCTCTCATACACGTGTTTGAGCGCAGCTGGAGGTAATACTTGTTGGTTCTTTGTTGTGTTATATATTAGTAAGGTGACCTTCATTAGGTCACTGAATTATCTACAATCACCATGAACAATTTCACTGACAGAGGAAATTTGGCAACATAATATGCATGTTTGTCCAACACATTTAAAATTATTATTTCCTTATCAATTGACATAGGTGTTACCACTAGACAAATATCCACTGATAAGGAAGGCAGCACACCCAGGGAACAAGCAACTGGAACCACAAGCCCAGAAACCTCAGATAATTTTAAACATGTATTTGCATATTATAAATGGAGACTGCTAAGGTTACTTGAAGTCTGCTGTAAAGATGAGAAAAATACAGATCATTGAAAGTATGGCTTTATTTCCTAAGAGCCGTTCAGATTTTATACCACAGTGTAATCCACTATTCTTGTTTGCCAGGTTTAACCAAGGGATCTGTGGAAACCTCTACAGTAGCAGGCAAAGGAAGCTCACCTGGGACACCAGGCACTGAACCTGCCCGCACTGTTACACCAGCAGGTCAGACAAGGTCTTTTTAGGGGCTATGGAGGGCACAGCACATGGTTTTGTCTGGGGATTTAGAGAGGACCAAAACCACTATGGAATCTAAGTATGGAATAATAAAATCTGCTTAAAGATTAGTGTAGCTATATGTACATAATCACTTCCATTCTCATTCCTGTAGAAACAAAAGGAGTTGAAACAGAAGCAGCCACCACTGCAGCTCCTGGAAAGAGCACATCTGGAGGTACTGGGAGAGCACAGCTGGGGGACATTCAGCAGTCAACTTGTGATCATAAGTAGTGCTTAACATTTCATCACAGACAGTTCCATAGAGAATATGACCATTGTTGTTCAGGCTATGTCAAGTATCCAGCTATGGACCCCAGTCTTTGTTGTGCATCTTAAAAGAAGGTCAGATTTCAATTCAGCAAAGGAAATGTCATATAAATATGCGTGTCTCTCTCATCTGCAACCTGGAAAAGAAAACCTAAAGTATGTACAGAGCTACAGGAACAGGAATAATTAGTATAGAAATAAAGTGAGTATGGTACCTTGCTCAAGTGAAGGCCGTTGTAGAAAGACAAGCCAAAGGCATTTGTAGTTGAAATGTATGCATTGTAGAAGTATTTTATTTCTGACACATGCCTTGCTAATATAGTAGAATATCAGGACTACCTGGTACACATCACTTATCTTGAAATGTAGCTCTCCGTGCTAGTGACTCTGGGAGCAATTATGGCTTTGTTGCTATGAAGCTGATGAGACAATTATAGCCATTGTAGGTGTGAAAAAACAAGCTTATTTCAAGTTCCATCCACAAGTTCAACTACCTGTGTGTTTTACCTGTGTGTTTTCTCAAGCTAATATTTTTCTATGGTAGGCACACCCAAAGCATCCTCTGGAGCAGCCTCAGAAGCATCTGTCAGCAGCACCCCTGGGACAGGAAGCACTGAAGCCCCAAGTTCTGGTAAGTCTGGAAAGATGTATCTGGTAACTTAGAAACTTCTAAACATGAAATGTTACAGGAAGTGCTGAGAAATGAAATTCTAACTTGGACAGAATGAGGATTTGATAAAAAAAAATATGTGGATTTTTTTCTGTAAACTCTCAACTATTCAGTGTTAACAATGTTAACAATAAGGACAAAACACATGTTCAACACCAGCCTTTTTTTTTCTTTTATTAGATTCTGCATGGACCACCACTTCCAGTTCAGTGGCCCCAGGCAAACCATCCACCTCTGCCAGCACAGAACTAGGTAAGCAAATGGGAGAATTCACTGAGAATTCAAGTGTCAAGTTCTTCTGTTATCCTTCTTGTTATCCCCACTCCCAGGGACTCTACTAAGCTGAACAATAGAAATGAATATAAGAGACTAAGATGAAGGAGCTTAGCTGCTGATCCACAGCTGGCCCGGGGCAGGGATGGATTAGGTGTGCTCTGATCAGAGAAACTGCACAGACACCCTGCACATACTGATGGAGGATTAACATGTTCAGGATCCCGCCTGCGGTGTTTTCTAAGTGCAGTAGCGAGGGTTCCAATTTTACAGTCTTGGCTATGAGCTGAAACACAGAAATTTTTGAAGATGTGTATTCGGGAATCTCACAGAATTGTGATATCAGAAGCCCTAGACAGCAGGTCTGTATAGTGTTCACATCCTTAAGGTCATTTCCAAACCGCTGCCTGGGTTGCAAACAAGAAGGTTCTAATGTCTGGAGAGCTTTTAAAAGTTACAGAAAGCAAATGACAAATATTTTATTCATGACAAGTGAACATCCAGGGAAGCTGATGAATATACATGAATTCCATGGTTAAATTTCCTGTGAACAAGAAATGGAGACATGAATATAAATCAATGAGAGCTATGTTAAGATCAGAGTGCAGGATGGTGTTTGACTTTATCATAGATATAGATCAGGTGTTGATTTATTATCTACTTGGAGAGGGACCAGCAGGCTATCTGTTGTTGAAACAACTGGAGTCCCAGGGAATAAAGTGATACTTCCTCAAGCTGACCCAGGGGAGGAGAGGATGCATTTTAGATGTCATGGTTACCATCATGGGGAAAATCACTCTCAAACAAAGCTTCTTTTAATTCATAATCATTGAGAATCATCTGTGAACTTATGTGGCATGGAAGACACCCTCATAAAGAATGTTCACAGTCTAACTGTACTTGTTTATTTTTTGTTCTCTGCTCTTATTCTTTGGGGGCCCTGCCACTCGACTCCCAGAGAAATCACGCAGAGTCTTACTCTTTCTTATAAGTACATGGCCTTAGCTTAGCTTGTTTCTAGCCTTTATTTATTAGTCTAACTCTGGTCTCTGGGCTTTTACCTTTCTCTTACTTCTGTAAATCTTGCTTTCACTCTACTCCACGCGTGGTTGGGTTGCTGGGTGTCTAGGTGACTGACCCCCAGTGCCCTCCTCCTTTTTTTCTCTTGCTCATTCCTTTCCTTCCTTATTTTATCCACCTATTTATTCTCCCTGTCAGTCAACTTTGTCTGTCCTTTCTCCTGCCTCTCTTTGGCCATTCAGTTCATTATTAGACCATCAAATGTTTTAGACAGGCAAAGAATCACAGCTTCACAGAGTTAAAGAAATATAACATAAAAGAATGCAATACACGTGTTAAAAAAGTAAAACATAAAAGAATGCAATACACCTTTGCACTATTAAAACAATTGCTCCACAGCATGAACAAATGTAACATACCTTAAAATAATATTCCAAAACATATAATTAATACCACACCCTTTAGATTCATTGAATTTTTCATGTGACCAATGATTGGAGGATCAGACCACTTATAGGAACAAAAGTCCATATAAATTTTAAATGGGAAGTCTTCATTATTTTCTCAGGCTCTCTTGAGACTTCAGCTCCCCTTTCTTATCTAGCTAGAAGTCTAGGTACAACCACCGTACTGAGGCCCAGTGCCTCCTGTCTTAAAGGCACATCGGGGAAACTAAATATTAGAGAAAAAAAATCTTGGTCCTTCCCAATTCCTTGTTTAAGATACTGATTAGAACATTACTATTCCTCATACAGGATCAGATATAAATGGTTCCTCCCTCAGTGTCATTGATTGGTCACATCTTTAGTCTTTTTGTCATGTGTTTTGTGTTACTATTGGGAGATCTGTCTGCTGACCTGTTTAAGTTCTCATGGGCGTTTTTAAAGATGGCTAATTTTTTTATGGACCATATCAGCGAGAACTGGAAAATTACCCGGTACAATCAGAGCAGGTACATGAAGACGGAAGTGACAGAGCCTTGTATTTAAGAAAAATCAAGAAATATATGAAATGCCCCTTTGTGTAGATGCTTGCACACACTGCTCTTGGCTTCATCTTATCTAGTAGGCCACACAGAGTAAAGACTCTCAAATCAAGGGTGAAGTGTCAGAGACAACAAAGTTATCTCAGAAAATTCCAGAAAAACTACAAGTACCGTGTCAACACCTATTTAGAAAATGATCATTTAAGACCATGTAATTCCATAGTTGTGCTTAAGCATGTATTGTGCCTTTTAAAAATTTTCTCATTGTTTAATCTAATTTCTTAGTTTGTATTATAAAGGCTCTGTTAAAAGCACATGTCTGCTGAAGACTGGAATGTTTATAAAATATTGTTTTGCTGCACACAGCTTGAGAAACAGAGGTTAGAATAGAAAGCCGAGGCCTAGACTGCTTGAGTATGGTTTTAGCAGTATTGAAGACTCATGTGTACCAGGGTTGTGCTCTTTGATTCTTTGTTTGCTTTTGTCTATACCACAAGTGACAAATTAAACAAGTTAAGTCAAAACAAATTAAGACTTTCTGTCTTAGATATTGATGAGAACTCCAATGGGTTTATTACATCTAGTATATATTAAATGTCTCTTTCCTTTTAATTGGTAAAAGCAGGCTCTACTACACCCGTAAACAGTGGTGATGAAGACAGAACACCCAGGGAACACAGCTCTGCGGTTACCAGTCCAGGAGTGTCAGGTAGGTCAGGACCTGCACAGGAGGGCTGTAGGCAACATGCTGAAAGCACAGGGCTGCAGTTATGCCAACTATTATTAGTATCTTCAGAGAGGAATGAGCACAGGTTGAGACTCCTACTCTCTAGTTTTCAGAGTCAATTTAAGAGTCATTGGAAACCTGAGCATCATTCTTCTGGACAGAGCAGGACCATGAGTGTGGACATAACATGACCATTAGTGTGAACACAGCAGAACCATGAATGTGAACATAACACAACCATTAGTGTGAGGACAAAAGGACCATTGGTATCAATATGACACAATCATTAGGTGAGCACAGCAGAATCATAAGTGTGAAAATAACATGTCCCCTAGTATAAGCCGAGTAATTCCATGAGTGTGAACATGACATGACCATTAGTGTGAGTACAGCAGAATCATGGGTGGAAAGTGAGGGTAAGGAAACAAGACCAAGGACAATTTTGAATGAACTGATTGCAGGAAGGAACAATTAAATATTCTTAAGACTGCTTTCTTTTCTGTTTAATGACCAAGCAATGTTCATCCCTCAGGCACAAGTGGAGGACCAGGTGTAGTTACTCCTGGAACCACTGTAGGAAGCACATCTGGAAGCACAGGTAATGATGGGTACAGGAAGGTGATAGTCAATGAAAAGACTAGAGCTTAGTGTCCAGATACCAAAAAGATAGAAGTTTCAAGAAGATTTGTCACATTTTTTCCATTGTAAGGCCAAATGCTCAAGATATGAGAAACAATGTACAGATATTTGTTGAGTTATAAGTGGTCTGTGTGATGCTGGAAGTGACAGAAGAAACATTGCGATAGTTTCAGTCTTTCAGCTCTGCTTCCATTTGGACAGGGCAGATATTTTATTAACATAAGATATAAGTACAGAATAACTAACGGAATATGAAGGAATTGTGGGAGCCATGCCAATGGCATTGTAGGCATGATGATAGACAAAGTCACTCAAGGTTAAATGTTGAAAAATCAAAATGACTGTTATCTTTTAAAGAAAAAACATTAACAGAATAATTTCATAGTAAGAGTGGTATGAATTCCCCAAATCTGGACTCTCATAATCCAGTTATATTTGTGTATACATATCAGTTGTTAAGAATAAAGCAAACAGGCTCCCACAAAGTTTGTTTGGATGCTCATCTTTATAGACCTCGATGGAAGGGGGAGGACCTTGGACTTCCCACAGGGCAGAGAACCCTGACTGCTCTTAGGACTAGAGAAGGAGGGGGAGATGGGGAGGGAGAGGGAAAAGGGAGACAGGGAGAAGGTGGAAATTTTTAATAAGAAAATAAATAAACACTTAATTCTCCAAAAAAGAGAATAGAGCAAACAGTATCAATAGTCCTTCAATGGAAGTTTATAGCTTCAATGAAGCTCAGTCTAATGTTTTCCCACTTGATCAACCTAAGGTTCTCCTGGGGCATCATCTGGATCAAGCCCTGGTATAGCAGGTGCCAGCACTCCTGGAGACATCAGCACTGGAGCCACAAGTTCAGGTGGGACACCATAGTTTGGGGTGATTCCTAGCAGCTCCTGCACATGCCCTACTGAATAGAGAGCCCCTTGTCATCCTGGAATTTATCAGAATGATAATGCAGTGCTGAGAAGTGCTGGGAGGAAAATGACTGCCCATTTTCTTTTCCAAATTTCTAAAATATTCCCAGCAAAATCAGTTCCTCAATTCCAATTGTTCTTGGTTTTAGGAGCCATAAAGACTTCTGGAGGGTCTACTACTGTGAGTCTTGGAACATCGACTGGACCAGTCACAACCTCTGCTAGGAGCAGTCCAGGTAAATGAGAACGATAGAGATGTCTGAATTGTTTGGGTGCATGCAGACCATTTTCTGTATGTGGTTATTGGTTCACAATAGAGAGGTGTAGTAGGAAATTGACAATATAAGGGCTACTGCATGAAAAGCTGTAATGACAGGGATGGAGGAGATCGTATTTTTGTTGTTGGCCTGGGTGTGCGTAAAGACAAGGTGTTTTAAGGACTCCTTAAAGCTTGAGTGGCTTTGGATATTGAAATTGGAATGTGACTTATAAGGGGGCTCATATAGAAGAATTACTAGTGAAAGTTTTGTAAAATAAATGAAGAGAGGTTTAGAGTCATTGAGCTTGTATCTGTGTTGGAAAGGGTTGTGAAGGGCAATCACATTTCAGAAGCACTGAACTTATCTTAGGGATACATAAATAAATGGAAAGCTAAAATGTATTCAATAAATAATGGATCATACACAATTATTTTAAAAACTATGTATATTTTATGGTCAAATGTTGGAAGTGGTGAATTGAAAAGGAAGAAGTGAAAAACAATACAAAAGAGATGAGAAATCAGAGAGCAACATGGCAAGATTAACTTGAATAGAAGTCCTAAAATCCATTTCATGTTTACTCCAGAAGGGACTACAGTACCTTCAGCTGATGAAACAACTAGAATCTCAAGCAGTGAATCCACCCTCCCTGAAGAAACAACAGGTGAGTAGGTGATGTTAAGAATTATAATCACCACCCTCTGCCATACATAAAGCAAAGTAGCTGCACCAAATATATGGACATCTGGTTGATCCAAGCCCAGATCCTTAAATTGTCTATGTAAAAACAGTGTCAGAATAGAACACTAATGTCCCGCGCTCGGCCTCGCCAGCAAGAACGACGCGGGGCACTTAGGATTCTTCTGCAGTAAAGCTTTAATGCGTCTTGAGAGGGAGAGCATCAGCTTCCAAAGCGGAGACCCAGAATGAGGGGAACCCAGCCCTTATAAAGGAAACAGTCCTCGCTTCTGACGTGTCACTCTTGGATTGGTCCGCTGCCCATTATCCCAGATGATGCCTCGGAAGTAGGCAGGGACGCAACAGTAGAGAGTTACCAAGCACACGCGCTAGGATTAAAGGCGTGTGCTACATCACCTTGAACTCACAGAGATCTGCCTGTCTCTGCCTCCCAGGCATTGGGACCAAAGGCGTGTACTACCACGCCTTGAGGTCACAGAGGTCAATCTGCCTCTGCCTCCCAGGCATCAGGACTAAAGGCGTGTACCACCACACCTTGAGGTCACAGAGGTCAATCTCTACCTTTTTTCCTTGAAGCAATGGAGAATGTGGTTGCGGCCCGCCACACACTAACGTATTTGAGACTATCACAGTATAATAATGCTTTAGGGAACTCCAGAGTGGTATTTACTGCATTCATCTATCATCCTTCATATTTTTGTAGTAGGCCTAAAATGAAAAGTTAGGTTCCTCCAAGTTCGTCGAAACATTTAATGAGAAGTTCCTTGGATATTTTTTCAGGCTCTGCAAGAACACCAGCTGCTTTCACCTCCTCAGTGGGAAATGCAGGCACCACAGGAAACCTGCACTCCAGCCTCACCAGTGCTGGGCCCACAGAAGGTAAGCTCCGTTGTGAATGAGAATCCTGACCCCAGTCTGTTATAAGTGAATGCTGAACAGATATTCTTTCCTTGAAATGCAATGCCAGGCTTAGTTATTCACTGTATTAATTAAATTGTAATATCTTTAATCTTTTACAGTTGCTTTAATGAATCACTTTATCACTTCTTGCTTAACCTTCTTTGAGTGTTTGAAATGTTCGTGTAGATATTGTGTAGCTAATTGTATTTTCTCCTTTTTATAGAGACAACTTTAGAATCCTTAGCTGTTATGACAGCAACAGCCAGAGGGAAAGAAAATAACAATGATACAGCATTTAGAGAAAGTAAACTAAATAAACAGGAAAATGATAAAAACATACTTTAGTCAAATAATGGCATACCTACGTGACACTACAGGGTTCCCCTATTAACTTACACTAGGACCTTGTAAGTTAGTCAATATCAATTAATACATGATGATATTTCTGTGAGTTGAGATATTAGTACATATAAAATACAAAAGCAGCCTTAGAATTCACATTCTGAATTCTCCACCTTTTTGTGAACTACAGGTAAAGGCTTAGCTAACAAAAGAGAATGTGCTCATCTTCACAACTCTGGACTGTTGAGAGTCTTGACTTGAAATGTATGATTTAGACTCTTTTCAGGATAATACAAATCAATAAAACAATTGTGAAAAATAAAATGTACACAAAGGGTCTTAGTGAAGGTAACTATCACTGTGATGAAACCAAGACTATTTATGAAAAGAAACTTAATTTCGAGCCAGCTTACAGTTTTAGATAATTTGTCTATGATTATCATAGCAGAAAACATGGTGGCAGGCATGCAGTCATAGTGCTGAAGCAATAGCTGAAGGCTTAACTCTTGTGTGTAAGCAGGAGAAAGGAAAAGAATTAAGTTGAACCTGGCATGGCTTTAGATACCTGATAAATCAACCACAGTCACACAGCTCAACAAATTACTCATTCTCCAAGGATAGATATCTTTCAAAAAAAATCATATCTCCAAATCCTTTGTGTTAAATTCAATAAACTATAGAAAAAGCATTCAGATATGTATGAGCCTAGGAGGACTATTACCCTTTAAATTCTCAGGCACAGAAACATAGTTTAAGAGAATTAGTAATCTAGCATCCTCTAAGATATTAGATTTTTAAAGTGATCACAATAAAACTACACTTCCTAAATTCTGAATCAGCATTATTGGGGCCTCAAGAAGACTCAGTCCCTGTGTCCTTAGATTATCAGGCATTTTCGGTAGAGATGATTCAGAAATGCAAAGTTTGGTTCCCAGCAGATAGTGATCCCACACTGCTTCTCACAGGGGTGATGTGCTGAGGTGTAAACCAGAGCCCCAGGGAGCACAGCAGATGACACAGTGAAGTGTGGTTGTTCTGTTGAAAAAAGACTTTGCTTGGACATGAGTTTTCTTTAAATTCTTTTACTTCTTTTTACACTGACCATAATTTCAATATACAAAATATGATAGAATAAGAATGGTTTATTACTATTGTATATGTATTTAAGCAGTGAAGCAGGAGTCAGATGCTTAAATTACATGTGAATGTATTCTTACTCAGATCAGTGACCTGGTGCGTGGCCCTGAATCTCTTCTGATTGACAAGAACAAGAAGCCCAGAGAGGGAGGATTATCAATCATTTTATTTGTGTCTAGGGCAATTTCAATTGCATTTTTTTTAATTTGTAGGCGAAGGAAGTCCCACTATATCATTGTCTACTCAAGGAGAAGGCAACACACCCAGGGAAGAAGGAACTGGAACCACAAGCCCAGGAACCTCAGGTAATTCCAAACCCGTACCTGGTTATGGTAAATGTAGACCACTAAGAGTACTTGGAGTCTGCTGAAAAGATGATTAAAAAAAACAGATCATTGAAAGTATGGTTGCATTTCCTAAGAGCCATTTAGATTTTATATCACAGTTTAATCCACTATTCTTGTTTGCCAGGTTTAACCAAGGGATCTGCGGAAACCTCCACAGTAGCAGGCAAAGGAAGCTCACCTGGGACACCAGGCACTGAACCTGCCAGCACTGTTACACCAGCAGGTCAGACAAGGCCACTTTAGGGGCTGTAGAGGGCACAGCACATGGTTTGACCATGGCATTGGGAGAGAACCAAAGCTGCTGTATAATCTAAGTACACATATGGAATGATAAAATGTGTTCGAAGATTAGTGTAGCTATCTGTGCATATTAACTTGATTCTCATTCCCATAGGAACAGGAGGAAAAACAGAAGCAGCTACCACTGCAGCTCCTGGAAAGAGCACATCTGGAGGAACAGGTACTGGGAGGGCACAGCTGGGGGAATGCAGCAGTAGACTTGTGATCTTAAGTGGTGCCTAACATTACATCACAGACAGTTCCATAGAAAATATGACCATTGTTGTTTATGCTATGGCAAGTATCCAAAAGGTCAGCTTTGTGATCTAAATATTTGTTGTGCATCTTAAAAGTACGTCAGATTTCAATTCGGCAAAAGAGGTATCATATAAGTATGCACATCTCAGTCAACTACAACCTGGAAAAAGAAAATATAAAATATGTACAGAGATATAAGAACAGGAAGAATTAGTACAGAAATAAAGTGGTTTATGGAGACAAGATGACCATGTGAACACTATTGTAGAATGATAACTCAAAGGCATTTATAGGTGAGACTTGAATTGTGTGTGTAGGAATACTTTATTTCTGACACATCCATTGATAATGTAGTAGAATACCAGGACTACCTGGTACACACCATTTATGTTGAAAAGTAGCTCTCCATGCTAGTAACTGTGGGAGTAATCATTGCTATGTATCTATGTAGCTGATGCAACATTTATAGCCATTGTAGTTGTGAAAAAGCAAGGTTAACAGTATTAGTAGTAGTTAACTATTCAAGATTAACAGTAAGGACAAAGCACATGTTGGACACTACCCAATTTTTGTTTGTTTGTTTCTTTTTAGATTCTGCATGGACCACTACTGCTGGTTCAGTGGCCCCAGCCAAATCATCCACTTTTGCCAGCACAGAACCAGGTAAGCAAGTGGGAGAACTCACTGAGTCTAGGTATCAAATTCTTCTGGTAGTTTTCCTCACTCCGTGGTATTCTACCATGCTGAAGAATTAAAGGAATATAAGAGACCTGGAGAAAAAGCTCAACTGCTGATCTACAACTTGCCTGTAACTGTGGGAAAATGGATTAGGTGTTCTCTAATCAGAGTAAACAGCATAGACACCCTGCACATACAAGTTCAGAATCCTGCCTGTGGTATTTTGCAAGTGCAATAGAGAGTGTCTAATTTTACAGTCTTGGTTATGAATTGAAAACCAGAAATTTTTGAAGATACATACTCAAAAATGTCACAGAATTATGATATCAGAAACCCTAGACAACAGGTCTACATACTGCTCAAATCCTTAGCATTGTTTACAAACTGCTGCCTGATTTGCAAACAATAAGGTTCAAATGTCTGGAGAGCTTTTAAAAATGGGTACTAAGCAAATGACAAATATTTTCTTCACAAACAAGTGAACATCCAGGGAAGCTGATGAATATACATGAATCTCGTGGTTAAATTTCCTGCGAACAAGAAATGGAAGCATGACTATAAATCAGTGAGAGCTACGTTAATATTAGAGTGCAGGACATGTGTTTGTGTTTATCATAGATATAGATCAAGTGCTGATTTATTATCTACTTTGAAAAGGGACCAGGACCAGCAGGCCATCTGTTGGTGAAACAACTGGAGTCCCATGGAATAAAGTGATACTTCCTCAAGCTGACCCAGGGGAGTAGAGGATGTATTTTAGATGTCATGGCTGCCATCATGGGGAAAGTCACTCTCAAACAAAGCTTCTTTTAATTCATAATAATTGAAACTCATCTGTGAATTTATGTGGCGTGAAAGACGCCCTTGTAAAGAATGTTTATAGTCTAACTGTGTTTGTTTTTTTATTCTCTGCTCTTATTCTTTGGGGGGCTCTGCCACTCAGGCCCCAAAGAAATCACACAGAGTCTTATTCTTTCTCATAAACGCATGGCCTTAGCTTAGCTTATTTATAGAAAGCCTCTATTAATGTGTCTAACCATCTGTTGAAACAACTGGAGTCTTATAGAATAAAGCAATACTTCCTGAAGCTGACCCAGGGGAGGAGAGGATGCATTTTAGATGTCATGACATCCATCATGGGGAGAGTCTCTCTCAATCAAAGCCTCTTTTAAGTCATAAAATTTAAACTCATATTTGATTTCAAGTGGCATGGAAGATTCCCTCATCAAAAAAAAAAAAAGCTTGTAGTGTCTCCTGAACTCATTCAATTTTCCATATGTCCAAAGATTAGAAGATCAAGCCATCTATAGAGACTGGATTCCACATAGACTTTAAATGGAAAGTCTTCATGATTTTCTCAGGCTCTCCTGAGACTTCAGCTTCTATTTCTTCACTAGTTGGAAGGCCAGGCACAGCCACAGCACTGTGGCCCAGTGTCACCAGTCGTGGAGGCCCATCAGGGAAACTAAATTTTGCAACTAAGAATCCTAGCCCTGCCCAATTCCTTGTTTCAGGTACTGATGTTCAGAACAGTGTTATTCCTAATACAGGATCAGACATAAATGGTTCCTCCCTCAATGTCATTGATTGGTCAAATCTTTAGTCTTTTAATAATTGCTTTCATTTGTATCATTTTGCTCTTGGAAGATCCATCTGCTGACCTGTTTAAGTTCTCATGGGCATTTTTAAAGATGGGTAATTTTTTAATGTACTGTATCAGAGAGATATGGAAATTTATCAGGTGTAATCAGAACAGGTACCAATGGAGATGGAAGTGACACAGCCTTGTATTTAGGAAAAAGTAGACATGTGTGAAATGTCCCTTTGTAAAGATGCGTGTGCAGACTGTTCTCTGCTTCATCTCAACAAGTCAACTGCACAAAGTAAAGACTCAGCCCAAAAGGGCGGTCAGAGAGAGTGAAGTTATCTAGGAAAATTCCAGAAAAACTACAACGACTTTATTAACAGCTATTAAAAAAAAAAAGGTCATCTGGGACCATGTCATTTGAAAATTGTGCTTAAACTTATGCTGTGATTTCTTTATCTTTTTTCATTATTTAGTCTAATTCTTTAAATTTATATTATAAAGACTGTGTTCAAACCTCCCTTGTATCTCAGATGAGAATGTTTATAAACAATTGTTTTGCTGCACATAGCGTGAGCAGCAGACGTTTGGGTAGAAAATCTAGGCCTGGACTATCCGACATGCGTTTCAGAATGATTATTGACCTAAGTGTATTAGGATTGTGCTTTTTTTCCACATCTGATAAAATGAAACAATAGCATTTTCTGTCTTGATTGTTGATGAGAATGCTCAATTGGATATATATATATATATATTATACATATTTATGTTCAATTGGATATATTTTATATATGTGTATTGATATATATGTATATATATTATACATGTATATATGTTCAATTGGATATATATATATATCATAATTTTAAATGTCACTTTTTTTAAATGGTGACAGCAAGCCCTACCATACCCCCACCTCCTGGTGATGAAGGCAGCACACCAGGGAACACAGCTCTACAGTCACCAGCCCAACAGGGCCTGAACGTCAGTGCTGATGAGGAGTGAAGCATCACAGGAGGGCTGTGGGGAACACGCTGAAAGCACACAGTGTTGAGCTATGCTGGCCATTAATATCACCAGAGAGGAATGAGCACACATTGACAAGCCAACTGCTTAGTTTTCAGAGCCAAAATGAGAGTAGTTGCGAACCTGAGCAACATTCTTTTCAGCAGAACAGGACCACAGATGTGAACATAACACAAACATTAGTGTGAGCACAGCAGCACCATGAGTGGGAATAGGAGGGTAATGAAGCGTGATCAAGGACAATTTTGAATGAACCGATGGCAGAAAAAGAACAATTAAATGTCCTGAAGATCGCCTTCCTTTCTGTTTAATGACTAAGCAATGTTCATTCCATAGGCACAAATGGAGAAACAGCTATTTCTGGAGTCACTGTTGGAAGTACGTCTGGAAGGACAGGTACTGAGGGGCAGATGGAGGGGATAGGAAGGAGGAGACCTGAGAACTTAGTGTCCAGACGGTAGTTTCCATCAAATATTAAAGTTTTCATGGAGATTTGTCACTTATTTTTCCATTGTAAGGCCAGGTGCTCCAGAGACGAGAAAGAATCAAATGGTGTTTGTTGAGTCCTGAGTAGCCTGTGTGATGCTGCAAGTGATAGCAGAAATATGAGAAGGTTTTACTCTTCGCTCTCTGCTTCCATTCGGAAAGGGCAGATAGTGGGTTTGCATAAGTTATAAAGACAAAACAACATGTATGAAAGGAAGCAATAGTGAGAGCTGTGTCGTGAGGATAGACAAGATGTGAAGGCTGAGAAATAAAAATGAGTGCTGTTTCTCAAAGGAAAAATTAACAGAATCATTTCATAATAAAAACGTTATGATTTACCAAGATCTGGAGCCTCACAATCCAGATATGTTTGCATGTAGACATATTATTTTTAATAAAAAAAGGAAAAGGCTTAATTATGAACAGGCATAAATTCACAGAATCTCAGTCTAACATTTTTCCACTTGATCAACATAAGGCTCACCTGGGGCATCATCTGGATCAAGCCGTGGTACAGCAGGTCCCAGCACTCCTGCAGAAGTCAGCACTGGAGCCACAGGCTCAGGTGGGACACAATAACCTGTACCCTGCTGAATGGAGAGCTCCCTTGTCTTCTTGGCGTTTACCAGAATGATAATGCAGTATTGAGTAGTGCTTGGGAGATCATTGCATTCCGTTTTTATTTCCTGAATTCCTGAAATACTCTAAACAAAATCGAAAAAAAAAAAAACCAATCACATCCTCAACTCCCAATTTGTTCTTGGTGCTGGGAACTATATATATTTATGGAATTCCCACCACCATGAATCCAGAAACACTGACTAGACTAGTCATAACATCCAGTAGGAGCAGTGTAGGCAAAGGAGAGAGAGATGTCTGACTTCTGTGTGTGCATGGAGCCCATTCTCTGTATGTGGTTATTGTTTCCCAATAGAAAGTAATTGTAGGAAATTGATGTTATTAGGGCTACTGCATGAAAAAAACTGAAATGACAGATATGGGGTAGTTCATATTTCTCTAATTATCCTGAGGGTACTCATGACCACAGTGTTTTGAATAATCATTACAGCTTATAAGGATGTGGCTGTTAAAATGGAACCATGACTTTGAATAGAGCTTAGATAGGAGAATCACTAGTGACAGTTTGGGAATATAAATGGAGGACCTTCAGATTCATTGAGCTGGTATCTGTGTTAGGAAGGGCTTTAAAGGGGGCAATTATTTCCATTGTGCAACCTCACTTCAGAAGCACTGAGCTTGGCTTAGGGACATTAAATACATAAACAAATGGCAAGCTAAAATGCATCCCTTATATAATGGAGCATACACAATAATTTTAATAAGTGTGTTTATTTTATGGTTATATTTTGAAAATGCCGAGTTTGAAATGAAGAAATGAAAAATACATAAATGAAAGAGATGTGAAATCAGAGAACATTATGGCATGACGTAAGTTATCAGAGGTCCTAATATCCATTTCTGTTTATTCTGAAAGGGAGCGCTGCACCTTCAGCTGGTAAAACAACTAGAGCCTCTAGCAGTGGATCCACCAAGCCTGCAGACCAATCAGGTGAGCAAGTGGTGTTCAGGATTGTGGCGTCATCACCGTGATTCATACCTAATGCACAGGAGCGGCATCAAATGTATGGACATCTGGTTGACCCTCTCCCAAATCCTTAACTGCTTCTGTGTAAAAACAGTGTCAGAACAGAAAACTAACATATTTCAGACTACCACAGTTGAATGAAATTTTAGGAACTTTTCTATATGAAGAATAAAATGAAAAGCTTGCCCCCCTCATTGCTAACCAAGTTCATCCAACCATTTAATGAGACATTCCTTGGATGGATGTTTTCTCAGGCTCTTCTAGAACACCAGCTGCTCTCACCTCCTCAGTGGGAAATGCAGGCACCACAGCAATCCTTCAGTCCAGCCTCACCAGTGCTGGGCCCACAGAAGGTAAACTCAGTTGTGAATGAGAATCCTGACCCAAGTCTGTTATAGGTGAATTCTGAACAGATATTATTCTTTATGCAGCACTTGGTCATTCCTTATATGAATTGAATTATAGTATCTTTAATATTTCACAGTTGCATTAAGGTATCATGTTATAATATCATGTTCATCCTTCCTTGCGTGTTGGAAATGCTCATGTAGATATTGTGTAGCTAATTATATTTTCTGCACTTTATTAGAAACAACTTTAGAGTTTTCAGATGTTCAAAAAGAATAGCCAAAGGGAAAGAAAATACCAATGACACAGCATCTAGAGAAAGTAAACAAACTAAATAAACAGGAAAGTGGTAAAAACAACAGCAACAAATTAGTAAAATAATGACGTACCTACCGGACACTTTGGGGTTTCCCTATCGACCTTACACTAGGACCTTGTAAGTTAGTCAACAGCAATTGATAGGTAAAATTATTTCTGTGAGTTGAGATATCAGTATATAAAAGCAGCCAGGCAGTGGTGGCGCACACCTTTAATCCCAGCACTCGGGAGGCAGAGGCAGGCGGATCTCTGTGAGTTCGAGGCCAGCCTGGTCTACAAGAACTAGTTCCAGTACAGGCCACAAAGCTACACAGAGAAACCCAGTCTTGAAAAGAAAAAAAAATAGAAAAGCAGCCTTAGAATTCTGAATTCTACTCATTTCTTTGATGTGTGGGTAAAAGCTAAGCCAACAAAAGAGAAGGCCCTCATCCTAACAAATATGAGCTGTTGAGTTTTGACTTGAAATGTATGGCTTACACTTTGCAAGATAATATAAATCAATAAAATAATTGTGAAAAAAATTATGTAGGGTAACTATTTCTGTGATGAAACATCATGACCAAGGCTACTTATAAAAGGAAACATTTAATTTTGGGCCTGCCTACTGACTTAGTGGTGTAGTCTATGGTCATCATAGCAGAAAACATGGTGGCCGGCATGGATGTAGTCATGGTGTAAGAGCAGTAGCTGAAGCCTTACCTCCTGTTCGGTAAGCAGAAGGTAGAGAAAGAATTAAATTGAGCCTGGCATGGGCTTTAGATATCTGATAACTCAACTCCAGTCACACACCTCCTCAACAAATCATGCGCTCTCTATGAGGTCAGACATATTACAACAAAGTCATATCTCCAAAACCTTCCCAAACAGTTCAATAAACTGAAGAACAAGTATTCAATTATATGAGCGAACATATGAGGACCATTACCCTTCAAATTGTCACACACAGGATCACAGTTCAAGAGAACTAGTAATCCAGCATCCTTTAAGAGACTAGAATTTTAGTGTGTTAGCCATGAAACTACACTTGAATCACAGATACTGGGGCCTCAAGAAGAACTCATTTCCTTGTGCCCTTTGCATATCAGGCCTTTGGAGACGAGTGTGAGAGGCAAAGTTTGGTCCCCAGCAGATAGTGTTCCCATACTGCTTCTCACAGGGGTGCTGTGCTGAGGTGTAAAACAGAGCTCCTGGTCCAGGAAAAGCAGCAGATGACACAGTGAAGTGTGGTTGAAAAAAGACTTTGCTTAGACTTGAGATTTTTTTAAGTCTTTTTCATTTCTCTTTACATTGACCACAATTTCAAAACATAAATATATCATTGCTTGAAAATGGTATATCCCTAATTAGCACTTGATTTTAAGGTATAAAGAAGGAGGTAGATGCCTAAGCTGCATGTGTACATGGTCGTACCAGTTCAGTGATGTATGTCCCTGAATCACGTCTAATACGCAAGAACAGAAAGGTCAGAGAGAGAGGGGATCTAGACCATATCAATGATTATATTTGTGTTTATGGCAATTTCAATTGCAATTTTCTCATTTATAGGCAAAGGAAGTCACACTCGGTCAGTGTCCACCCAAGGAGAAGGCAGCACACACAGAGGACCAGGCACTGTAGCTACAAGCCCAGGAACCTCAGGTAATTGCAAACGTGTCCCTGAGTGCCTGAAATTGGTTCAAGCAGGAAAACACAAATGCTGTTGTATTCAAAGCTGTTACATTCAAAGCCTTCATCCTCTACAGACTGGAATGCTTACAAAATTATTTTGTTGCATGGGGTTTTTAAATTAGAAGTTTGTGTGGAAATCCAAAGCCTAGACTGCTTGGGTTTGGTTCTCAGCCTACTCTAAATCAATGTGTACAGGTGTTTTATCACAGATGATAAAATATGGTTTTCTGCTGTGGATGTTGATGTGAATGTTCAGTGAGTTGATGACATCTGAGATAATTCAAAATGCCATTTTTTTTCTTTTTAATTGGTAATAGCAGGCCCTACCACACCCACACCTAGGGATGAAGAACACAGCATACCTGGAGAACACAGTTCTACAATGACCATTCCAGGAGAGTCAGGTAGGTCAAGATTTAATCATCTATGCCTATGATGGGGAGAGTATCACAGTGGGATGTAGGAGATATTAATGTATACAAATATACAAGAGTGCACATGTGCCCACGTTTGCTAATTTTCCACAACATATGCATAGGCATATGATGAAGCCCCTACTACCTAGTTAGTTAGGAATTGAGGGGAAGTAATTGGGAACTTCAGGTCATGCATGAAAGCACAGAAGGACCCTGAGTGTGAGCACAAGCAGGACTATTAATGTGAGCAGGACTATATGTGTGTGAATAAAGGGGGACCATGTTTGTGATCACAGCTGGACCATTAATGTGAGTGAAGTAGGACCTTGAGTGTGAGCATAGCAGGACCATGAGTGTGAGCACAGCAGGACCATGAGTATGAGCATAGAAGGACCATGAGTGTGAACAAAGCAGGGCCATGACTGTGAGCACAGCAGGACCACGAGTTTGGGCAAAGCAGGTCCTTGAGTGTGAACACTGTAGTACCATGACTGTCTCCAAAGCAGAAACATGAGTCTGAGTATAGCAGGACCATGAGGATAAGCACAGCAAGACCTTGAGTTTGAGTATACTAGCCTAGCACCATGAGTGTTCATATAGCAGGGTTTGAGTGTAAATACCACAGGACCTTGAGTGTGAGCACAACAGGACCAGGAGTATAAAAATGACTGAAGCGTTAGGTCGTGCTGCCCCAACAAGCACAGCATAGCATTCCTCTTAGATCCAGTCTAACTCTCTCCAAGAAGTAGAGTGGGAAATTAGAGTAAAGAAAGGTGGTCAAAGACAGCTTTAAAGGAACTAAGGCTATGTATGAATGATGGAATGCCCTGGAAATGGTTTTCTTCACTGTTAATTCAGGAAGCTCTTTTTATCCCATAGGGACAAGTGCAGCACCTACTCAAAGCATTGTTGGAAGTACATCAGGGAGGACAGGTACGGAAGGGGAGGGGATGGTGGTAGACAAGGAGGTGATTCCGTCAATGATAAACATTTTCTGGGGACCAGTCCCATTGCTTCCATTGTGAGGCCAAATGTTCCAGAGATAAAAATGATAAATTCATTTGTTGCATTCTGAATGGTCTATGGAATGCTGTGAAGGATGACAAATTGATGCCAGTTGCCTCAGAGATGAGAAATAGTCCAATTCTTTTCGCTGTATCCCTGATACTCTCTATGATGCTGTGTGAAATACAAAAGAATATGAAGTGGGTGTTTATCTACCCATTCTGCTTTAATTTGTAAAGAAATAATATTATATTTGCATAATTGATGTCTGCCAACTTGTCATCAGATGGACTATTTCCATCTAGTAGCAGATGGAAACACGTGCAGAGACCCACTGCTAAGCATTGAGCTGAGCATGGGGTATTTCACTGAAGAGAGGAAAGGATGTTTGGGCAAGCCAGGGGAGTATGTCCAGGACATCACAAGACAACTCACAGAAATGACTAGCCTTACTCATAAGAACTCATAAAGTCTGAAACAACAAGCAGGGAGCCTGCATGGGGCTGACCTATGTAGCATGAGGGGGCCGGCTTGTTGGGGTATCTGTCCCGCCCAGTACCCCACAGCAGGCAGGCCCCAAAGAAAATCACACACAAGACTCCATAAGGTTATAAACTGATTGGCCCATTAGGTCAGGCTACTTATTAATTCTTATGACTTATCTTAACCCATTATTCTTATCTATGTTAGCCACACGGGCTCAGTACCTTTCTCAATGTGACAGCTTACATGTTGCCTCTTCGGTGGTCTGCCCAGGAGTGGCAGAGGAACTTCCCTGCTTCCCAGAATTCTCCTGTTCTCATTGCTCCACCCCTACTTCCTGTCTGGCTTTCCTGCCTATACTGCCTGCCTGGCCAATCAGCATTTTATTAAAATATGATTGACAGAATACAGACAATTCTCCCACACCAGACCTAGGCCATCTACACATAAGTGACAGCTGTGTAGCATGTTCTACTTGTGGCTTTCCTGATAGTGGGTACAGGGATTCTACCTAATGCTTTTGCTGGCTTTTGGGAATCTATACCTTATACTGGGTTGCCTTGCCCAGCCTTAATAGAAAGGGAGGTGCTAAGTACTACTTCAAATTGATATGCTATGCTTTCTTGATACCCATGGGAGGTCTGCCCCTTTTATCACAGAAGCAGAGGAGTGGGTTGTTGGGTAGAGGGGAGGTGGGGATAGGAAATGGGAAGAGAGGAGGGAGGGGAAATTGTGGACAGAATGTATAATAAGAAAAATATATAAACATTAAATAACTATCCAGACAGAGAGAATTGTGGGAGCTGTGTCAATGGTATTATAAGCATGAAGACTAATAAGATGACTCAATGTTGAATATTAGGAAATAGTCGTGATTTTTGTTTCTTAAAGTATAAAAACATTCATGAACTGAATTCAAAATAAGAATGGTATGATTTATGAGGATCTGGAGTCTCATTCTCTAGTTATGAATATTTGTAGATATATAATGTTTCAGAAAAAAGCAAACAGGCTTTATAGTCCATTTATGAAAGTGTATAAGTTCACAGAATCTCAATCTAACGTTTTTCCACTTGATCAACCTAAGGCTCACCTGGGGCATCATCTGGATCAAGCCCTGGTACAGCGGGTGCCAGCACTCCTGCAGAAGTCAGCACTGGAGCCACAAGTTCAGGTGGGACACAACAGCCTGGGGTGATTGTCCACCAGCTCCTGCCTATACACTGCTGAGTAGAGAGTTCCCTTGTCCTCCTGGGGATTAGCTGACTGGTTTTGAAGTGCTGAAATGTTCTTGGGGGACCGTACCTTTCCATTTTCATTTCCTGAATTTCTAAAATGTTTGTAGCAATACAAGAAAAACAATCACATCCTCAATTTGTTCTTTGTTCTAGGAACCATAGACACTTCTGGAGGCTTCACCACTGTGAGGCCTCGAACATTGACTAGACCAGTCATGACCTCTGCTAGGAGCAGTCCAGGTAAATCTCACACACACACACACACACACACACACACACACACACACACACACGAGAGAGAGAGAGAGAGAGAGAGAGAGAGAGAGAGAGAGAGAGAGAGTTTTAGTTGAGCGTGTAAATGGAGTCCATTTTCTATATGTGGTTGTTGGTTCAAAATAGAAAGTAGTAGTAGGAAATAGAAGCTATAAGGGTGACTGACGGCTTGAAAAGCTGTAATGACAGATGTAGGCTAAATTATACTTCTGCAATTATCTTGAGTCTACACATGGCCACAGTGTTTTGAAAATCCCTTACTTCTTGTGAGGCTTTGATTACTGAAATGGGAATGTGACTTGTAATGGGGCTTAGATGGGAAAACCTCTAGTGATCGCTTTGGAATATAAATGGAAGTACCTACAGATTCATTGAGTTTATATCTGTGTGACAAAGTGTTTTAAAGAAGTCAAGAGTTTCCAGTGTGCAACCTCACTTCAGAAGCACTGAGTCCAGCTTAGGGACATTAAATAAAGAAATAAATGACAAGCTAAAATGCTTCCAATAAATATTAGATAATATACAATTATTCCTAAAGCTATATATACCTTATGACCAAATGTTGAAACTATTGAGTTGGAAAAGAAGAAAGGAAAAGGAATATATGGAAGAGATGTGAAACCAGAGAGCAGGTATGGCGTGATGAACTTTCTCAGAGGTCCTAATATCCATTTCTGTTTACTCCGAAAGGGAGCACTGCACCGTCAGCTGGTGAAACAACTAGAGCCTCCAGCAGTGAATCCACCCAGCCTGGAGAACAATCAGGTGAGCAGGTGCTTTATTCTCCTTAAGAGAGAAGGAGCTGCCTCTATGCCCAGGCCAACTTAGGGAGAAGCCAACACACCCAGGGAACAAGGCACTGCAGCAACCACTGTAGAAATCTCAGATAATTCCAAGCATGGCTTAAATATGTCCAAGCAGGAAACTACGAAGGCTATTTTTAACTTGGAAATGCAGACCACTGAAAGTTTGATTGAATTTCCCAGAATTCCCTTCAAAGCAGCAGCACAGTAGAAACCATAGCTCTTGTTTTCCAGGTTCAACAGGAGGATCTGTGGGAACCAGCTCTGCAGCTGGCAAGGGAGCTTCACCTGAAACACCAGGCACTGAGGTCACCAGTACTGTTACAACACCAGGTCAGACAGCTTCTTCGGGGTTGGGGCCAGCATTTAGTCATGAATGGAGATCCACAAAGATGACATTGTAAATATGAAAGCCTAAAGTATCTTGATAGACTTCATTTTTAGGCATCTTTACCTATTAAAACCCATTCTTCTTTCCATAGGAACAAGGGAAGTAACAGTTGCAGACACTACTGGAGTTGCTGAGGAAAGCACCCTGGGAGGAACAGGTACTGAGGCTGTTCAGCAGAGGGAAACTGAAGCAGTATATTTGTGAATGTGGTGTTCATAATTTCATCAGAGGTCTGGTTTCCTGGGAATTGACTCGATTTGCCATTTGGTGCCAATTGCTTTAGATACAAGAAATAAACCCAAGTGTTTGGTATATTTCAATACTCTATATGACACTGAATGGAATATAGAGAAAGGAAGGAATATGTTTATCTCCTCACCCTTCTCTTCAGAAATGGCAGATTTTATATCAATAGAGGATAGAAACCTAAAATAAGAAGCAAAACAAAGAAGAACTTTGTGAATGGTGTTAAGACTGAGGAAAGACAAGATAATTAGATGCTGAATATTAAGTGATCTACTACAAGTCTAATGGACAGAAAGCATAGTAAGAATTAAAGGATCAACTGAGATCAAGAGTATCATCCCCTAGCGATGTTTGAAGGCAGATTCTTCCTTGTTTTAATGAAGTAGGGATCTTAGCACTTTATGAAATTATCTAACTGCATATTGCTTTGTGTTACCTTTTCCCCACTGATCAGTACCAGGCTCAACCAGGACATCATCTGCATCAACCTCTGCAGCAGCAGGTGTCAGCACTCCTGGAGAAGCAGGCACTGAAGCCACAAGTTCTGGTGAGATTGGATTCACTGGGCTGATGACTTAGCCCCTACCCTCAATGCCCTCCTACTAGTGTGCTCACTTGGACCAACTAACCCAATCTGGAAGAGAATCAAGGCTTTAGGAGAGCCAGAAGGGCAGTGTTGTCCTCAGTCTAATGGAATGTGTATGAATATTTACAGTAGTGGTCGTAGACCATAAATATCCCCAAGACTGCCAGCCTTCTTAGTTCTAGGAACCATAAGTATGTTAGTGGGCTCCACCAATCCAATCCATGGAGCATCCGCTAGACAGTGCATGACTGAGTGGAGTCTGGGAAAACTGGAGAGAGAGAGAGATGTCTAACCAAAGTGTGTCAACAGAGCCCATTTTCTGTGTGTAGAGACTGATGTAGAATGGCAAGGAATAGTTAGGGATCAGAGCTCTTTAGCATACTCCGTAACATGAATAGTGAGAGTCTTGGGGAGTTTGGTGTGATCTGCTTTGAGTGTGCTTATAGCCATGGTTATTTGAGGGCTCTTTACAACGTATGACGCTGTGGAATATAAGAGGAGGACATTGTGTGCATGCAATGCTAGTTGGATGAAAGAATCCGCTAGAGATATCAATCCATTATTAATGGAGGAACCTTGGCAGATTTATTGAAATTAGAGCTCTGTTAAAAGTAATTTTAAGCATTTTTATTTCTTCATTAAATGGTGTGTGTATGTGTGGTGTGGTTGGGTAGCTGGTTAATGATTGTTAGTGCATTGCCCACAGAGGCCAGATATGTGGGATTCTTTTGTAACTAGAGTTAGAGATGGTTGTGAGACACCATCTATGAGTTCTGCTTACCAAACCCAGGTCCTCTGAAAGAGCTGCTTATGTCTAAGCCACCAAATATCTCTATCTCTTCAGTCCCAATTAGTGTACTTATTTATTTACTTATAAAAATATTTTTAACTTTTTGTGAACTTTATACAATAGTTTTGGTCACGTGTGTGTCCTTTTCTCGGCTCCTTTCACATCCACCTCGTTTTCCCTACTCACATAACTTTATGGAATCTGTTTTGTAAACCCTAGGTGTCCAGTCTGTGCCTCTTACTGGTTCAGAATGTGCTGAGATAGAAAAACAGAGCTTAAGTTCTCATAGAAAAAAAAAAAACATGTACACATGAGGGTCTATTATCTCTCTGTTCTTCATAGAGTTGTGTTGTAGCATAATAGCGTTTGTACCAGGCTTACTTTTAGACCACCAACCAGCTCTCAAATCAGGCACAGAGACTTAATTATTAGTCATGAATGTTTGGCCTTAACTTAGCTCTTATTTTAATCTGTTTCTTTTTATCTATATTTTGCCCCAGTGCTTTTTACCTTTCCTTCAGATGTCATAGTCTTCTGCTGTTTCTATCTGGTTGGCTGGAGGCTGTCTGACCTCTGAACCTGGGTTCCTTCTATTTCTCCCTGTGGTCCCTCTATTTCTCCTTGTTTTCTTCTTTTCTCCCTCTTGTTCTTCTTGAACCTGGATTCCTCCTCCTGTTTATTCTGCCTAACCTCTTCTGCATAGCTATTGGCCATTCAGCTTTTTATTAGACCAATCAAGTGTCTTAGGCAGGCACAGTGAAACAAATGCAATACATCTTTACATAACTAAATGAATTCACCATAAGTAAATGTAGCATACCTTTACATCCTTAAAAGGCAGCAGAAACAAATGTAACACACTTTCACATAGTTAAAGTAATATTTTTCAGCATAAACAAATGTAACACATCTCTCTCGTTAAAATAATATTCCAGAACTAGTGTTCCCTTCTCTCTTCCCACTTAAACATTTTAAATCATCAATCTATGACAACTTGGGAATGTTATATTAGTCTCTGGCATATGTGTTTGAGTTTGCTGAAGCTAGATGCTTGAATTTGGCTCTTGGATGTGTTGTATAAGAGTAAAGTGACCTTCCTTAGGGCACCGAATTATATCCAATCAGCAGGAACAATTTGATTGATACAGGAGATTTTTGGCAATGGAATATGTATATTTGTCCAATGAATTTATATTAGTTATTTCCTCATCAATTAACATAGAAGTTACCACAAGACAAATATCCACGTTGGGGGAAGGCAGCACACCCAAGGAACAAGCAACCAGAGCCACAAGCCCAGGAATCTATGGTAATTCCAAACATGTACCCAAATAGCTTAAGTGTAGATTTCTTCAAAAACATGACTATTGTGGTAAAGACGGTAAAAATACAGACCATTGAAAGCTTAGTTATTTTCCTAAGACCCTTCAGATGACATACCACAGCTTAATTCACTACTCTTGCTTGCCAGGTTCAACAGAGGGCTCTGTGGAAACCTCTACAATAGCAGGCAAAGGAAGCTCACCTGGGACACCAGGCACTGGGACTGCCAGCACTGTTACACCAGCAGGTCAGACAGGGGCTCTTTAGGGACTGTGGAGGGCACAGCACATGGTTTGGCTATGGGATCAAGACAGGACCAAAACTACTATCGAATCTAAGCACATGTATGAAAGAGAGGATGTGCTTAAAGATTAGTGGAGGAATCTGTGTATATTGACTTCCATTCTCCTTCCCATAGGAAAAAGAGGAGGAACAGATGCAGCCACCACTGCAACCCCTGGAAAGAGCACATCTGGAACAGGTACTGTGAGAGCACAGCTGTAGACTTGTGATCTTAAGCAATGCTTAAGGTTCCAGCACAGATAGCTCCCTGGGACCTTTGTTGCTCATGCTCTGTCAAGTATTCAAAAGATCAGCTACATACCCTAAATCTTAGGGTATATCTTAAAAGCAGAGTCAGATTTCAATTTGACAAAGGAAGTAATGTACAAGTATATGTATGTCTCACTCAACTACAACTTGGGAAGGGAAAAACTAAAATATGTATTTAGGTCTAAGAAGAGGAATAATTAGTCTAGAAACAAAGTCGAGTCCAACACCAAGCTTATCATGTGTGAAGACTGTTCTGGAAAGATAAGTCAAAATCATTTATAGTTGAAACTTGAATTGTGTGCGTAAAAGTATTTTATTTCTGACACATACATTGCTCATTTAGTAGAATACCAGGACTACCTGGTGCACATCACTTCTCTTGGAAAATAACTCTCCCTGCTAGTGACTGTGTGAATAATCATTGCTATGTTTTTATGTAGCTGACGAGACAGTTATAGCCATTGTAGGTGTGAAAAAGCAAGCTTATTTCAAGTTCTATCCACAAGTAGAATTTCCTGCGTGTTTTCTTAAGGTAATATTTTTCCATGGTAGGCACACCCAAAGCATCCTCTGGAATAATCTCAGAAGCAACTGTCAGCCGCACCCCTGGGACGGGAAGAACAGGAGCCCTGGATACTGGTAAGTCCACAGATGTATGTGGTAACTTAGAAACTCTTATACACGAAATGTTATAGAAAGTACTGAGCTATTAAATGAGATTAAACTGGGACAAAATGAGGATTAAGGAACATAATGTTGGATACACCTTTTTCTGTAATCTCCCAACTATTTGGGGTTAACAATAAGGACAAAACACCTGTTGGACACCACCTATTCTCTGCTTGTTTCTTTTTAGATTCTGCATGGACCACCACTGTTAGTTCAGGGGCCCCAGCCAAATCATCCACCTCTGCCAGCACAGAACCAGGTAAGCAAATGGGAAAATTCACTGAGTCTTCAGGTGTCTAATACCTCTGGTAGTTGTTGTCATCCATGGTATTCTGCTATGCTGAAGGATTGAAAAGAATATAAGAAACTGGGTGAAGGAGTTCTATTGCTCATCTACAGCTGGCCTGTAACTGGGGGAGGGATGAATTAGATGCTCTATAATCAGAGAAAACTTCACAGACACCCTGCAAATACTGATAGGGGTTAACAAGTTCAGAATCCTGCCTGCCGTATTTTGCAAGAGTAATAGAGAAGGTTAAATTTACAGTCTTGGCTATGAGTTGAAACACAGAAAATTTTGAAGATAGACACTGAAGAACCTCACAAAATTATGATATCAGTGTCCCTAGTCTGCACACTGCTAAAATCCTTAAGGTAACTTCCAAAATGCTGCCTGGGTTGCAAACAACATGATTCAAATGTCTGGAGAGCTTTTTAAAGAAATGATTTTTAGCAAAGACAAATATTTTCTTCATGACAAGTGAACATCCAGGGAGGCTGATGAATATACATGATTCTCTTGGCTAAATTTCCTGTGAGCAAGAAATGGAGACATGGATATAAATCAGTTAGAGCTGCATTAAGATAAGAGTGCAGGACATATGTTTTACTTTATCATAGACCATGGTGCTGATTTATTATCCACTCTAAAAGGGACCAGTGGGCAATCTTTTGGTGAACAACTGAATGCTCACAGAATAAAGAGACACTTCCTGAAGCTGACTCAGAATTAGAGGATGCATTTTAGATGGCATGACTGTTGTCAAAGGGAAATTCACCCTCAAACAAGACATTTTTTAAGTCACAACAATTGACATTCATCTACGAATTTAAGTGGCATGAAAAACTCCCTCATAAAGAAATATCCATAGTGTAACTAAACCAGAATCTTCTATAATCATTCAGTTCCCATGTAACAAATGATTGGAGGATCAGGCCACCTATAGAAACCAAAGTCCACATAGACTTAAAATGGGAAAACTTTATTATTCTCTCAGGCTCTCCTGAGACTTCAGCTCCCATTTTTTCACCAGCTAGACATCTAGGCACAGACACAGCACTGAGGCCCAGTGTCACCAGTCCTGGAAGCACATCAGGAAACTAAATTTTAGAGCAAAGAATCCTGGTCCTGCCCTATTCCTTACTTCAGATATGATAATCAGAACAGTACTATTCCTAGTGCAGGATCAGACACATACGCTCCTCCCTCAGTGTCATTGCTTGGTCACGTCGTTAGTCTTTTACAAGTTGCTGTCATGTGTATCATTTTGCTATTGGAAGGTCCAGCTGGTGACTTGTTTAAGTTCTCATGGGCATTATTTTTAAAGATAGGCATTTTTAATAGACCATATCAGAGAGAAATGGAAGATTCCCAGCTATAATCAAAGGTACCAATGAAGACAGAATTGACGCAGCCTTATGTTTAGGAAAAAGCAGGAAATGCACGAAATGCCCCTTTCCATAAATGCTTATGCTACCTGTTCTCTGTTTCATCTCAACAACACTACTACACAAAATAAAGACTGCTCAAAAGGTCCAAGTGTCAGAGACTGCAAAGTCATCCATGAAAATTCCATAAAAACAACAAGGGCCACATCAACAGCTATTAAAAATAAGGTCATCTGGGTCCATGTTATTCCAAAATTTTGTTTTAACATGTACTGTGACTTTTTAATTTTTTTTCATTATTTAATCTCAATTCCTAATTTGTAATATAAAGGTATAAAGGCTATGTTCAAAGCACCTGTCTACGGCAGACTGGAATGTTTATTTATTTTTTATTTTTTATATTTTTTTATTATTAAAAATTTCTGCCTTCTCCCCTTCTTCCATTTTCCTTTCCCTCCCCCTCCACTCTCCCCTCCAGTCCAAACAGCAGTAAACTATTGTTTTCTGCACATAGTTTGAGAATTAGAGGTTTGGGTAGAAAGCCTAGGCCTACACTGAGTATGGGTTTCAGCATGTATTGACCAATGTGTACCAGGGCTGTGCTTTTCTTTCCACATCTGATAAAATTAAGCAATAGTATTTTCTGTCTTGTATGTTAATGAGAATGTCAATAGGTTTAATACATTTAGCATAATTGTAAAGGTCACTTTTTAAAATTGGTGACAGTAGGCTCTACTGTACCTCCACCTAGTGGTGATGTAGGCAGCAAACCCAGGGAGCACAGCTCTGAAGTTACCATTCCAACAGGGCCTGCACACCAGTGCACATAAAGAGTAAAGTATCACAGCAGGGCTGTAGGGAGCATGCTTAAAACACACAGGGTTGCAATTATACTATTAATCATATAACCAGAGATATAAGTACATGTTGACACTCCTATTGCCTAGTTTTCGGGGCCAAAGTGAAAGAAATTGGGAACCTGAATATTATTCTTTTGAGTAGAGCAGGACCTTGAGTGTGAACATAACATGAACCATCAGTGTGAGCACAGCAGGATATAAGTGTGAAAATAGCACAACTATTAGGGTGAGCACAACGGCACCATGAGTGGGGATATGTGGGTAATGAAACATGATCAAGGACAATTTTCAATGAACTGATGGCAGGAAGTAATGATTTCCATTCAGAAAGGACAGATATTGCATTTGCATAAGATACAAACACAAAATAATAAGCAGGACAGAAAGGAATTGTGGAAGCTGTATCAATTGTATTCTGGACATGAGAATAGACAAGAACACTCAAGGCTGAATTTTAAGAAATCAAAAAGATTGCTTTTTCCTCAAAGGAAAATCATTAACAGAATAAATTAATAATAAGAATGGTATGATTTGCGAAGATCTGGAATCTCACAATCCAGTTATGTTTGTGTGTATATATATCATTTCTAACAAAAAAGTAATCAGGCTCAATAGTCCGTCAATGGAAGTTTATAGCTTCAATGAATCTCAGTCTAATGTTTTTCCACTTGATCAACCTAAGGCTCCCCTGGGGCATCATCTGGATCAAGCCCTGGTACAGCAGGTGCCAGCACTCCTGGAGAAGTCAGCACTGGAGCCACAAGTTCAGGTGGGATACAATAGGCTCAGATAATGACCTAATAGCTAATGCCCAGTCCCTGCTGAATAGAGAGCCCATTGGCTCTCCTGGGTTTAACTGAATGATATCGCAGTGCTGAGAAGTGCTGGTAGATCATCACTTTTCATTTTCATTTTCTGAACTTCTAAACTATTTACAGTAAAACAAGAAAAGCAATTAGGTCCACAACTCTCAATTTGTTCTTTGTTCTAGGAACCATAGACGCTTCTGGAGGGTTCACCATTGTGAGTCCTGGAACATCGACTAGACCAGTCATGACCTCTGCTAGGAGCAGTGCAGGTGAGAGAGAGAAAGAGAGAGAGGAGAGTGTGGGGGTTTGGATTGTGTGTGTGCATCATGGACCCCATTCCTTTTTCTGTATGTGGTTACTGGTAAGCAAGAGAAAGGAGTGGTAGAAAGGTTGGAGAGATGCCTCAGCAAATAAGAGTACTGGAATATCTTGTACAAGTCCTGTGTTCAATTCCCAGCCACCACATGATTATTCACAACCATTTGTAGTGAGATATGGCCCATAAGTAAATCTTAAAAGAAAAAGAAAGGGGTAGTAGGAAATTGATAATATAAGGGCTACTGCATGAAAATCTGTAATGACGGGTGGAGAAGAACATATTGCTGTCGTTGGCCTGAATGTGCATATGGTCGCAGTGTTTTGAGAACTCCTTACAGCCTGTGAGGCTATTGAAATGGGAAAATGACTTGTAGTGAAACTTAGATAGGAGAATCAGTAGGGATCATTTTGTTATATAAAGGAAGGAACCTTCAGACTCACTGAGCTTGTATCTACATTAGAAAGAGTTCTAAAGGTTCAATTAATTCCATTGTGGAACCTCACTTTAGAAGCACTCAGCTCAGTTTAGGGACATTAAATACATTAGGAAATGCCTAAATCAAATGTATTCAATATATAATGGAGCACACACAATTACTTTAACAACTGTGTATATTTTACGATTAAATTTTGGAAATGTTCAATAGGAAATGAAGAAGTAAAAACGAATATATGAAGGAGATGTGAAATCAGAGTGTGGGTTGCATGTTGTGGTTGAGCAGAGGTCCTAATATCTGTTTACTGTCTAATATGAAAGGGAGCACTGGACAATCAGCTGGTGAAACAACTAGAGCCTTTAGCAGTGGATCAACCCAGCCTGGAGACCAATCAGGTGAGCAAGTGGTCAGAATCGTGGAGTCATCACCTTGTTTCTTACCTAAAGCACAGGAGCTGCATCAGATGTATGGACATCTGGTTGACCCAATCCCACTAATTTCAGGTTCTTAACTGTGTGTGTGTAAAAACACTGCCAGAAGAGAAAACAAACATATTTGAGATTATCACAGTAGAATAATAGTTTTGGAAAGTCCAGGCTGTCATTCACTTCATTCATCTATTTTATTTTCTTAAGAAGAAATAAGATATAAAACGATTACCCCATTGGCAATCAAGCTCTTCCAGACTTCCAGACTTCTAATGAGAAGTTCTTTGGATGTTTTATATAGACTCTGCTGCTCTTACCTCCTCAGTGGGAAATGCAGGCACCACAACAACCATGCACTCCAGCCTCACCAGTTCTGGGGCCACAGAAGGTAAACTCAGTTGTGAATGAGAATCCTGACCCAAGTCTGTTATCGGTGAATGCTGAGCACACATTTTTTTGATATGCAATGTGATGCTTACTTATTCCTTGTATTAATTGAATTGTGATATATTTAATCTTTCACAAGAACAGTAATGTATCATATTAATATCTTATGCTCATCCTTGACTGTTGGAAATGCTCATGTAGGTATTGTGTCGCTAACTGCATTTTCTGCACCTTATTAGATACAACTCTAGCATCTTCAGATGTAACAACGGCAATAGCCAACTGGAAAGGGAATACCAATGGAACAGCATTTAGAGAAAGAGAACAAACTAAGTAAACAGAAAAATGGCAAAAAAATCAGTAAAACCATGATGTACCTTCTTGATACCCCAGGGGTCCCCTATTACCTATACCTAGTAAATCAGTCAACATTAATTGATAAGTGAGATAATTTCTGCAAGTTGAGATATTAGTGCATATAAAAAGGCAAAAACAGCATTAGAATTAACATTCTGAATTCTACCCCTTTCACTGATCCGTGGCCAAAAGCTTAAGCCACCAAGGCACTCATCCTAAGGAACGTGGACTATTGAGAATCTTGACTTGAAATGTATGACTTAGACACTTTGCAACATAATGTAAATCTATTAAATAGTCCTTAAAAGTGGAATGTATACAGAGTGTCTTAGTCAAGGAAACTATGGCTGTAACAACACACCATGACCAAGGCTACTTATAACAGGGAACATTTAATTTTGGGCCTACTTACTGACTCAAATGTGTAGTCTGTGGTCGTCATAGTAGAAAACATGGTGGCAGGCATGCAGTCGCAGTGCTAGAGCAGTAGCTGAAGTTCTACTTCCTGTTCGGTAAGCAGAAGGTAGAGAAAGAATTAAATTGAGCCTGGCATGGGCTTTAGATATCTGATAACTCATCCACGGTCACGCATCTTCTCAACAAGTCATGCATTCTCCAACGAGGTCAGATATCTGACAACCAGGTTATACCTCTGAATCCTTCCAAAACAGTTCAACAAACTGGGGAACAAGTATTCAATTATACGAGTGAACATATGAGGACCATTATCCTTCAGACTGCCACCCATCATTCAAGAGAATTAGTAATCCAGCATCCTTTAAGGGATCAGAATTGTAAAGTGATGGCCATGAAGCCACGCTTCCTAAATTTTGCATCAGAGATACTGGGCTTCAAAGAAGGCCTTTTCAGTGGAGACTAGTGTGAGAGGCAAAGTTTGGTTCTCAGCTGGTAGTGACCCCACACTGCTGTTTATAGGGGTGATGTGCTGAGTTGTAAAACAGAGCTCCAGCGCCAGGGAAAACACAATGGAGTGTGCTTGTTTGTTGAAAAAAAGACTTTATTTGGATGAGTTTTTTTTTAATCCTTTTTTATTTCTCTTTGCATTGACTACAGTTTCAAAACTTAAATATATGAGCTTGAGAATGGTGTGTTGCTAAGGATTTAAGGACTGAAGCAGAAGTTAGACGCTTAAATTTCACGTGAATGTGGTCTTCTTTTAATATTTTTATTTTTTAAAAAAATTACTTTTCATTTTACATACCAACCCCAGTTTTCCCTCCTTTCCCCACTCCCCCACTTCCCCCGCTTCTCTTAACTGGTTAGGTGACCTGGTGTATAGCCCTGAATCACATCTAATCGACAAGAACAAGAAGGCCAGATAGAGAGGATCGAAACAATGTGGATTATTATATTTGTGTCTAGGGCAATTTCAATCATGATTTTCTCATCATAGGCAAAGAAAGCCCCACGACGTCAGTGTCTACTGAAGGAGAAGGCAGCACACACAGGGGACAAAACACTGGAGCTACAAGCCCAGAAACCTCAGGTAATTGCAAACGTACACCTGAGTGCCAGAAATGGGTCCAAGCAGTTGAAAGCACAATGCTGTCACAAATATGGTAGGAAGGCAGACTGTTGAATGCTTGATTATATTCCCCAGAATCCTTTTCAAAGTAGCACCACATTAAAATCATTGTTCTTGCTTGACAGTTTCAACAGGGGCCTCTGCTGGAACCACCTCAGGAGAAGCAAAGGGAAGCTCAGCCGAAACACCAGGCACTGAGATCACTATTTCTGCTACATCGACAGGTTAGAAAGGGCATCTTCAGAGTCTGGCAGTGGATCAGTACATGGTTGCAAGAAGATTTCCAAAAAGAATATAAATGTTAATTGCAAATGTAATTTTATTAAATGTTTTCAAGACTTTTTCTTGATATATGTAACTATTCAACACCATTCTTCTTCCAACAGTAACTAAAGGAAGAGCAGACACAGCAAGCAATGGATTCTCTGAGGAAACCACATCTGGAGAAAAAGGTACTGAGGGTGTCCATCAGAGGGACATCAAGCAGGAGACTTTTGGACATGGTGTGCAAAATTAATTCAGTGTTCCTGTTTCCTGGGAATTTTCACACCATTTTCCATATGTTGCCAACTGCCCTGGATATATGATATAAACATGATATGTTTGGTATGTTCTTAATATGCTCTGTTGTGCAGTGTGGGATATAGAGAATGGAGGGAGGGTGTTAATTGCCTCGCTCTCCTTCCCTTTGGAAAGTCTGGAAATTATATTGCAGATTTACATAAAAGCGGAAGCAGAACAAGGAGGAATTGCGGGAATGTGTGGTGTTTTGGAAATGAGGAAGAACAACATTATTCAGTTTTGAATATTTAGTGATCTACCCAGATGCTATGAAGAATGAATTTCCTAATGACTAAAATACACATCATAATTAGTGAGAAATTGAAATAAAAAGTCTTTGCCTCTCAGCAGTTTTGTAGGCAGATTCATTCTTTTTTAAAGGAAGAAGTGAGAAGAAATATTATCACTTTCAGAAAATATCAAGTTTCACTTTATCTTGGGCTGACCTCTTACCTACTAATGAGTGTCAGGCTCAACCAGGGCATCATCTGTGTCATCTGCTGAAGTAGCAGGTGTCAGCACTTCTGAAGAAGCACACAGGTTCTTACCATGGAGCCAAAGGTTCTTACAATATTTGATTGGCTGAAGTGATGCCTTAGCAGCTCCACTCAATACTTTCTAAGCAATGTGCTTGTTTTATATCCCGACTCAATCTGAATTAGATTGCAGGGCCTAAGGAAAACTTGAAGGATAATGAATGTCCATTAGTTTAATGGGCCTTGTAAATTATTCACATTATAGTAGGGATAATATGAAGATTCTCAAAACTGTCACCCTTCTTGGGTTCTAGGAACCATGTGCTATCAAGTAGTCTCTACCAATCCAGTTCATGGAAACGCAACTAGGCAAAGCAACAACTTCCATTAGCAGAAGTCTAGCAAAATTAGAGAGAAAAATATCCAAATGAATTGTGTGCACACGGCTGTATTTCTGTGTGTGGAGTTTGTTTTAGAATGGGAAGGTATGATTAAGGATCAGATCTATTCATGCTACTCTATAATCATTAGTAGTGAGAGTTTGGGGAATATTTGATGAGGTTGGGATCATCTCTGAGTGTGCTCATGGTCACGGTGACTTTAGGATTTTTACAAATTATGAAGCTGTAGATTATAAGATAGTGGGTGTGATATGCAATACTAGTTGGATAAAAGAATCCACTAGAGATAATTTAGGACAAGTAATAGTTGTGAGCCAAGTTATAGGGGTTCTAGTAACCAAAAATGTCATAGCAAATAGCAGGAAGTTCTCAAAGGTAACTTAATCTACAGTCCCAATAAGGTTTTTATTTATATTTTAAAATAGTTATTAAATTTTGAGGATTTCTTACAATATATTTTGGTCACATACATGCCCTTTTACATGAACTCCTTTTATATCTACCACTCCTTCACTACTAACCTAACATTTGCAGTCTTTAATTTTAAGCCTGAGGGGTCTGGCCTGTGCATTTTGCTGGTTCATGACATACTGAAATAGAAGCAGAGCTTATTAATTTGGAAAGAAACATCTTGACCTGAGGAGCTGTTATCACTCTGATGTCCATAGATTTGTGTTGTAACATAACAGCCCTTCCCTTCTCTCATCTCACTTAGGCATTTTAAAGCCTCAGTCTTTGACAGCTTGGGAAAGTTAGATCAGACTCTGGCACATGTGTCTGAGTTTTCTGGAGCTAGATGCTTGAGTTTGGCTCTTGGAGGTGCGGTATATTAGTAAGGTGACCTTCATTAGCTCTCTGAATTATATCCAATCAAAGTGAACAATTTGACTGATAGAGGGGAATTTTGCCAATATAAGTAGTATTATTTGTCCAATGTATTTCAATTATTTTCCCCTCAATTCATATAGAAGTTACCACTACACCTATATCCAGTGATGAGACAGGCTCTGGATCTGAGGAACAAGACACCGGAGCCACTAGCCCAAGAACCTCAGGTAATTCCTAATGTGGACCTGGGTGTCTTAAATGTGCACCACTAGGAAAACCTGAATATACAAATGAAGATAGAAGTGGCATTGCCTTGTTCTTAGGAAATAAGCAGGAAATGCCCCTTTCCAATGGTGCTTGCAGATTGTTCTCTGCTTCATCTCACCAAATCTACTGTACATAGTCAAGACTCAGCTCAAAAGAGCCAAGTATCAGAGGCAGTAAAGTTATACAGAAAAATTCCAGAAAAATACAAGTACCACATCAGCAGTTATTAAGGATATGGTCACATGAGACAGCTTCATTCCAGAATTGTACTTAAACATGAACAGAAACGTTTTAAAACTTTTCATCATTTTGCCTTATTTCTTAATTAATGTTGTGAAGGTTCTATTCAAAGCCTTCATCCTCTACAGACTGGAATGCTAGCAAGACTATTGTTCTGTTGTACATAGCTTGAGGATTAGAGGTTTGGGTAGAAATCCAAAGCCTAGACTGCTTGAATTTGGTTCTCAGCCTACTCTAAATCAATGTATGCCAGGTCTTTCACCACAGATGATAAAATATGACTTCCTTCTGTGGATGTTGATGTGAATGTTCAGTGCGTTGATGACAGCTGTGATGATTCTAAATGCCATTTTCTTTTTAATTGGTAACAGCAGGCCCTACCACACCTACACCTAGTGGTGATACACCCACACCTAGCGGTGAAGAACACAGCACACCTGGAGAACACAGTTCTACAACGACCATTCCAGGAGAGTCAGGTAGGTCAAGATTTAATCATCTATGCCTATGATGGGGAAAGTATCACAGTGGAATGTAGGAGATATGAATGTATATGAATATATAAGAGTGCACATGTGCCCACGTTTGCTAATTTCCCACACCATATGCATAGGCATATGATGAAGCCCCTACTACCTAGTTAGTCAGGAATTGAGGGGGAGTAATTGGGAACTTCAGGTCATGCATGAGAGCACAGCAGGACCCTGAATGTGAGCACAGCAGGACTGTGAGTGTGAGCACAGCAGCATCCTGAGGGTGAGCAAAGCAGGACCCTGAGTGTGAGCACAGCAGGACTGTGAGTGTGAGCACAGCAACATCCTGAGGGTGAGCAAAGCAGGACCCTGAGTGTGAACAAACAAGACAATGGCTCTCTAGACAGCAGGACAATGAGTGTAAGCACAGGAGGACTATGAGTAAAAGCAAGTAGAACCATGGATGTGAGTACAGCAGGACTATGAGTGTAAACACAGCAGAATTATGAGTGTGAGCAAGCAGCAACATGAGTGTGAGCACAGCAGTACTATGTGTGTGAGCACAGCAGTACTATGTGTGTGAGCACAGCAGTACTATGTACTTGAGTACAGCAGAACCATGAGTGTGAGTACAGCAGAACCATGAGTGTGAGCACAGCAGAACCATGAGTGTGAGTATAGCAGAACCATGAGTGTGAGCACAGCAGAACCATGAGTGTGAGCACAGCAGAATCATGAGTGTGAACACAGCAGAACCATGAGTGTGAACACAGCAGAACTTTGTGTGTGAGCACAGCAAGATCATAAGCCTGAGTGTATCAGGAGTATGAGTGTGAGCAAATCGGGACTCTGGGTGTTATCACAGCAGGATCATGAGTGTGAGCACAGCAGTCCTAAAAGTGTAAGCAAAGCAGGCTTTAAGTTTGAGTATACAAACACCATGATGATTAGCATAGCAGGATTTGAGTGTGAATAAGGCAGGACTATGGGTGGAGTACAGCAGAACCAAGAGAATAAATACAGAAGAAACATTAGACCCTGCTGCCTCAACAAGCACAACACAGTGTCCCCCTACTTAGATCCAGGCCAACTGTCTCCAAGGCTTAGAGTGGGAAATGAGATAAGGAAAGGTGATCGAGGACAGCTCTAAAGGAACCAAGGCTTTGGAGGAATGATCAAATACCATGGAGATGGCTTTCTTCACTGTTCAATTCTATAGGCTCATTTCATCCCACAGGGACAAGTAGGGGAGCAGGTGCAACTACAACAGGAACCACTGCAGGAAGCACATCTGGAAGGACAGGTACTGAGGGAGGGGCAGGGGAAGGTGATAGGAAGCAGAAGACCTGAGAGATTAGTGACCAGATTCCATCAGTGTTGAAAATTTTTCTGGAGATTTGTTAAATGAAAAAAATCCATTTTTTCCATTGTAAGGCTAAGTGCTCCAGAGATGAGAAAGACAAGGACATTTACATTCTGAATAGTTTATGGGATGCTGTGAAAAATGATAGATTGATGACAATGGCCTCAGAGATAAGAAATAGTCCAATTCTATTGGCTGTATCCCTAATATTCTATATGATGCTGTGTGAAATACAGAACAATATGAAGTGGGTGTTTATCCACTCTGCTTCCATTTGGAAAAGAAAGATAATGTATTTACATAATTGGTGACTAACCCACTTCTCATCAGAGAGCATTCATCTAATAACTAATGGAAACACATACCAGAGACCCACTGTCAAGCATTGGACTTAGCTCAGGGAATCCTGTAGAAGAGAGGAAGGAAGGGCTGGGCAAGCCAGTGGGCGGGAGAGGGGTGGGTATTGAGGACATCACAAGGCAACTCACAGGAACAACTAACCAGAATCACACGAACTCACAGAGTCTTAACCAACAACCAGAAAGCCTGCAAGGAAACGATCTAGGCCCTCTACATATATGTGACCGTTATGTAGCTTGATCTTCATGTAGGACTCTTAGTAGGAACAGGGACTGGTCCTAATACTTTCTGGCTTTGGGGAACCTATACCTCATACTGGTTTGCTTTGACCAGCCTTAAGAGAATGGAAGTTGCTTAGTGCTACTGCAACTTGATAGGCCTTATTTTGTTGATACCCAGGGGGGAATGCCTAATTTTGAACAGAAGCAGAGAAGGAATGGGTTATTGGGTGGATGGGAGGTGGAAGTAGGGAATGGCAAGAGAGGAGAGAAGGGAAATTGTGGACAGAGTGTATAATTTAAAATAAGATATAAACATAAAATAACTAACAGGACAGAAAGAATTGTGTGCATTGTGTCAATGGTATTATAGGCATGAAGAAAACTAAGATCACTCAATGTTGAGTACCGAGAAATAGACATGATTGGTCTTTCTTAAATGAAAACATTAATGGAGTGAGTTCAAAATAAGAATGGTGTTATTTACCAAGATCTGAAGTCTTTCTCGCCAGTTATGAATGTTTATAGATATATGATTTTTCAGGAAAAGCTCATTCATAATAGTTTATAACTTCACAAAATCTCAGTCTAACATTTTTTCTGCTTGATCAACGACATAAGGCTCCCCTGGGGCATCATCTGGATCAAGCCCTGCTACAGCAGGTGCCAGCACTCCTGGAGAAACAAAAGTGACTATGTGGAAATGCAGACCATTGAAAGTTAGACTGCATTTCCCAGGAGCCACTTAAAAGAAGCACTACATTAGAATCCAGCATTCGTGGTTGCCAGGTTCAGCAGGGGGATCTCTGGGAACCAGTTCAGAACTGTCAAGGGAAGCTCACCAGGCACTGGTGCCTCTGGCACTGTTCCAACACCAGGTCAGGCAAGATGTTGGCTCTCAGCCTTCTCTGCTGTCCCTCCGTCTCTCCACCCCCCTTTCCTCATGTACCCTTTTTCTACTTTATCCCATTTTCTTCTCCATCCCCTTCTTCGAGACCACTTTTTTCCCATTTCATGGACCATTATCTTATTTCTTGGCCTTGACTCATATTTGCTCTTATCTCGATGCATTTGTTTCATAGCCGGAGGCTAAAATCCTCACATGAGAGGAATGTGTTGTCTTCCTGAGTCTAGGTTACCTCAATTTAAATGCTTTATATCCATCCATGTTCTGGCACATGTATAATCCTGTTTTGCATCTGTATCATATTTTTATCATTACCTTTCCTGTTGACAGATCTAGGCTAATTCTATTTCGTTACTATTATGAAAAAGAGCAACATTATAAGGATGCACAGATGCCTCTGCAGTAAAGATATGCAGTCTTTGGGTATCTGCCCAGAGCTCACTTTTAGATAAGGGGTGTTTTTAGTTGTAGTTAAAAATAACAGATATATTCTGCTTTGAGAAGATCATATTGCCAGCATATGATGATGCTGATCTATACACCTTAAGTAATGTCTGAGGACACAGGGAAGTGCCATGTAGTTTTAGGACTACATCCAATTTCAAGGACCACAAGGACATATATATATATTTTAGGTGCTGGAAAAGCAGAGGTGAAAATAATCTCTAAACTTAGAATCGATTCCTGCAAAGTCGAAATAATAAAAAATAGCCTGTTGGTTATTGAAGCAGGGTTAGATGCACAGCAGCCTACAAAGGACCGTGCATCCAAGTCCATACAATCTGCTGGCTTCATGTACACAGAGTCATCAATAAAAGCCCTCAAGCGGAAGGCCTTAAAAGAATCATTGGTTTAAAAACAAGTCCCACTGTATCATCCTCTGGAAAAGATGCGCCTGGATGCAGTGTTCATGAATGAATGCGTGGAGGAATTATCTTATCTCTTAAATATCTTGTCTCTGTTCCAATGTCTAATTAACTGCCTCAATATTTCCTTATATCACAAATACTTTTACCAAAAGTACAATGTAATTAAGTGGCAAGATCGGCTTGTACTGAGTGTATACCAGTGCTCAAAGAGTTCATGGCACAAATGGGGTTTTGTGTCATGCAAGGTGAGAGAGTGACAGATACATAAACTAGAACATGCAGGGACTTCTATCAGTCACAGAAAAGGATGCAAAGTCTGTATTTGGAGGACTTGGAAAGGACAGAAAAGACTCAGGAGACTGAGAGGGAAGCCTGCCTCCCCTGGAAACAGTATTATATTCCTCATAGTAGTGGTGAGAGACCAGCAAGGGAATCAAAAGAGAGATGAGGGAAGATCCCATCAGTGGCAGAACATCAAGTAGAGATCAGAGCCAGGACGAATCAGCCCCTTCTTGAAAGAAAATTAACAGGAGAATGTCGGAAATCAGCAGGGAGAAAGCATTCTCGGAGTTGAAAGAGTGAGGGTAAGAGGGTGCACAGAAAGTTAACTGAGCATCTAGCGAGAATACTGACATTGTCTAGAGCAGAGGGGGGTATTTTGGAATGTGGAAGAATCCCTGGGCAGCCTAGGTATCCAAGGGAACAATGAAGCGTGGGAAGACAAGGTTGTGTTCTTGTAGGTCAGAAGTCAGATGAAAAAAAAGGCCCACTTATAAAAAACTTCCCTTTTCTATAAGAACGTAAGAGGGAGCCCTCAGTCTGGGAATCATGGGGCACACTGAAAGCCCATCTGCTGCTGCATAGAGCTCCTGCTGCTACACCGCCAGGGAAAGCCAGTCCAGGAAAATCAAGAAGAGAACTCTGATCTCTGTACATAATCACTGTGCAGTTATTCATTTGTGTAAATTGAAAAATTCAGTTATAAAAACATTTCAGTTATAGTAAGCAAGTTCTAAAAAAATGAAAAAGATCATGAAACAAGATGAAAATGAAGCATTAGAGCGATTTTAACTAAAAATAGATAAGGGTATAAAGAAATGTAAAATGTGAATTTGGAATAAGAGTATATGAGTATATAAGAGGATTATAAATAGCAGAATTATCAAAGAGCAATTGGTGAAAACCAAAGAAGCAGATCAGAGGGAAATAAAAATTCTTTCAAACATGAAGGATAAATAACAAGTTGCCCAACAAAAAATAAAAAAGAATAAAAATAAGGAAAAGGGATCTGGAGGAAGGAATAGGACCAAGTGAGTAAAGGCCTCCCGCCCAAATATTACAGATACTGTTAATTTAATTTTTAGACAGTGTCTCATGGATATAACAACAATTAATAAAAAAAAGATACTATGAACTTGAAAGAGCAGGCAGAACTATGTTTGATGGGAGGAAAAGGAAGAAATGCATAATTATAATATCAAAAATAAAATAAAAATATATTAATAGGGCAGGCAGAAATAATAAAAGATGAAAATTAGATAAACATTGCTAAGTAGCAGGCAGGAGGTGGCCAAATGAGTCATTAAGGGTTCATGAATGAAGTGAGAGGAAGGTAGCATTGCTAAGGTTGAAAAATGAACCTTCAGGAAAAAGATGTTTAATAACTTCTGTTAATTAAGTGAAGGTATCCTCAAGATTAGGAAGCTCAGTGATGAAATTCTGAACAATAATCGGTCTGAGAAAAATAGAAAAAACAGTTTTCCCCAGAGAGGCAAAAAAGACATTGGATTACCATTGTCTCACAGAGAATATCAAACATAGGAGGAATAAATGAATTTTTCCATAAAATTATCTAGATTCCTTAGCCTTTAACTCCATATCTTAGTACAGAATCACCAGGCTCATTCCCTGACTGCAGGCGGGAAAAATGACAATGGCAGGTACCATCCCATAACCATCCAACAATTTTACAGTTAAAAATAAGCTGGACTAGGTAGGGATTGGAGGCATGGGGTTTGAAATAGATGATCAAATTCACATACCTCCAAATTGTAAAATCAAACCAGACTGAAATGTCATTTCTCACTTTTCGGATTGGCAGAAATCCAAACGTTTGACAACAGTGCTGTTGACAGGTCGGGCAGAAACAGGTAGTGCCTGGCAGATGGGCACGCACCATGAGACACCCCATGGAAGCCTGCCAGACAAAAGGAACAGAACTACAGTCATTTACCCTTTGGCTCAACAGCCTGCAACAGGGCTCTGTGATGCAGTACAAGATGACATATCCATACGCCGCTCATGCTGGTTGCTGGTGTTTTGCTTTGTTTTGTTTTTAAGAGAAGCAGATCAGAAACAAAAAGCTTGTCTTCAGTAAAGAGGGTCGGGATGGGAGTGGGGCGGTAGGAGGGAAAGTCTGTTGCACATTTGACCATCTCACCATGACGAAGGACTAAGGAGGAGGCACTAGTATAAAGGTCTGTTTCCATATGTGATCAGGGAAAAAGCAGAAACAAAGCCTAGATGCAATCTACAGCCTTATTTCTGTAAAAGGGGTGGGTGTCCATATGCACGCACGTTGTGCAAGGGTTGACATGCTTGCCTCATGTGTACGAATGTGCTTACAGAAAGCAGAAGGTGGGAGAAAGAGACTAGGAAGCCCCAAATTCTCCTAGTGTTCCACTGAGTTGCTTGTCATAACAACTTATTTTTTTTTATCCTTTCATAATCATCCCACAGATTGAAATTGTACATGAGCTTATTTGTGGCACAAATTCAGCCTCGGAGTTTCTACAAAGAAACGGAAAGATTTGCATGTTATTAGGCTTAGCCAGTGACTCTTCGACATTTTATGAATTAAGGTTAATTGTTGTTGGTTAAGAATTATTACCATACAACATTCTGGAGCAGAGAATATAAACAGGACTTTAATGAAGGATACTGACCTGGTAGTTGAGGAAGAACAGCTATAATAGTTCAGTTAAGATGGAAGGCTATGTGACTCAGATAACAAAACTAGTCATGGGAGCAGCCTGAGTCCAGTAGCTTATTTGAGTTGAGCATGATTATATTACTTTAATCTTCTCTCTCTTCGTTTAGCAGGGACACCTGGAGTCTCAGCCAAATCAAGTGTAGCAACAGGAAGAACCACCAGCCTGCCAGGCAGTGAGTTTGCCTTGGGATGCAGGGAAGGGTCAAATAATCACAGAAGTCTATCCATTCTGATCAATTGGTATTGATCACAGACAAAACCACTGAAATATTTGGAAAAGAGTGGGGACGCAATGGGAACAAAAAAGAGTATTTAGTAATTGACTTCGTTTCCCAGAAACTTTAGAAGTTGATCTAATCCCAACTTTTTTGCATGTTGTTTGGGTAGGACAGATGAGTCTATGGGAGCTACCAAGGGGCAAGGCAGCACAGGCAGAGCATCTGGGGCCACCAACTCAGAACACCAAACAGGGAGGCACGGCACATCAAACTGTTCCAGCAATGATCAACACAAAGACATCAGGAATTTATAACTCTGAGAGTAATTTTTAAAAGATCCAATTATGAGAATGATTGATATAAATTAAAGCTCATAAAATTGCTCTTACTTTCACCATGAGTTTTTACATGCATAGCATTTGTAAGAAAGCAAAGTTCTATAGATAAAATCTTGTTGTTTTCAAATTGGATCTAACTGAAACACCAGAGCTGGCGACTAATTGTGGCTTTGGGTGAAGCTGCAATATTGTTTATATTGAAAATGATGCATAACTGGTACAAATTGGAGATCTTAGATCAAAATTTGATAGAGCAAGGACTTTGCTAATAAATCAATTATAAATTACTTAAAGAACCAACTAAATTTTGGAAACATTACATTTATTGAGATATTGCTATTATAATTATTATGGGAGAAATACTGATAAAGAAATATACAAATTGTGTAAGGGCTATTGTTACCTCTTACTGAGCAGTGCCTATAGTAAAAGACTTTTGTTCCTAGAGCTGAAGATATAGGTGAAAAAAATAATTGAATTGATGGTCAAAATTTTTAAGAAAAAAAGATTAAAAACTTTCTAAAAATTGTAACTGAGAGACTAGTGTTTACTTATGTTGGTTTTTAAAAGATATATTGAATAAAATTAACTATTACAGGAACAACTTTTGTGTCGAATGGAATTACAGAGAGAACTGCATCATCCCTTGGACAACATACAACTACTGGACCATCATCTAAAGAACAAGAAACAACTAAAGTATCAGCAACTGGCACACAGTCAACGGGCACATCAATGGAAGGAACTGTGGGGAAGGCAACATCAGCTGGAGAACCGACAATAACTAGACAAAGATCTAGAGTTACAATGACGTCTGGACACACACCTGGGACCACATCAGCAACTAGTAGATCAGTTTCAGTGTCAGGAAGTACTGAGACAAATGGTGAAGTGTCTGTGACATCTGGTCAGACAACCATGGTGACTGTAACATCTTCACTATCACCTGAAGTGAGGAAGACATCCACAAAGTCAGTTGATAGCACACTGAGATCTACTGTAGCTTTAGATCAAACTGTAGTGTCTTCTGGCCCTACTACAACAACTGGACCTTCATCATCTCAAGGACTACAAACAAGTAGAGAAACTGTCACAGGAACAAGAACAACTCGTGTGTCCACTGGCATTACAGAGCAAACTGCACAATCCATTGAATCATCACTAACTACTGGACCATCATCTAAAGCACCAGAAACAACTAAAGTGTCCTTAACTGACACACAGTCCACTGGCCCATCCACTGAAGGATTAGTGACTAAAGCAACATCAGATAAAGAAGCAACCATAACTACAGCAAGACTTGGAGAGGCAGTGACATCTGGACAAACACCTGGGAGCACATCAGCAACTAGTCTGTCAGTTTCAGTGTCAGGAAGTACAGAGACAAATGGTGAATTGTCTGTAATATCTGGTCAGACAACTAGGGTGACTGTAACATCGACCCAATCACCTGACATAAGGGAGCGATCCACAAATTCAGTTGAAAGCACACTGGGATCTACTGTAGCTTTAGATCAAACTGTAGTGTCTTCAGGCCCTACTACAACAACTGGGCTTTCATCATCTCAAGGACTACAAACAAGTAGGGAAATTGTTATAGGAACAGGAACAACTGGTGTGTCCACTGGCCTTACAGAGCAAACTGCACAATTTGTTGAATCATCACCAACTACTGGACCATTATCTAAAGCACCAGAAACAACTAAAGTGTCCTTAACTGTCACACAGTCCCCTAGTCCATCAACTGAAGGAATTGTGACAAAATCAACATCAGTTGGAGAAACAACCAAAACTACAGCAAGACTTAGAGAGGCAGTGACATCTGGACAAACACCTGGGACCACATCAGCAACTAGTCCCTCAGTTTCAGTGTCAGGAAGTACAGTGACAATTGGTGAAGTGGCTGTGACATCAGGCAAGACAACTAGGGTGACTGTAACATCTGTCCAATCAGCTGAAGTGAGGGAGACATCCACAAAGTCAGCAGATAGCACCCTGGCATCTACTGTACCTTTAGATCAAACTATTGTATCTTCTGGCCCTACTACAACAACTGTACCTTCATCATCTCAGGGACTACAAACAAGTAGAAAAACTGTTATAGGAACAGGAACAACCAGTGTGTTGACTGAAATTACAGAGAGAACTGCATCATCCCTTGGACAACATACAACTACTGGACCATCATCTAAAGAACAAGAAACAACTAAAGTATCAGCAACTGGCACACAGTCAACGGGCACATCAATGGAAGGAACTGTGGGGAAGGCAACATCAGCTGGAGAACCGACAGTAACTACACAAAGATCTAGAGTTACAATGACGTCTGGACACACACCTGGGACCACATCAACAACTACTACATCAGTTTCACTGTCAGGAAGTACCGATACAAATGGTGCAGTGTCTGTGATATCTGGTCAGACAACCATGGTGACTGTAACATCTTCACTATCACCTGAAGTGAAGGAGACATCCACAAAGTCAGTTGATAGCACACTGAGATCTACTGTAGCTTTAGATCAAACTGTAGTGTCTTCTGGCCCTACTACAACAACTGGACCTTCATCATCTCAAGGACTACAAACAAGTAGAGAAACTGTCACAGGAAAAAGAACAACTCGTGTGTCAACTAGCATTACAGAGCAAACTGCACAATCCATTGAATCATCACTAACTACTGGACCATCATCTAAAGCACCAGAAACAACTAAAGTGTCCTTAACTGACACACAGTCCACTGGCCCATCCACTGAAGGATTAGTGACTAAAGCAACATCAGATAAAGAAGCAACCATAACTACAGCAAGACTTGGAGAGGCAGTGACATCTGGACAAACACCTGGGAGCACATCAGCAACTAGTCTGTCAGTTTCATTGTCAGGAAGTACAGGGACAAATGGTAAAGTATCTGTAACATCTGGTCAGACAACTAGGGTGACTGTAACATCGACCCAATCACCTGACATAAAGGAGAGATCCACAAAGTCAGCAGATAGGACACTGGCATCTACTGTACCTTTAGATCAAACTGTAGTGTCTTCCGGCCCTACTACAACCACTGGACCTTCATCTCAAGGACTACAAACAAGTAGAAAAACTGTTATAGGAACAGGAACAACCAGTGTGTTGACTGAAATTACAGAGAGAACTGCATCATCTCTTGGACAACATACAACTACTGGACCATCATCTAAAGAACCAGAAACAACTAAAGTATCAGCAACTGGCACACAGTCCACTGGCCCATCAACTGAAGGAATTATGACGAAAGCAACATCAGTGGGAGAAGCAACCATAACTACAGCAAGACTTAGAGAGGCAGTGAACTCTGGGCAAACACCTGGGTCCACATCAGCAACTAGTCCCTCAGTTTCAGTGTCAGGAAGTACAGAGACAAATGGTGAAGTGGCTGATACTTCTAGCCAGACAACCAGGGTGACTGTAACATCTTCACTATCATCTGAAGTGAGGGAGACATCCACAAATTCAGTTGAAAGCACACTGGGATCTACTGCAGCTTTAGATCAAACTGTAGTGTCTTCTGGCCCTACTACAACAACTGGACCTTCATCATCTCAAGGACTACAGACAAGTAGGGAAATTGTTATAGGAACAGGAACAACTGGTGTGTCCACTGGCATTACAGAGCAAACTGCACAGTTTGTTGAATCATCACCAACTACTGGACCATTATCTAAAGCAAGCAAAACAACTAAAGTATCCTTATCTGGCACACAGTCCACTGGCCTATCAACTGAAGGAATTGTGACAAAATCAACATCAGTTGGAGAAGTAACCAAAACTACAGCAAGACTTAGAGAGGTAGTGAGCTCTGGACATACACCTGGGACCACATCAGCAACTAGTCCCTCAGTTTCAGTATCAGGAAGTACAGTGAAAATTGGTGAAGTGACTGTGATATCAGGCAAGACAACTAGGGTGACTGTAACATCTGTCCAATCACCGGAAGTGAGGGAGACATCCACAAAGTCAGCAGATAGCACACTGGCATCTACTGTACCTTTAGATCAAACTATTGTATCTTCCAGCCCTACTACAACAACTGGACCTTCATTATATCAAGAACTACAAACAAGTAGAGAAACTTTTATAGGAACAGGAACAACCAGTGTGTTGACTGAAATTACAGAGAGAACTGCATCATCCCTTGGAAAACATACAACTACTGGGCCATCTTCTGAAGAACCAGAAACAACTAAAGTATTCTTTACTGGCCCACAGTCAACTGGCACATCAACGGAAGTAACCAGGACAAATCCAACATCAGTTGTAGACACAACAATAAATACAATAAAGCCTAAGGAGGCAGTGAAATCTGTAACTGCACACAGGAACACAACAGCAACTAGTCCCTCAGTTTCTGTGTCAGGAAGTACAGTGACAAATGGTGAAGTGGTTGTGACATCTGGTCAGACAGCCAGGGTGACTGTAACATCTTCACTATCACCTGAAGTGAAGAAGACATCAACAAAATCAGTTGAAAGCACACTGGGATCCACTGTAGTTTTAGATCAAACTGTAGTGTCTTCCGGCCCTACTACAACAACTGGACCTTCATCATCTCAAGGACTACAAACAAGTAGAGAAACTGTCACAGGAACAAGAACAACTCGTGTGTCCACTGGCATTACAGAGCAAACTGCACAATCCATTGAATCATCACTAACTACTGGAACATCATCTAAAGCACCAGAAACAACTAAAATATCCTTAACTGGCACACAGTCCACTGGCCCATCCACTGAAGGATTAGTGACGAAAGCAACATCAGTTGGAGAAGCAACTATAACTACAGCAAGACTTAAAGAGGCAGTGAGCTCTGGACAAACACCTGGGACCACATCAGCAACTAGTCTGTCAGTTTCAATATCAGAAAGTACAGTGAAAATTGGTGAAGTGTCTGTGACATCTGGCCAGACAACTAGGGTGACTGTAACATCTTCACTATCACCTGAAGTGAAGAAGACATCAACAAAGTCAGTTGAAAGCACACTGGAACCTACTGTAGCTTTAGATCAAACTGTAGTATCTTCTATCTCTACTACAACAACTGGACCTTCATCATCTCAAGGACTACAAACAAGTACACGAACTGTTATAGGAACAGGAACAGTTGGTGTGTCCACTGGCATTACAGAGCAAACTGCACAAGCCATTAAATCATCAAAAACTCCTGGACTATCATCTAAAGGACCAGAAACAACTAAAGTATCCTTAACTGGCACACAGTCCCCTAGCCCATCAACTGAAGGATTAGTGACTAAAGCAACATCAGTTGAAGAGGCAACCATAACTACAGAAAGACTTGGAGAGGCAGTGAGCTCTGGACAAACACCTGGGACCACATCAGCAACTAGTCCTACAGTTTCTGTGTCAGGAAGTACAGTGACAAATGGCGAAGTATCTGTGACATCTGGTCAGACAACTAGGGTGACTGTAACATCTTCACTATCACCTAAAGTGAGGAAGACATCCACAAAGTCAGCAGATAGCACACTGAGATCTACTGTACTTTTAGATCAAACTGTAGTGTCTTCTGGCCCTACTACAACAACTGGACCTTCACCATCCCAAGGACTACAAACAAACAGAGAAACTGTCACAGGAACAAGAACAACTCGTGTGTCCACTGGCATTACAGATCAAACTGCACAAGCCATTGAGACATCATCAACTACTGCACCATCATCTAGAGCACCAGAAACAACTAAAGAATCCATAACAGGTGCACAGTCAACTGGCACATTAACTGTAAAAACCATAACAAATCCAACATCAGTTGGAGAAACAATAACTACAGCAAAACCTCAAGTCGCAGTGACGTCTGGACACACACCTGGGACCACAACAGCAACTAGTCTCTCAGTTTCAGTGCCAGGAAATACAGTGACAATTGGTGAAGTGGTTGTGACATCAGGCAAGACAACTAGGGTGACTGTAACATCTGTCCAATCACCGGAAGTGAGGGAGACATCCACAAAGTCAGCAGATAGCACACTGGCATCTACTGTACCTTTAGATCAAACTATTGTATCTTCTGGCCCTACTACAACAACTGGACCTTCATCATCTCAACGACTACAAACAAGTAGGGAAACTGTTATAGGTACAGGAACAACCAGTGTGTTGACTGAAATTACAGAGAGAACTGCATCATCCCTTGGACAACATACAACTACTGGACCATCATCTGAAGAACCAGAAAGTACTAAAATATCTTTAACTGGCACACAGTCAACGGGCACATCAATGGAAGTAACCAGGACAAATCCAACATCAGTTGTAGACACAACAATAAATACAATAAAGCCTAAGGAGACAGTGAAATCTGTACCCACACACAGGAACACAGCAGCAACTAGTCCCTCAGTCTCCGTGTCAGAAAGTACAATATCAAATAGTGAAGTGACTGTGATATCAAGCAAGACAACTATGGTGAGTGTAACATCTGGGAAATTACCTGATGGGAGGGAAACATCCACACAGTCAGCTGATAGCACACAAGGATCTACTGTAACTTTAGATCAAACTATAATATCTTCTGGCCCTACTACAACAACTGGACCTTCATCATCTCAAGGACTACAAACAAGTAGAGAAACTGTCACAGGAACAAGAACAACTCGTGTGTCCACTGGCATTACGGAGCAAAGTGCACAATCCGTTGAATCATCACCAACTACTGGACCATCATCTAAAGTACCAGAAACAACTAAAGTATCCTTAACTGGCACACAGTTCACTGGTCCATCAACTGTAAAAACCGTAACAAATCTAACATCAGTTGGAAAGTCAACAATAACTACGTCAAGACCTCTAGTGCCAGTGACATCTGGACACACACCTGGGACCACATTAGCAACTAGTTCCTCAGTTTCTGTGTCAGGAAGTACAGCAACAAATGGTGAAGTGGCTATGACATCTGGTCAGACAACCAGGGTGACTGTAGCACCTGTCCAATCAGCTGAAGTGAAGGAGTCATCCACACAGTCAGTCGGGAGCTCACCAGTATTTAATGTAGTTTCAGATCAAACTGTAAGATCTTCGGGCCCTACTACAACAACTGGACCTTCATTATCTCAAGGACTACAGACAAGTAGAGAAACTGCTACTGGAAGAAGAACAACTGGTGTGTCCACTGGAGTTACAGAAAGAACCACACAATCCCTAGAACTATCAACATCAACTGAACCATTCTCTGAAGCCCCAAACACAACTAAATTATCAGTTACTGATACAAGTAAAATGGGCTCATTAACTGGAATCACCTTGAGAAATGCATCTTCCATTGGAGAATCAACAACAGCTGTATCCTCTGCTAAAGTACTATTATCTACTAGGGTAACAGTCACTGGCTCAGAGACAACCAGTTCATCAAATGCTGTTACAGAGACGACTGGGTCATTTGAAGGACAATCATCTTCAACGGGATCAGTACCTGGCGTGTCCATTTCATCCGGCCAAACACCTGTAACTACTGTTATGCCTAGACCTTCATCTTCAGCATCACAACCTATAGGTACATTTAGTGATTTGACTTCGCCATTAGAGCCATCACCTAGATTAACTGTAACATTTGAGCCCTCGCCTGGAAACACATGGACATCAAGTTTATCCACTGAAGTTTCTGGAAGAACTCTACCAGCTGATGAAGGAACCACAGGAAGGAAAAATACTAGTAGAGGCCCAGGAGCTGAGTCTACAACAAAGGAAGGCAAGTATGATTAGCTGAATCTCAAGGGTTCCATGTGCCAAGGCAATGGTTGCCCTGGTTCAGACTAGGATATTGTAAAAATGTTATAATAATTCAATTAGATATTGACTCCTGAAATTAGTGAATACTCATGTTTACCAAAGCACCTTTATTCTAATATGAATTTCAGACTTCATGGTAAATTTGTTATCTTTCTTGTATGAAATTACCAATCCTGGTATAGCGTAATGGGGGAGGCAGGCACAAGGGAAACCCAGGCTCTGATCATTCCTTCTGATAACAAAGAAGTCAAGGCTCACCTGTGTGTTCTGCTAATGAATGTGCACCAGCAAATCTAAGACCCAACCTATGATTAAAGTTAAACAATATAACCAAGGGCCTGGGTTCTAGTAGAAATTGTTAGAGGTGATCCATTTTATGAATATATAGATTTGAGATACATAACAGAATGCTCACTCTTTTTACTAGCACCACATATAATATTGTTTTTTTCAACCAGAAATAGAAAAAGAACCATAGAGCCACCACTCTTACGGTTGAAGGCAGGGCCAAATTCACCACACCTGAGAAGTCAGTCAAGGGAGGGGGAGGATATGACTCAGAGTGCCACTTAGCATAAGGTTGACTGATAAATCTAATAAATAATGGTCACGGGGATGATTTATGTGATTAAAGATCAGATCAAAATTGTCTAGTACTTCCTATCTTGTTGGGTGATGTAGAGTATTCATGGAAGAATAGGCAACTTCCTTATCAGAGCTTAATTGAGAAATACAATTTATGACAAATTGGTGAAAGCAGAGGTGTGTTCAATGGGACAGGACCCTAATCTGGGTTATGTAGCATGTATTCATTTCCACATTTCCACAGCAGCCCATGTTTTCAAAATGTGCAATTCGTTAACATTTTCAAACAATGACATCAGGGAGAATTCCAGTTAGCAGGTGTAGGTAAGGCATTGCACTTAGATCAGGTGTCCGATTGGGTTCCTAACTTACTGCACTGCTCTCCCTCCCGTGGTAATGGTTATAAACTGTGCAGAAAGGATATTATATTTAAAGGAAAATGCCAGTGAGGCCTCAGAAATTAGAACTTTAACAAAAAAACAAAGAAAAACAGACACACAAAAAAATCAAAAACAACAACATAAAAAGCTAAGTCAGTGTAGACGCTGCCATACTACACCTATATATAAGGACTATTCTGTATCTGAAGTTTCTCTAATTTTGTTATATTTGATTAATTTTATTGTCTCTTGACTGTGTGTCAAGTGCTATGAGAACTCCGTGGGAAAAGATTTGAACATTTTGGGGAAAGTTACTAGGTATTAAGGAAATGAATACTACAGTAATATCACAGTAGTTTGTGAGGTGTTAAAAGGTGAGCATGCTAAGCAGATATCTCCCCTTGTGACCAAAGAAAATCACAGGTTCAAACCCAAGTAAGTGAAGCAAAAGATCAGAAAACTCACATGACAATTGCCTGTATTATTAAGTCATTGAATTTGTTTTAATTTTGACTAGCCCAGTAGTACCCGTTAAGATACATAGGTTTGCCAGGTGGAAGCAGGGCCATCACACAAGGTCAGAGTTCAGGAGTGACACCCATCCAGGTCATTCTTTCCTAAGAACTAGGTCACTGCTCCTGGCTTTCTGTTTGACTTCAGAGCCATGTAAAGGTTGAAGGATAAAACTGACAAAGTTGCGTACTGTCCTCCACATGTGAGCCATGGGACCTGCCTCACTCTTTAACACACACACACACACACACACACCACCACCACCACCATCACCACCACCAACAACGACAACAACAACAATGGGGGCTGGAGAGATGACTCAGCAGTTAAGATCATTTGCTGCTCTTGCAGTAGACGAGGGTTCAATTTTCAGTACATACATGGTAGTTCACAACTGACTATAATTCAAGTTCCAGGTATCTGACACATGCTTCTTTTATATCTGCAGGCAACAAGCACATACATAGTGCACATACGTGCATGCAAGCAAAACACATAAGTATACATCAAAGAAGATCAACAACAGTACTATAATTTCTTAGTTTGCAGAGTGTCACTCAGAACTTAGGCTCTAATGAATAGACTAGTCTGGGCATAGTGGTGTACACTTTTAATCCCAGCATTTGGGAGGCGGCATTTGGACAAATGCTATATAGTTCTGATATATAGATGTTTCTATTTATAGAAACATCCAGACATGTTTCATAACTGGATCTATTGTCCCACAAGGACTAGAGACACTTAAAAGCCTTTCTTGCTAATTACATACAATTCATATTCACCTCAGAACAAGTTTAACTAACGATATTTTGTAAAAAGAAAACTTTACAGTTTACATAAGGACATAGTCAAAGATGTCCATCCAAGGTTACTAAGAAAAAGCATGCCAATTCTTCACTTACCAGCCTACTAACAATAGATCTGTATCTTCAAGTTGTCATTGGATACTGTACAATACCCTCCCCTGGCTGGGTTGGACCTTCTATGGCCTTGGACCTTTGTGTTACAAGAGCAGTTGAAGAATATTAGCCTGTTTGTGTAAAGTTATTATAGAAATCCTTTACAACCCCTTTACTCCTGACAAGTATTTCACCTTTGAAACCCTGGGTTGGGGCTGGAGCTGATCTCAAAGTCCCTATAATTCAATTTTTAAAATAATCTGTCAATAGACTCTATTGAAACAGGATGGATGGTCTAAGTGTTCTGCAGGATTTCTCCCGAACATAAAAGCTACATTAAGATATTCATAATATCTCTAGCTTGAAAAGTAGAGATAACACAAATTAGCCTTAGAAACATCCCAATACACAGGTTTTTTAGTCATAAAAGCAATACTAATAATTAGTATTTTCTTGATATTTAAAATTTTTATCAAACCTACTAACACGTTATCTTCTATTTCTGGGACGTAAATAAGTGTATGCAGGAGAAAGTCACCTGCCCCTCCCATAGACTGTTTAGGAATGTTGCCTCAAGTTGAGTAGCTGACCCCTCTGATTGCTTTTGAAATGGGATAATCCGTGGAGTATTTCCATCATAGCTGGTGCCAGAGAAAGGGGTCTAAATAAGAATCTGTAGTCTTCCAAAGAGTAAGTCTTCCAGAGCCCAACAACCTTGCGATTCCCATGCCTTCTGTGTTTCAGTGACCACTGGGTTCATCCCTGCCACAACTGTTGCCCCAGGCAGTTCCAACACAGGTGAGTCAATGTTGTAATGTGAGTATTCCATGTGCCCCTTTACCACTGCATGCTTTCTTTGATTCATTGAAGGAGAGGAGGATCACAGGGTGTTTTCTGTCATCATTACATCTTTGCTATTAATCTATTTCTTCTTTCTTTCTCTCAGAGACCACAACTTCCCTACAAGTAAATGGAAGAGTAAAAAGTGAAGGAGCCATAGTTGAGCTCTGAGGAACTTGTACCTTCCCTCCTAGCAACTCCTTCAAATCTTCTAAAAACACCTATTTAATAAGCTTTATTGATAAGAAAATGATAGAAAAAAGCAAAAGTTATATTGCCTCCTTTCTCTCCACAAGCTTTCAGTAGTTGAGAACTACAGACTTCAGTAGATTGCGACTCCTTTGACAAACCTTCATCTTGAAAATTATTTACATTATTATTTATAACAGTAGCAAAATAAGAGTTATGAAGTAACAATGAAACTAATTTTATGGTTGGAGGTCACCATAACATGAAGGTTGAGAACCATTGTGTTATATGATCCTAAATCAAAACTAATGACCAATAAATGACATTGGAAGAAATTTCCTACCCACATTCAAAGCAATGGCATTATGGTTGAGAACTGTTTCAGTAGACTTGATATAGAATCATTGTATGGGACAGTTTCTTCCATAACAGGTCTCAGAGGTAGCTTTGTAGAGTTCTGGTTCCTATTTAAACTAACTACTAGGCACATAATTTAACTCATGAGCACAATTGTATTCTTGTTTTAGAGACCTCTGTTGCAGTTTCTGGGGAAGCTAAAGAACCAGTGAGATCTAATATATCTCAGATATGGACATTATGTTTTATAGCAGTTACATCATATACTTTCGTAGATCACAGACTTTATTCCTTTCTTTGTTTTCTTTCTCAGAGGCTACAACTTCCACGAAAGGCGGTGAAACTACCCATGGAGAAGTTCCCACAGGTGAGCCATTATCCCGTGAAGTTGAGGCGGGGAGGTTGTTTGCTCGGTTTTGTTTATTCAAGTCCTTCTTTGGAGGGCTGTAGTAAACCTGAGTGAGGAGGTAGGCTGGGGGAAGAGATGGCATTTTTTCCTGTGGATACAACCTGCAGGCTTGCCTAGGAATTCTATGACCACTGTGGATTTGTAAGAACCGAGACTTACATAGTTGACAGCACCACAATGTGCTAGTGTCTTCATAGCAGGACCATAATTATTACATACAACTTACTTGTTTTCTCAAAAGGTGTATACTAACAGTGACCATCCTAGTGTTTGTGTGTGTTTCATTCCTTCCTGGTTACCAGAAGCTGGAATGGTGGCTGTTCCAGGAGAGAGATCTCAAGTGTTCGGTTCACTAGTGCAGCTCTGGAGTAGGAGAGTCTTCTTTCTATGTGTTACTTCCATTGGTTAAATAAAGAAGCTGCCTTGGCCTTTCGATAGGCCAGCCCTTAGGTGGGTGGAGTAGACAGAACAGAAGTCTGGGAGAAAGAAAGCAGAGTCGGGCAAACGCCCTGGCTCTCCGACCCAAGATGGACATAGGTTAGAATCTTCCTGGTAAGCCACAACATTGTGGTAAACACAGATTAATAGAAACGGGTTAATCAAGATGTGAGAGTTAGCCAGTAAGAGGCTAGAGCTAATGGGCCAGGCAGTGTTTAAATGAATATAATTTGTGTGTTGTTATTCCTGGTCATAAGCTAGCCAGACGGCAGTACGCAGTCTGCTGCTTCTCATTACAACACAGCTCAAGGAGGAACAACAAAATCACACAAGGGAGATGCTCAGAATGTTAGCAGGGGAAGAAATGTATCATTTTGCAGCATTCTCCCTCTTTAAGAGGTGCCATGGTGGTTTCATCTGAAGAAGCTGCAGCTCATGGAGTTTGAAGTTGCTCAAGATGGATTAAATATCATTTGAGAGTTTCATGGTCAAGGAATTCTGTTTTAAACAGCTGAAATCAAAATATTTTAAGTAATTGATACATATAATTCAGAAAGCTGATCATTTCTCCTCTAGGCACCTGTGTTATAGCAGGCATCGCTGCTTTGTTGGGTGAGGGAGTTCATTTCTCCTTCAACTTCAGTGGAACCTATGGAGAAAAAAACCTCAGTGACTCATAGGAAGGGAAAGAAGTGAGATGGTTCATTCCTTCAGAGGTAGTGGTTTTGCTAAAGGACCTCTGATGAATCAGATCCATATAGCTTTTCCCCTTTTCCAATATTTTTGAGAAACGTATACTCTGTCAGTCACCCAGGGAATCTACTATTATACCTATAACTTTCCACACAAATATGTTCAAAAAAAAGAGGTAATAGTTATTTAAGCTCATCATTTGTTTAGACTGTCTACTCTGATGACATCAACACAATTTCTCACTCCCTCCACCAAATCCTTGAACCTCGCATTCTTGGTTTTACTCTTTCAGAGGCTACAACTTTAGCAGAGAATAGTGAGACCCTTGGGAGCAGAGGGACAACAGGTAAGGCCCAGAAGCTCCCAAAGCTGGGTGTGGGCTTTTTGTGTGACTGCTGGGCTTGCCTGGGAGGAGGTTTGATTTTCTGTAGAGTAGTACTCTGGATATTTTCTTTCAGCTGAACATATTCTGGAAAAGTCCTTATTATCAGCAGCTATTCTCATAGCCATAACTTCCTGAAGACTGTTGTTTGTATAGTCAGTTTGAGAAAAGATTTTGGCACTGCACACACCACTAAAGTGTTAGAGGAAGGAGAAGCAACAGTCTGACTTCTAGAAGTCATCCTGTCCTATAAAATTGGGGGGGGGCATTATTTGTTTTCTTTTACTTGTTTGTTTTGAGACAGAATCTCACTGTGTAGTCCTGGCTAGTCTAGAACTGTGTAGACCAGACCGTACTAGAACTCACAGAGAGTCATCTGCCTCAGTCTGTGCCTACAGAGTGCTGGAAGATTACAGACATATGCCATCATACCTGGCTTATATGAAGGGTTTTTTTTTTACATAAGAGCAAAAATGATATTAAGTCTTGGCTCATATTCTTGGCACAATCAAGTATTTTTTCTGTTTTTTTTTTAAATCACATGATAGGCACCTGTGTAGCATCAAGAGGCCAAGTAACTGGAGTTGTGTACCAGGAGAAAGGAAGCCACCTTGGTCCCCATTTCATCATAGACAGAATTTCAGGGAAGGCCTCCAGAGGGGAGCATTCCCTTTTTGATCACGTTGTCAATGTAGATCTTAGATCATTTCAAGATTTTGTTATGTTTGCTAAGTAAGTTATTATGAGATGGACTTCTCAGAAAATGCCTTCATTTATTTTGGTATATAATCTCTGCAAATAAACAGGGGGTGATATATATATATATTGTTTGTATAAATTAAATGGTTGCTATGTGGGAAAACTGTTTAATCCAGGAACAGAAAGGCTGATGACAGCACATGTTCGAAGGACTTGAATGCTACAGAGATGCAGCTGTCTCTAAACGGCACCTCCCAGAACACTGTCCAACGCACAGTCCCGAATGACAGCATGTGCTGTATCCCTTGGCTGCATCAGTGCAAAGCATTCTTCATCTTGTCTTTGTCCCTTCTCGTTCCAGGTCCCACCCGTGCAGATGTGAGAGGGACTGAGACATCTGGGAGTTCCAGCACAGGTGAGAGAACCATTCAGAAAGAAGGGCACAAGGCTCCGCCTGTGTGTCAGTGCCACAAATTCCTTCCTACATCCCTATCTTTCATCTGTTTCTCTCCTCTTCTCTCAGAAGCCACAACCTCCGCAGGAGTCCGTGGAACCATGGCCACAGGAAACAATGCAGGCGGGAGTAATCGGAGGGGGTGGCTCTTAAGTGGTGATAAATTAACAATTCCAGCTTGTTTCTTGGTAACAGGAAAAGTGGTCTTCCCAGAGTTCTCACTGAGGTCAACAATGTCTTCATTTGTGACTAGGTTTTGGATCGACCGAGGCCGATTTTATGAGTCCTCCTAAAGGTGGTTCTCTGTGAACTAGAGCAGAAGTGGCAATCATCTGGATGGGTTCGGTTTTCCATTTGTCATTTTAGGAATCACTACATCATCTGGAGGAAATATAGGCTTGGAGAGTTCGAGTTCAGGTTAAACAGAAGGCCAAAACGTAAAATAAAACCGTTTCCCTTAATATTAGCAGATTCTTCCTTGAGCAGAATCAGACAATGTGCCGTGGTTGGCTGTTCTTTCAGGGCAGAAGTTCTCAACTTGTGTTGTGACCCCTTTGTGGGGTTGGACGATCCTTTTACAGGAGATACATATCAGATATCTTGTATATCAGATATTTACATTATGATTCACAATAGCAATAAGTTTACAGTTATGAAGTCGCAATGAAAGAATTTTGTAGTTTGGGGTCACCACATGAGGAACTGTATTAAAGGGCTACAGCATTAGGAAGTTCAGTTGAAAACCACCGTCTTGGGATGATAATGAATTTTGACTTTGCTCATTACTCCTTCTTTCCCTCTTTATGTCAGACACCACAGGTCTCTGGCATGACTTTACTCTGTATCTGGTGGTCCCAACATAGGGAAGTCAATGACTTAACAGTAATGGAAGGAGTTTAGTAATGGGACCCTGCAAACACATAGCAAACTTTACCAATCATGTGGTTCTGAACTGCTTTGCTGTTATGAGAGGCAAAACTTCTTTAAGTGGCAGGACCTCAGATGCTGGGGTTCAGCTAGATCGGCTCCAATGGCTAATTATCTTCCCCCCTTTTTAAAATGGTCTTATGTAAGGAATTTGGTGTGGGGGGGATTTTTCTCAGCTCTTCTTTGAGTTCTTGCCTGAATAATTACACATTCCTCCTATGAACTGCCTTTCTATGTTTCAAGAAAATGGTAAAACAGTGATCATGAATAATATGTCCGCAGAAGCAAGAAAGCTAAGTCAAGAAAACCATACATTTATTCTAAACTCAAATTCTAATTTTGGTCTGGAGGGATTCACAAATTCCTCCCTCCTTCTGTGATTGCAGTCACCACAGGGGTGACTACTGGTACAACAGTAGCCCCTGAGAGTTTCCTCACTCATGAGTCACGAAAACAGTTCAGGAAATTTGTCTCTGAACAGCAGAGGCTGCTGCCTCTCCTAGGGACAGTGTGCAAAGTGAAAGGGCTGCACATTTTCCCAGTGTTCCCATCCCAAGCTTCGTTCCACCTCTATTCGGGGGCTACAACTTCTGCAGAAGTTATAGCGTACACTGGAGTTAGAACAGGAACTAGTGAGTGACTGGCGTTTTCAGCCTTGGGGGGGGGGGGGGTTGGTGACTCTCTGGGGTCTGTAGTAGATGGCAGATGAGAGCACAAGGGACAGAAACAGGGTTGTGTGCTTCTTTTGACCAAAGGCACATGATCTATTTTTGCTGTGGTGCTTTCAATTTATTCGATAAACTGTCAAGTGAACCATGTATGGTCCTCTTCCATTCAGCCATTCGCCCCACAAAGTACTCTCTTAGACAGGATTTTGTTTCTCTCATTGTCTTAACCATCCTGCTGCTTAGGTGTTACTTCAGGTTCGGCTGGAATTTCCAGAGACCTAGAGAATTCCAGTTCCGGGGAGCAAATGTTTAATTCAGCCATTATTATGGATTTTTTTTTCTCATGCCTATCCCCTAAATTTACTCCTGCAGGAGTCCCCACGGAAGCACCAGGCAGCCAAAGCACAGGAGGAAACACAGGTGAGTGCAGGAAAATCGTTTCCTCCTGAAACATTAAATGCTAGCAAAAGCATGAGCGTTTGTAAGAAAATGGGTTTGCTCTTTGGCTACAAAGGCTCCTTCATTGATGATAAGAAACATGAATTTGTTCAAATCCATCCTGTTCTTGGGGGGAGGGGGAAGCACTGCTATGTTTTCTCAGGCTGGAACTGGAATGCCAAAATGAATGTTAGTTGTACCTTCCGAGGTCCATGTGGCTTTGTTCCTATGGAGATGAGTTGAGAGTTTTGGGCAAGGAAGTAGGCCATAATGGGGGTCAGAAAGAACAGGGAAACTTCCTTTTATAATTCAGCTTGAAAGCCATTTGGAAAAAAAAAAAAAGGTTTCCACCTGACTCTTTGGAAGATGTAGCATGCAGTCTGGGAGCTCTATGTTGTTTTAAATTAGGTCCATGTGCTGGTCTCAGTAAAAGAATCCTATCTCAGACTTCCACCATCTAGGATTCCAGGCTGTGCCACCGGGCCTAACTCAGCCTGAGATTCCAGAGAAGAAGCTTATGGATGGTGGTGGTCCTGGAATAATCTAGAATTACTTACTTTTGCAGATTCCACTTCAGTAGCAACTGAAGTCACAACCAGTGTCCACATATCCCAGCCAGGTAAAATGTAGAGATCCAGTGGGCTCAACCAAATCCGATGAAGTTTATCTCATTCACATGGGGTCTACCTTGCACATGACTACATCCCATCATGATGTATGAGATGAACACATACAGACTTGACATGAATTTTTACTATTGTGAGTAAAACATTGTGTTATCATCCTCTGTTCTCTAGAAACAACGACAACAGAGAGTCAAGACACTGAAAGTACAACAGGTCAGTATGAGGACATCTCCAGTCGCTTCATGATCCAAAGGCATTTCTTGTACTTAAACATGTGCTAGGGTCTGTATTATATAGACATTAAAAGCAAACCCTTCAATAAGAAACAGTCACTGCCACATTGTAACCTTTGTAGTAAGGATGTGGGATATTATAGGCACAAGTATTATTGTTATTGTTCATTTATTTATCGACCAAAAATATATGAAAAAAATATGATTCCGTGGACAAGGAAGAGAGCAGATGGTTCCTTTCTGTTTTCTAGTTGGTAGTCATGGCTGAAGGCACAAAAATGAAGATAGTTGAGTTTTATACTGGCTAGGTGGGCAGCAAATTTCTGCCAAACATGAGAACAAAGACATAATGATGCATGGGTGAATTCAAGACTCAGCCAGATGCTTGCAACAGAAGTGTGAGGGTCAAGGAAGAAGATTAGGAAATATAAATGTGCATAAAGTTTATGAAAAAGTTGAATTTCTAATTTAAACGTGACTCCATCTTTACAGCAATGAGACCCCCCCTTAGTTTTTATCAAGAGAATGGCATGCTCAGTGCCTTGGAGGAAGTGACTCTGACAGTGGTGTGGAAATTAGATTATTCTGTTGTATATGACTCTGGCAGTGGTGTGGAAATTAGATTATTCTGTTGTATATACCCATCATTTTTCTCTCCTATTGCTGGGTTCTACTATTATTAAAAATTAGGAACTATTCCAGATTGCCTTAAGAAAGGGTTACAACATTTAATCTTCCAAATTGTCACTTATTTTACTACTTTACTATCAATTTTTGGTAACAGTTGTTAGAGTTGCTTTGAATAAATATGTAGAAATTGAAAGTTTCTTTTAAGAATGCCCACCCTAGGCCAGTTTGTGTTCCTTTTCTTTTGGTAGGGTGGGATAACAGTACAAATTCTTTGACTTAGAATTTGAATTTAGAATTTTGTAAATATGACTGGCCCATACCTGTGAAGCACAGAAGCTTAAATGCATACATGCATATCATTTGCTTAAATCATTTGGGAGGGATAGAAAAAAATTAAAGCCTTTCAAAAGGTTGAAAAAAGGATAAATGGTCTTAAGATCAAAACTATCTTATTGTAATTATATTTCCATGCAGTAAAATTATCCCTTACTCTTTATTCACTGATCTTTTCATATGAATTATTTTCCAAGAAAATTTTCAATAGAAGTCTAGTTTTTACTCTCAATGCAGATTTCTCTTCCATTAAACTTTGAGGTCTAAAAGAAGCACCCAACAATAGCAGGCTGTCAAATGCACTAAATGGCACAGAAGGGAGATGGGTTGTAGATCTGTAAGCCTGACTGTATGGTCAGTGATTTCAACAATGTAGTAATGAATCAGATAAATGTATTGTCCCCAAAAATGTGACTCCATTTCAGAAATTCCAAAGACTAACAGGTTTTCTGTTTCACACAGCATGTTCAGGCTTACTTACATCAGCCCCAGGTGAGTGACCCCCCTTCCCACTATGGGGAAATTCTTTGGTGATAACTCTTCTTGTACATCAGGGGTCCAGCACATGAATGGTTATGAAAGGTTATCAAACAAACTGAGTACACGAATCTGGCTTTTATTTGTCAAATAATGTATGTTATTTTCTCATTCACAAACAAGTGTGGCCAAGCAGTACAAGCTGATTTGCCTGCAAGCTCTTTCATGAAATTATGCGTCTTGATAAGAGGTAGAAAATGTTACTGCTCTCATAACAGTGAGCGTTTAACGAACCATATAATACAACTTTGGGGGTTTTGTTCTAGCTAAAAATTGCAAGTGTGTCTGTGTTTAATAATTTCTGAGAACTTTATTGCGTTCCCACTACTTTTAAGATAATGTAATGTATTTTGCAGAGAGCATTTAAGAAAGAAAATAATTTTGACCTCATCTAGTGAGGAAATGGAAGTTTTAAAAAAAGCACAGTTTTCATATAAGGCAGACAATAAAGTTCACAATAAGAAGTAAATAGATGTACAGTAGAGAATGTGGGCTTTAGAACTGGAATTTTAAAGCAATATGTAGGCTATTCTAGATCCAATAAATGAGAGGGCAGAGTTGAATAAAGAGGCAGCTTTAATATGGGAGACCTTGGAAACGAGAATAAAGTATTCATTTTAAAAGACTGCCATTTGAAATAAAAGCAATCAGACAAGTAGGCATTAGGAAAACTCTGTAGCTGTGGTGCAGAGAACTGATTGGACCAGAAAGGAATCTGTGCAGTTGAGTTGATGGGTTGACGATGATGAGGTGGATTAGCCAAGAACAAAGAAAGGAAAGGTTTGAAGTGAGGGTGAGAGGAAGGGATTTGTAGGCAGTATGAATGACAAGCTACAATTACCTAAGTCTGGATGCTTTAATAATCAATCTCTGCTCGGGGCAAGAAGACACAGTCTGTTTTGTGCATTTAGGTTGGAGATTATTGAAGATCTGTTGGGGTACTGTATATTCATAGAGATAGAGCTATGTCCATGACTTAAAAGTGTCAATCGGCTCAAATGAGTTACAAGTTGGAGAGCCTTCCACTTAGTGCTGTACATCATGGAGAAACGTTCCATTGAAAAGACTAGAGACAAGATGAAAGGCATAAAGAAGAGCTTCTAGTACAGCCAAGGTTTCCTGAACTTTAAATTTAAAGAAAGGCCAGCGTGTTGAATGTGAAAGTTAATATTGCTTGTGACAGGGAATTTAAACGATTGATTAAGTGAATTTGTATCTTTGGATTTGCCAATGATGTCTCAGTATTTATTGAATTGTAGAGTAGAAAGCAGTTTTATCAGACAGTAAACTGGATAGCATACACATGCATACACACACAAAACAAAACAAAAAAAAACATGTACATAACCCTACACAAAACACTTTGCTGGAAGTAGGTGTCCATCTTCATAGGCAGATGTCATTTATCCACCTTCAGGTACAATGTCTCCACAAATTGACCTTTGAAATCCTGGTATCAAATACCATATGGGCCCCCTGATGGTTATCTATAAATTGGAAGTGGTTGCAATTTCAACCTTTAATTAACATTTATTACTTTATATTAACAGTGTGTCATGGTCCACTGGGAGAAGAGAAATCTGTAAGTATAAAGTAATATTCTACTTTAACCTAAATTTCCTTCCTGCCTCTTTGTGAATAATGTCTCAACATGGTTTGTCTCTGTAGCCAGGAGACACATGGACGTCTAACTGCCACCAGTGTACCTGTACTGAAGCACAGGCTGTAGACTGCAAACCTAAAGAGTGTCCTTCTCCACCCACCTGCAAAACTGGAGAGAAGCTGATAACGTTCAAATCGAACGATTCCTGCTGCGAAATCGGCCACTGTGGTACGCATCTGTAATATACTATATGAGCTGAATCTGTACATCGTTTGCCTGATGACACATTCAAAGGATGTTTTTGAGCAAATTTGTCATACATGACATTAGGATCTGGTAAATATAACAGAATTGGTACTTCTTAAAACTTATCATTATTGTAAGGAAGAAAAACCTAGCATTAAGGGATAGTAACATCTTCAATGGGTTAAAAGGCAATATTATTTTAAGGAAAGCATCATTTGTTGGTAAGTATGATCCCATTTGCAAATTCTCCTTCATGAATATTAAAGAAGTATATTACTCTTATTTTTCAGAACCAAGAACATGTTTATTTAACAATACTGATTATGAGGTAAGCCTTTTTCTTCGCTGTTTCATTAATATAATCATACGAATAAATGCAATGCTAAGCCACACTAGGGGGTTTTCAGTGTATAATAAAAAGTGGTTTTAAAAATGCTTTTAAAAAGACCAAGGACAAGTTCTCCTCTGTCCACAGTAGTTACAGAAAACGCAGCACTCGGGTGGGGCTGAAGGATGCTGTGCTCTCTGTCATTACCCAGCCAGCAGTCCATCTTAGAACAGAAGTTCCCCAGGGTCCTACCAGATGGGGAAGGCATATTGTGCAACATTGATTTCAATGAACAGAGTTCAACTGTAATTACAACCAGAAAGATCAGATGGCCAAACTGCCAGCCATCAAACAAGCGACCTCGAGGGCTCCACCCACTCAGGGGCTTAGTCTGTACAGGGCTGGATCTGGACAGTTGAGCTCACATGTAGGGCAGGGCTTCACTTTCTACAAAAGACTTTGTGAAACCAAAGATGTCCAACGATTTCCGAACTGATGTTAACACTCTCAGCTGGTGTTGATAAATACTTAAGACTCAAACTAAACGAGGCACGCTATGAAACACGTAACAGGGTGCTTGTAAAATTCAACTCGCTCATGTTTCGGTCTGATCTTCTCAACTTTCTATTTCCAAACTGGTGTGTAGAAACCACAAAACCTATTAAGTAAAGACCCAAAAGGAAATTCTAATGACTTGCATGTGAAAGAGTTGAAGTCATAAAATTTCCGTTTAATAGTGAATTTATCTTTTGACCTAAAGCCCTAAATCAATAGTTCTGTGGGTCACAACCCATTTGGGGGTCAACTGAACCTTCCACAGGGGTCACGTATCAGATATCCTGCATATCAGACACTTATGTCATAATTCACAACAGCGGTAAAACTGCAGTTATGAAGTAACAACAAAATAATTTTGTGGTTGGTGGTCACCACACATGAAGAACTGTATTAAAGGGTTGCAATATCATGAAGGCTGAGAACCACTGGCTTGAATTAAACATTGTTTCTCAGACTGTGCTTTTTTTGAATGCTGGACAGAAATTAATTACAAAACAGTCCAAAGATTTTTAACAAAGACAGAAGTAAGGCAACTTGGGAGGATTGTCATTAACCCTACTATAAATATTTCTTTATATTTTATGTGTATACACGTATTAGTATTTTCTGTTAGTATATAAATATGTGTGTTTAAATATAAGTTTTATATTTATGTATATTAGTTTGCATGTATGCATGTACACCACATGGGTTCTTGGGACCCTCGGAAGGCAGTTCTGGGCCCTGGGCCCCCTGGAACTGAGGTATAGATGCTGAGCCACTATTTGGGTGCTGGGAACCAAATCCTGGTCTTCTGGAAGAACAGCAAGGACAGAACCACTGAGCAATCTCTACAGCCCTCTTAGTCCTCACTTAAACTTTTGTCTATATCGGCAAATGTGCATGCAGCATGGTGCATGTGTGAAGGCCAAGGGTACCTACTGGGCATCAGTTCTCTCTATCTCTCTACAGTGGATTCCTAGGATCCAACTCAAGTTAATCATTTTAGCTTGCAGAAAGTACTTTTACCATGAGTCTTAATTCAAAAAACCTGTTTTCTGCCATTTCTCCACTGAGATGTCATATTTCCTTGAAGCATAGAGCACAACAATTGGTGAATGTCTTGATTACTATAAAACATCAATTCTTGAAAAATATTCTTACACATATAATACAGTGACTGTCTTAAGATTTATTTTGAAGAATGGGAATCTTGAAACAGTTCATGTCCCCAGTGGAGAATTTTGAAGTTGAAGAACCACCTTTCCTTAACTGTTTATAACAATTGAAAATGTCTCTTTATAGACATAAATTAAGAAATTTCATCCTTTTTCATTCTTTCTTTTGTTCTTGACTACCAGTTTTTAACTGGTAAGTTAAATTATATTCTAAGGCAAATAACTGCTTTCCTCCCCTAATCACCTTTCAGATTGGTACATCCTTTGATGACCCTAGCAACCCATGTGTCTCCTACACCTGCAACAGCACTGGCTTGGCGACCGTGGTTCAGAACTGCCCAAAGCAAACCTGGTGCACAGAAGTGAGTCATGGTCTGACAAGGGCGAGCAAGGTCGCCACTCAAGCTCAACTCAGACCCCTCTCATCTTTCTGCTCCTTTGAGAAAGTACTTTGAGAAAGTAGGAGATATAAACCTGTTGTCACTTCCATGGGACTTTATACAAATTCATGCACCTTGAGCTAGGTGATTCTAGAAACATCAGTCTATTGAGTATATTCCTCACACCAAGAAAGGCTTTTGTTTTCTGGCTCCATAAAACTTAATTTAGTGCTATTCTGAAAGTAGGTTATTACAAAAATATTAGATATTCTTATATTTATTTCTTTGAACTTGTGTGTGAGTGTTTTGTCTGCATGTGTGTATGTGCACTATGCTCATTGAAAGTTCATGGTTAATTACTTCCTATAAAAAATTCAAATTCTCTAAAATGACACATATCTGTACTTCCTATAAAAATTCAAATTCTCTAAATGACACATGTCTTTGTGCCAAAACCATCATTTTTCTGCCTTTGTATTTTAGTTTCTATTACTGTGATCAACACCATGAACAAAAGAATTTGATGAGGAAAGGATTTATTCATTTTACAATTCTCATGTCACATGTTGCTAAGGCAGTCAGGACAGTAACTTAAGGCAGGATCCTGGAGACAGGAGCTGACACGGAGGCTATGGAAGAGTGCTGATTACGGGCTTACACTCATGGCTTCCCAGGCTATTTTCTTATTCACCCAGGGCTACCAACCCAGGGTTGGCACTGCCTTCAGTGAGTTGATCCTTCTTTTTTAACAATTAATCAAGAATATTTCCCCACAAGCTTTCCTACTGGCCAGTCTAGTTGGGATTTTTTTTTTAAAAAATGAGATTCTTTCTTCTCAAATGGTCCTAGTTTGTGCCAACACACTCAATGGATGTTATTTATATTAGTTAATACTCAATATTTAATTATCACTTTTCTTTCTGAATCTATAATTTATAACATAGCTTAAAGCATTATTTTAGAATTCAATCCCTATATTTCAATAGTTTACTTGGGTTTCATCTTAAGAATCAGGAAGGTTTGAATTCAAAGCAAAACTGAAGTGCAGATCTGAAGTAAAGCAAGCTGATGGCATCTGGTATTGTTTTAAAGAATTTTTCCTTTAAAGTAAGTGAAGCATAATTTGTTTTTGTATTTGCATAGTCTTTTTCCCTTTCTTCCTGTCATTGCAAAATCTTATGGTCTTAAACACCCAGTCTCATGTTTATTACCAAGTTCAACACTTTCTGTTCTTGCCTAGCTCTAGAGTTGACATCAGCATACTCGTCTCTTTCCGTTTCCCCTTCCTGTGATTACTTTAGTAGATTAAGAAATGTCACAGTCCGTTCAATAATAAATATTTCAATTTTTTTGTCCCTACAGGGAGAGAGAACCTACGATTCAAAGAAATGCTGCTATACCTGTAAGTTAACCTCTCTATATAGAAAATATCTAAGTGGTTGTAAAAGTAACATTTTGTTAAGACAGAATGGCAGGCAGATCATTAGTGGAAGGTTTACCAGTTGTGTTAAAATACAGAAACCTGGGTTGAAGTAGAAGCTGTCAATTCATATGCTTGCAAAGGGTGTTACAGCTGCTTATTGATAGTAGCAGCTTTTCTTGTAAAAATAACGCGCAGTTATATTTGCAAGGAATTTTGTTTTGATTCCTGTGTAAAAAGCGGATAACTATTCTGTCCTAACACCAGCAGTCCGCATTGTTAATCTGTGTATTAGAACACACGGTTATGTAATTGGCAATGAGAAACTGCTCATCAGCGATGTCCAGTCATCTTCTCTGCTCAGACTGGCTCCTCTCCCTTTCTTCTTCTTATTGCTCCCTTTCCTCTTAACCTGAAGTATAAGCAATAATCAGACAATATCTATCCAAGTCTTAACGAAGTTCCTTTCACAACCAGGGCTGAGATAGTTATTTCCCTTAATAACATGGTGAAGTAGTTGGCGTGCCTCTTCCCTTTGGTTAAGATAATGTACACCTAGTAATAGTTAAGATGGTAACTCTCACTTCTTTGTCCATTGTACATTTTACTTTAGGTAAGAGTGAATGCAGAACTTCTCCCGTGAATGTGACCATTAGGTATAATGGTTGTAGGAAGAGAGTGGAGATGGCCAGATGTGTAGGAGACTGCAAAAGGACCCTCAAGTAAGTTTTCCTTTGAATGTGTTCCACTCTTGATGCTTAGAGAAAAATCAAGCAGCATCACGTAGGGGAGTTTTACAGGAAAGAACAGCCTAATTAGGATGCAAAGGAGGAATATATAAAACACTAAGACCTGAGGATTAAAAGTAATCACTTTAGCCCTCAGTTATTCTGAGGTCACTTTCTAAACATGCTTAACACACCTGTGATGAATGCACTCATTTTCCTGTAGTGACTATAGAGGATTCTTACTCCAGGAAGTACATTACTAAATCATTCCAAAGTTGAATTTTAGAATGACATGTATGTTATTCTTAATATACAATTTTACATATAAATTAATTTAGTGAGAATAATTATAATTTGACAGTGATTTAAGATCTCTTATTTACTTTTTTACACCATGATGTTCCCATTATTCCGCGACAACTCTTCCTTCTTAATCTCCTTGTTTCAAATGACAGTTCTCACTGATCTGCATCAGAGTTTTGTAGTTGGAAGGGAAGGAAGGTCTAGAAAAAGATCACATTAAGTCAAGGCTAGTAAGCCTTTTAAGAAAGTCATTAGAAAATTTGATAGAGTGTTGATGTCAAGTTATGTGATGCTTGCAAATGTTTCAAAATATTTATTCCTGGTTTCCTTTCTCTTAGGTACAATTATGAGACCTTCCAATTGGAGAATTCTTGTGTTTGCTGCCGGGAAGACAGCTATGAATACAGGAACATTGCCCTCGATTGCTCTGATGGCAGCACCCTCCCGTACAGATACAGGCACACTACAACCTGCTCCTGTCTGGACCAGTGTGAACAGTCTACAGACAGCCAATAGCTGCATTGCCTTTCCAGTTGCATTGTTTTAAAAAGGAAGAAAAGTAATTGAGTAGTGTGAATGGATAAACCTGAGAATGTCTTATACACAAACCAAGGCTCGCCATGAGGCCTTTCCTTCTGTTGTTGACTGTGCCTGGAAAATAAATGCATTGTGCAAGTACTTAGTGAGGATGTGGATTTATTTACACAGTATTAATTCTGCAAGTTACAGAGAACGCAGGCCAATCATGACTCTCAGTGCCCTTGGTACAGTGTGGCGTGTCGTGTGTGTCCCCCTCCCCCCCTCCCCCGCTCACTATTCTGTTCCAGTGTTCTCTTGATTCTTTTCCATTTCCGGGTTCCAGCTGCACCACTACTTATACTGTGCCACACCCCCGTCCCCTGTGACACGTTGACTTGCTCATGTTCTCATGAGTTTCACACCATTTCTACTCTGGCTTCTCAGAGGCATTTTTCTAGTTGTTTTCACAGCATTTGAAATCCATGATGCAGCCTTTGTGGATGACCGCAACTTTTATAACTGCACCGTGTTTCTCTTTTCATTTTGCTCCACCGTTTTGATATATGTTAACAACATCAGCTCACAAACCAAGGAATTTCTCTCTTATTCCGAACACACTGACATCACGGTGTTTTACAGGTTTTAGTTCATTGTCTCTAAATTACTAATGTTAAACGATAGGTGCCCCGAAATAGCAAACTCAGAAGATATGAAAGATTGCTCCTCCCCCACGCACAAGGGTGGGTAGGCATGATTATGCCTAGCATCCTCCTCCTCCTTCTCCAGTTTTTGTTCTATCATTTCAACATGCATCATCCATCTTCTACCTTGAAGGCCCAGAATGATCCCCTCTTTTCCCTACTTCCTCAGTCTCCATCCAGCTATAACAAAAGAGAGGAATGGAAGATGGGAAGTGATTGCTGTTTGTTCCTTTGAGAGCAAGACCTAGAAGTTATACACATTCTTCCATTTACACCCAATTAGGCAAAATATAGAGTCCAATAGAATCATAAATGATGATTCTAAATGAAGGTGTAATAATTAACTACCTTTGTAAAAACATGCAATTAGGAGCTTCCCCCAAAATCCAGTTCAGTAGATGAGAAATTGGCTAGTCAAACTAAGAAATGTAAAGCAAGTTCTAGGAGGTACTAGGAGAATTGCCGTTTGAGTCATCACTGAACTAAGGTTAGCATGAGAGTGCTCTGATGTATTAGTGCATATTCTTCCCAAAATTTACTTCATATACGTTGAGAATACACAAGAAGATCATTTCCAGTGATTATCCTCTTTGGGGATTGCCTCATTGTGAGGTTCTTCCTTCTGCGGAGAAGGTTGTAGCTTACTGCGATGCTCTTCTCTCTAACCACAGCCAGAATCCATAGCCTCCCTGTGGTGCTGACAAGTGATTCCACTGAGACATCACAGTGCCGTGACTTCTTCCTCCACACAATAAAGTCAGTGCATAAAAATCTCCAGTTCAGTGTCTTCCATTAGGGAACTTAATCTGTACTGTATATGGATGCTCCATTCTCTAGAATCATCAGATGGCTGTGCTATTGAGGCCTGAAGACTGAAGGGGGAAGGGAGCAGTTACTGGCTCACTGTCTTTGCTAGTCTTTGATGGTTGAAATGAGCTACATGCTGAACCCTTCTCTACTATAGTGTCTTATCCTCTTCCCTTTGCTGCCTTTAAACAATATGCAGGTTTCTTTATGTCAAGTGTGTTGTTTCTTAAACTGCAAGATTATCTCATGACAGAAGTAAAATTAACTAAAACTCAAAATTGGAGTTATGATTTGTGAGGGCAAAGATGTTACGAGATTGTGTGTAAAATGGCCAAGCTGTTTTGGAAAATGAGGAATTTCCTCAACATGTTCAACATGCAATTAAGGCAGGATCCACTCCTCAGTTCCACTCCTAGATATTCATTTCCAAATTTATGATTTACAAATGTTTTCTCCCATATGCTGGTTGGTACTTTATTATGCTGATTTTTTTCTTTGTTGTTTGAAATTACCTTTTTAAGATTATAACTGATGGCATCGTTTTTCCCTTACCTGTCTCCTGTCCAAACAGCTCTGTATAATCCTACTCTCTCTCCCTTTTCAATTCACACACTCATTTTTGTGTTACTTGCTATTGCATTCACACACACACACACACACACACACACACACACACACACAATTGCATGTATATTCCTAAATATATAAATACAATGTGCTCAGCCTGTATAACATTTCTTGCGTGTTTTCTGGACTAACTGTCTGGTACTAGTGTGCTTGTCCCTGAAGACTTTCTACCACTCAGCATTTTTTAATTGCCTGTAGTTGTTTTGGTAGATTTAAGGGGCTATAAACTTTCAGCCGTCCACATTAGCATGCCTATAGGTGTGATCCTTGTTCAACTCAGGCTTAGACTGCCTGTTAGTGAGACATTATGTGCGTAACTTCTGATTTTACTAGGGGACACAATCTCAAACTCAGCTCCCTGTGTCTCTAGCTCTTACAATCTTTCCACCTCCTCTTTTTCAATCATCACTGCAATAAGTTTTAGGTTCAGGAGTTATGCTATAGACATTAGCAGTCAAGATTAGGTTTGACAACTCTATATTTTGATTGGTTGAGGTTTTCCATCATGGGCTCCATCCATTGCAAAGAGAAGTTGCTTTGATGATGGGAAGAACCGCACTTATCTATGGATGCAGGGATATATATTTAGAATGTAGTTAGGGACTAGCTAAATTTAATCCCTGGCTTACTCAAACGCTGGTTTAGTAAAATGGTGGTTCTCTTCTGGGATTCCTGATTTCACTGGCTTTGGGTAGCTGCCTAGATTTCCAGTACCAGACATATTGCTGTCCAGTATCAGACTTGCTCTTTCTGAGCAAGTCTTCAGTCCAGTTAGAGAGCGGTTGGTTACCACCAAGCTATGAGTTCCATAATTGCACCCTTAGGGGTATCATGCCAGGATGGCTGCTGTTATGGATCATAGGCACTATAGCTGGGTCAGTCTGTTGGTTTCTTCCCCCTGTTGGAAGCTTCCACAGCACCTTTCATTACTAGAAAAGTTACCAGTCATTCAAGTCAGTTCCAGCTTAGGGGCCTCGGGTCCTCTGTTCCAAGTTGTTTTTGGCAACAGGGATTTATCTTTCACCTGAATGGGGGGCAACCAAGGGCAACAGCCTATAATGTTTGAGGAGTGTATTGGACAACTCTGAACAACAACTCAAAAGAGAGATTCTCATGTCAAATATTGGAGACTTTGTTAGAACGCCTTTGGCTCTTGAAGGAAGCGTCAGTTCAGTGGAAATTCATTTAAACTATATATGTGTGTGTTTGTACAATGGCTTAATGCATCATAGATATCCTAAAGTAGACAGTTAATATGATTTTTCCCTAGGACTTTTTCAGACACCATTACTGCTATTTTACATTCCTAGTTCTTCTGTTATTTATCCTCCCCCTCCCTAATGAGAAAGCCCCTCATGCCTGTGTTTCCCATTTCTCCTTTCAGATCGCTATACCCTACTCTTCTCTCTGGACAAAAGCTTTCCAAGTCAAAATAATCCCAATATCTTGATTACTTTTGAATTTGAATTTGTTTGGTTTTGTTTTTCTTTTGAGACAAGGTCATACCATTTTGACAAGGATCATCTCAAATACCTTCGAGCTTTATCTTTGTCCTGAGTACTTTTCTATTTGCTGTGACAAAATATAGCAGCAAAGGCAACTTAAAGGAGAAAGGGCTAATGACAGCTCTCATAGCTAGTTTTGTGTCAACTTGACCCACACTAGAGTCATCTGAAAGGAGGTAACCTCGGCTAGGAAAATGCCTCCATAAGATCTGGCTGTAGGGCATTTTCTTAATTACTGACTGGTAAGGGCCCTTCCCATTGTGGGTGGGGCCATCCCTGGGCTGGCTGTCATGAGTTTTATAAGAAAGCAGGCTGAACAAGCTGAGTTTGAAGGCAAAGTCCTGCAATGGGTTTTATGCTCCGCTCTTTGTAGCTAGCTGAGTCTCACTCTCTCTCTGCTCTGTCTGATGCTGGAGGAATTATGGTAGGGAAGCCCCTTGGGCACCCGGCTAGCACTGTTGCAGTGTCTCACTCCTTGAGAAGCAGCTTAGAATCATGGATTCAGGGATCTTTCTGGTACCGGGTTTCAGCACAGCAGGCCTGGTATTGGGTTTTAAATCTTATGTCTTTATTTATGTGGAGGTTTGACTGATAAAGTTCCCCCACAGTCTTGGGTATTTGATTGCTTGTTCTGCACTTAGTGGTGCTGTTTGGGGAGACTTAGGAGGTATAGCCTTGTTGGGGGAAGTAACTCACTGTGGGTGGGCTTTGAGATTTTATTAAAGGCGAATGCCATTCTGTTTGTTCTTTGCTTCCTGCTCACAGTTTAAGATGTGAGTAATCTGCTCTTTTTCTGGCTGCCATGCCTGCCTGGAGCCAAGTTTCTCTGTCAGGATGGAAATGGACTTTTATCTCTCTGGATCTGTAGGCTACAAATAGACCTGCCTTCCCATAAATTGGCTTGCTTGTGGTGTTTGATCAGAGTAAGTAATACAAGTAATAAGTTTAAAGGAAAAGTAAGCAATACAATTTAGTGCTTCTTCTTTTCCTAAATGAACGTCTCCCTCCAGGCTACTTGCCTCTGGGCATAGGTGATGTCTGCCACCCTTTCTTCCCTGCTGTATTCAATTCATCTTCTCTTTCCTCACTCACACTGGACACCACGGTCTTTTACCTGTTTTTTTTTTTTTAACTCTTACAGGGTAGCTTGCGCATTAATGGTTGTTTAGACAGATGTGCATGTAGGGATACTGACTGCTGAGGGATCTTTCTCAGCCACCATGTTCAGTGTTGTGGAATATTAACTAGGCAAATTTGCCTAGGCAAAGAAGTGTTACGTTTGTTGATGTTGCCGGATATGGCTTTAACTGTGTAAAGGAGCATTACATTTGTTTTTGCTCCATTTGTTTCCTTATGCAAAGATGTGTTTGCTGGGTCACCTTGCCTGTCTAAGGCACCTAATTGATCTAAAAAAAAGCTGACCAGCCAATGGCAAGGCAGAGGAGGGATAGGTGGGGCTGGCAGGCAGGGAGG